TCAATGAAATAACAAACATTTTCTAAATTTTACTTAAAACGATTTTAAATATAAGACTGTGTAAACACCGGCCTTAATTACTGGTAGGGTCACCCATGCCGGATAGGTCAAAGAGAAAGAGTCAGACTAAGAGAGATACCGTAATTATAATTATTATATTAATAATTATTAATTATTAATATAATAATTATATTATAATATATTATAATACTTAGTTAATAATTATTATATATTTTATAAGATGGAAGAGAGAAAAGAATAATAAAATGATAAGAAGAAAGAAGCACGAGTCTCTATAGTCCCTATAGATGGAAGAGAGAAAAGAATGATAAAACGATAAGAAGAAAGAAGCACGAGTCCCTATAGTCTTGGGAATGCGACAGATCACAACGTTGCAAAGATTTGAAGAAGAAGATGCATCGGATAAACATGTGTAGTAATTAGGAATAGCTTGCAATTAAATCGACTAATAATAGTAATACTTTTTAATTATGTTACACTTTATAATTTAGCACATTGTATTATATATACATATAAAGCATCAAGCATTAAATATTTTGCTGTTATGAAAATTGTAATAGAACAATATAAAAAATTTGCTACATAAAGTGTAACATTCGAAAGCATTTTTTTTCACTGACGAGATACTATTAAAGATCAATGATTTCACAAGATTTATCGTGACACGAAACATTTATGTATATACATATACATATATATTTATGTATATACATATATATATATATATATATATATATATATATATATATTTATATTTAAAATAATCTAGATCGCGTCTTGAGATTCCGTTCAGTTAGTAAGATAGTTGTATTTTCCAACTTACTTAAGAGGATCTTAAATATAAAAATGAATTATGAATGCGATGTATTTTTGTGCGGACATTTATCGAAAGGAATGCACGTGCTTCTCCAAATTGAGATGAGGTAAGATTGCAAAATATCGAAGCTTTATGCAATGTGTGTAACCTAAATCTGTTAACGTACAAGTATTAGAGTAACGGAATAAGTATATGTAATTTGATTAAAAATACGTTTCTTACATGAATTTTTAATTACATGTTTTATTATACTACAAATAAAAAAATCATGCTTGCGCGACGTGTTCCTAACAATTTACCGACATGCACATAATGATGACTTTACCGGCAGTCGAAAAGTATTGTGACTACGTAATTCTGGCGTTTAACGCGAATGCAGATGGCGATACTAAACAGCAAAAAAGTTGTCGCATTGTGTGAAACGCGAGGCGCGAAATATTGTATATCGTTCTTTGCGAAAAAAATGTGTGAAAGTGTTGTATTCGCGATTAACAGTTCGGTGTTGATGAATACTAATCAACGCAAGTATAATTTGTGCATTGGATATCTCTTCAAACTCTGTATATGCATTGTTTTTGAATCGTCCTGATTGCACGTTCCGATAATACAGTGATCCAAAGAAGATCGTCGAATATATTTCGTACGATTAGAATCGTGCACAGTATCGAGTGACTTTTATTTATTTGAAGCGCGATGTATTTTTGTGCGGACATTTATCGAAAGGAATACACGTGCTTCTCCAAATTGAGATGAGGTAAGATTGCAAAATATCAAAGCTTTATGCAATGTGTGTAACCTAAATCTGTTAACGTACAAGTATTCGAGTACCGGAATAAAAGATAAAGATTTTGAGATCGTACAAGTTCGTATGATATATATGTATATATTAATATCAATCTTTATTATATATTTATCTATTTATTTATTTATGTCTTCTTTTTCTTTTTCTCAACATCATTTATTTATTTATTTAGTTCGCTCTCAGTCTTTTAAAATACAAAACTAAATATTATAAGATTTGACTTTGGAAAAGCGCGATAAAACAATCGAATCATTCGTAATTCATATCATTAGCATAATATATTATGAATTTTCTATGTTATATATTGAATCGAAATTGCGCGAAAGAGGAAAAAAAGAACAAGCTTATGAATAGACATTTCCATCCTTTACTAAAAAAAAAGAAATTAAAAATATCTCTCAATTTTTTCTCTATTTCTTCGGGCAAGTCTACATATATGACCAATATGATTAATTGATTCCATCTTTATATATTTATCATTATGTGCTATTAATTAAAGCCGTAGACAATATTCAGAAATCAAAGTTGCGCGAACGTTGAACACAGGAATGGCCATGCGCAGAAACGAATGCGCAGTGGTTCGGCCGCCATGTTGGCGCGTGAATGCTACGTCATACGCGTCATACGTGAATCGGAGTCATACGCAGTTACACGGATCGTCGTACATCCGCATTTTTCGCGTCTTTTAACCGTTTTTAAACGAATATCGCGAGTGAACGAGCGTCGAGAGTGTCCAAGGATGATCGCGTGACTTTCATAATATGTCAGTGAAAGTGCGCGACAGCTATTTTTGATAGTTCAGTGATAGCGCGATCGCGAAGATGGAGCGAAGTTGCGTCGCGTTATTCGCGTCTTTGATGATGATTATCGGATGCGAGCGAGTATCGGGAGTGCCGAATAAAGTGTCGCGCGTTCGCGTTGATGATATCGTGTGAGTTTGTGTGCATCAAGATCGGAATGGGACGTCCCGAGGCGAGCGAGTGGAGCGGCCTGTGGAACAGCCGGTGCGTAGATTTGATTTATCATATTTGCGTGCACAATTCGTGCTCATTCGACGCTTATACAGCATCGCGAATTACATTCGGACCGAATTACATTCAGACAAATCGGCGCCGCATCATAATTCGATTCAGTGCAATTCAAATAAAGTCGATCGCGTGAAGATGGTTATGTTAGAAGCGATTTGAAATTTATTTTGTACGCGCGCGCAGTGCATCACAGCCTATCTCGTAGAGCTGCCAACTGTTAAACGATAAATTTGTTTGATCTAACCTAACCTAACCTCTCAATGTCTTTGGATATCGAATGTAAACACAAGCGTATGCTGCCTGGATTGTATCATGCTTTCAAAAATAATATTTAATTATTTCATTAGTGTATTACATTTTATTACGTAGTATATTAATCGTATTAAATGTGCGACGTACAGTTTTATACATTTTAATGAGAAGCATATAATATAATTGGTGACGTTAGATTAAATTAAAACAAGCTGCTATGATTCATTTAACGTAATAGGATTAATTTGACGAATGTGCAGCTATTGAAGTTACATGATATTTATGGACACATTTTTAAAGTAATAATGAATGTCTTATTTCATCTTGATTATATGAAATTAAAATATAAAATATTTATGTATTCCACATTAACGTTATTCATTACAAGTACTATATTACTATATTACTTTTCTTATATCTCAATCATATTTCATCGATGAAGCTTTTCATATATCGCAGACAATATGATACTGTGTGTGGAATTTTACACAGGTAATACATGGCACAAAAATAATTTGTTCTCAAGTGTTGTGCACATTTCTCAAAAATAAATCAAATTAAATTATTTTAAGTAGGATCCAAAAATCACTACATTGCCAAGATTGTATCTTATTATAACTGCGATATTATCACCTTTTAATATGTGTGCGCAGTATTACATAAAATATATAAATTTACTTGAAACGTACAGAAATCTTTATCTTATTTATAATATTTATGATATAAAAGAAAATTGCAACTCTAATGAAACAGAGCGGTGGAATAATTGGTTGATACTTATGCTGGTTTACAATATTTATCCTTTTTTCATCATTAGATTTTTGGTGCTTTTTTTATTATACAGATGTTATCTGTAAATATAGTACTTGTAATGTTGCTTCTGTATCACTGTAAGCACACAAAAATGATAGCATTTGCAGGTAATTATGTTATACTTATATATCATAAGAAAGAGAAAATAAAATTAAAGTTGAATACTGAATGTGCTATAAAGTAAATCTCATCTAAATAAATAAATGCATAAATGTGCGCTCCACATTCCTCATGAAAAAAATACATAATATTAATCTTTATATATTATTTTTAGATTTGTTTTTTATTCTTTTAAATTCTCTAGATGCACTTTTCATTTCTCCTCTCTTTCTTTCCAACTACTAAATATAGATCTATCATTTTTAATATAGATCTGTCATTTTTAGTGTACATTATTGCAGTAAGTGGAATAAAGAGCAAATCTTTTGGCACATTTAAAATGTACAGGAAAGTTTTATCTGATGCGGTTTTTTCAATAGAAATATCTGAAAAAAATGCATACGTCTGTTTTAATCTTAGTCTTTCTAAATAAAAATTAATATATTTTAATATATTTTATTGCAAACATGTGAAGCAAAGTGCTCAAGGTGCATCACTATGAAAACATCGATAGAATAAAAAATAGATCGCATACAAAAAAATTAAAATATTTACATTACATATTTGATATTTCTGCAAATATTTCCGTTATTTTGAGATTGATTTGTTTCATGATATATTGCAATAATTAAAGTATGATTTCTGATATAATCTGCTATGAGACTGCAGAGAAAGCCAGCTTTAATTCTTTATTTTGTTCAATATTTGTAATAATATAATAATTAAATTAAAGTTCTATGAAAATTGCTTGCGAACGTTTTTGCTCCATCTTATCTTATTGAGATCAAAATTGCGGTACTTTGTTAATCTAGTGACTTTAACTAAATAGATACTGTCTCCCTCGACACGAGAGGCCACCGCGAGAGCAATGGGTCTGTTCGTTTTAGCTACATTGCTGCAACTAATTAGAGTGAAAGAAAGTATGTTTGTCTCTTTCTAACTTATCGCACTAGTGCAGCAGTGTAGCTAAAACGAACAGATCCAATAACAAAGGCAGCACTCGCTCCAGTTAGTTCTATAGTTCAATGCGCATGCGCGAGAATAGCTGGACGTCGAGGAAACGCTGAGAATGCTTTGATGAGTTTGATCGACCAATCAGGAGATAGTCCTGTAACAGCCAATCGCAACGCGAGTCTCAATTATATGTTCATAGATCTATCTAGAAATTATCTAATTTTGGTTTCATGCTTGGCAAGTATGAAGAAAGGCATGAGTAAATTTGAATAATAAAAGAGTAACATATTTCCATTGTGTGATAAGAGAGCAAGATCCACAAAAGTAAAGATAAAAAAGTGAGTAGAGAAATATAAGAAAAAAAAGGTATGTTTTTTTAATATAAGAAAACAAACAGGATATATCCTAGACAAAGCGAAGGATCCTAACCTTAATCTAACGTACCATAATCTATAAAATGCACACAGTTAATTCATTGTTTACAAGAATTTTGAAAAAAAATTTGAAATTATTTATAGTATTTAATGCCGAAATTATTAAGTATTTCTGTTACAGCGAAAATAATATAGTGTAATGCACTGAGCTTATGAAAGTATCGGAAAAAGTACAAGTTAATTTGTATGAATAAGAAGACATACATTTCAATATTTGTGATAAGAAATTTAAAAATAAAGATAAAAAAGTGAGTAGGAATATAAGAAAACATGATATGATCTATAGAAGATGAGAAATTCTTAATCTATCTATTTATTTAAGCCATATTAATCTAAGCCATAAACTATGATAAAATACATTAATCCATTGTTTACAAAAATTTAAAAAATAACTTACAAATTAATTAACTAATCATTATTTATTTCTGTTATAGCAAAAATAATATAGCGTAATGCACTGAGTGCCACAAAAATTGAGAGAGTCGAGCCAGTATCACAGATTCTAACTTTAACGTAACATAATTTATAAAAGATGGAAAAGTCACAGAAAATGCCCAAAGTGGCAAAGGTGAAAAACAAGGCGCCTGCAGAGATACAAATCACTGCAGAGCAGCTGTTGCGCGAAGCGAAGGAGCGCGATTTGGAGATCCTACCACCACCACCAAAACAGAAGATATCGGATCCACACGAGCTTGCGGATTATCAGCATCGCAAGCGCAAGGCGTTTGAGGATATCATTCGCAAGAATCGCATGATCATTACCAATTGGATCAAGTATGCACAATGGGAGGAATCTCAAAAACAGATTCAACGAGCGAGATCGATCTACGAGCGAGCACTGGAAGTAGATCATCGGAATATTGCGCTATGGCTCAAGTACACGGAGATGGAAATGCGCAATCGACAAGTCAATCACGCGAGAAATTTATGGGACAGAGCGGTGACTCTACTTCCGCGAGCCAATCAATTCTGGTACAAGTACACTTACATGGAGGAGACTTTGGAGAATATTGCTGGTGCGCGTCAAGTCTTTGAGCGATGGATGGAATGGGAACCGGACGAACAGGCCTGGCAAACGTACATCAAATTCGAACTGCGTTACAAGGAGATCGATCGCGCTAGACAGATCTACGAGCGTTTCGTGATGGTCCACCCTGATGTGAAACACTGGATAAAGTACGCGCGCTTCGAAGAATCGTACGGATTCATCAAGGGTGCGCGAGCGGTATATGAGCGAGCCGTAAGCTTTTACGGAGACGAGGGTCTCGACGAGAAGCTCTTCTTAGCGTTCGCCAGATTCGAAGAAGGTCAACGAGAACACGATCGCGCCCGTGTAATTTACAAATACGCGCTCGATCACATACCGAAGAGCAACACTCAGGAGATCTACAAAGCGTACACGATCCACGAGAAGAAATACGGCGATCGCTCAGGCATCGAGGACGTGATAGTCAGCAAGCGGAAATATCAATACGAACAGGAGATTAAAGAGAATCCTTCCAATTACGACGCGTGGTTCGATTACTTGAGATTGGTAGAGTCGGAAGGTAACGTGGATGTGATCCGTGAAACATACGAGCGAGCGATAGCTAACGTGCCGCCCACCAAGGAGAAACAATTTTGGCGAAGATACATCTACTTGTGGATCAAGTACGCTCTTTTCGAGGAACTTGAGTCCAAGGATATCGAACGATGCCGTCAGGTGTACAAAGTGTGCCTTGATCTTATACCACACAAGCGGTTTAGCTTCTCGAAAATCTGGCTGCTTTATGCTTACTTTGAGATACGACAAAAGAATCTGACCAAGGCGAGAAAGACGCTAGGATTAGCGTTGGGAATATGTCCATCGGACAAGCTTTTCCGAAGTTACATTGATCTCGAGATACAGCTGGTGGAGTTTGATCGTTGCCGGAAGCTCTACGAGAAATTCCTCGAATTTGGCCCGGAGAACTGCACCACTTGGATGCGATTTGCCGAGCTGGAGACACGGTTGGGCGAAATCGATCGCGCCCGAGCGATATACGAGTGCGCTGTCGCACGACCAAGGCTGGACATGCCGGAATTGCTGTGGAAGTCATACATCGACTTCGAGATCGCCCAAAGCGAGACAGAGAACGCTCGTCAGCTGTTCGAGCGTCTGCTGGAGCGCACGTTGCACGTTAAGGTCTGGATAGCGTACGCAAAGTTTGAGCTGTTGAATCCGCAGATGGAAGATAGTCCTGACAACGTCGTCCTGGCGAGACGTATCTTCGAGCGCGGAAACGACGCCCTGAGATCCAGCGGCGATACCGAGAGTCGAGTATTGCTGCTAGAAGCATGGAAGGACTTCGAGAGCGAGAAAGGCACCTCGGAGAGTCTCGCCAAAATTATGGAGAAGATGCCACGCAGGGTGAAGAAGAAGAGGCGCGTTGTCGGCGAAGATGGCAGCGACGACGGCTGGGAGGAAGTTTTGGACTTTGTATTTCCAGAAGACGAGTCGCAGAGGCCGAACTTGAAATTCCTGGCTGCTGCAAAGGCTTGGAAAATGGAAACCGAATCACAATCTTGAGATAATATATATGTGTATATATAATTTTGTATATATATCTGTATGTGCATACGTGTGTGTGTGTGTTTTGTAGTATGTATGATGTATATGTGATTATATTTGATTAAAAAATATCCCATTATTTTTATATAACAGTATATATAGTATATTTATAATTATAAAAGTGTATAATTTGCCGAATTTAAATTTAAAAAATACGTAAAGGAGGAAAGGAATAGAAACAGACAATTTGATTTCTCTTTCTCTTCTCTTATATATATATACAGTATATGCATATAAAGTACAAATCGTAAGATCAAAAAATTAAAATAAAGAGTCGCAGAACTATTGTTTAATTAATAAAATTTACTTTTTATCAAATTTAGATTTCTATTAATTTATGCTCATTTTAATTTGAAGTATCGAATTTATTTTAATATATAAACAATAACTCCTCATATTTCAAAATGGTGTTTAATTATTTAAAATTGCGACATCAGAAATAAATATAATTAAAAATAAATCGTTTTATTATTTTTTTGAGAATAATAAAATATGTATACGATACGATACTGACTCGGAAGATATAAATATATTTTCACAAATTAACATTTCTGTGAAATATATAATGTAATATATGTATATATAATAGCGTGGAGGGAGGGAGAACATACTAATATTATACATATAATAAATTATTATTAATTACATTATTTATATTTTTATTTATATTATCAGGGAGAAAACTGAGGGAAGTATCATGGCCACTTGATCTAATATTTTCATTTATTAAGTTGGTTACAATGCTTTTGAGGTTATAATCTTGCACAATAATTCAAGACTTTGGACTTTGAACCACGTTTAAAGAGCTACGGAAAAAGAATAAACGCTATCATTGACATTCAGTAAAAGTAATTGAGTATAATTGTACATCTTTGTTAAATAAGAATGGCCCGTGTACTTGTAGGTGTAAAAAGAGTAATAGATTATGCAGTGAAGGTATATATATATTTATGTTTTGTATATAAGACTTTAAAATATATATAAAACAAAATATACATTAAAAAAAGTAAAACTCAAAATATTTCTAACAATGTTACTATAAAACATGCTACAAACACTTCTACAACAAAATAAAATATGAATACTAATTTATAAAATTTCTGAGTAAAAAATTCACATTTATACATTTTTTCAACTTATATTCTTCAACTTAGATTCGTGTGAAACCAGACAAGTCTGGAGTAGTTACGGATGGCATTAAACACTCGATGAATCCTTTTGACGAAATAGCTATAGAAGAAGCAGTCAGAATGAAGGAAAAAAAGATTGCTCAAGAAGTGATAGCAGTTAGCTGTGGACCAGCTCAGTCCCAGGATACAATCAGGACTGCACTCGCCATGGGTGCAGATCGTGGAATTCATGTAGAAATATCTGGTCCTGAATACCAGACATTGCAACCCATTCATGTCTCAAAGATGTTAGCAAAATTGGCACAAGAAGAGAAAGTGGATTTGGTGATACTTGGCAAACAAGCCATTGATGATGACAATAATCAGACTGCACAAATGACTGCTGGTGTTTTAGATTGGCCAGCTGGGACATTTTGCAGCAAGGTAATGACAATAAAAAAAAAAAAATTTTATATTATTATGTCAATGTTTTACTTTTTCTTTATTTATTCAGGTTGAAAATAATAATGGTGAATTGACTGTTACACGTGAAATTGATGGTGGATTAGAGGTAATCAAAATGAAAACTCCTGCAGTCTTGAGCGCCGATCTTCGTTTGAATGAACCGCGTTACGCGACTTTGCCGAATATTATGAAGGCTAAGAAAAAACCTATTAAGAAAGTTACTCCGAAAGATCTTGGAGTAGACATAACACCGAGAATTGAAATACTTTCGGTGGAAGATCCACCAGTTAGGCAGGCTGGTGCTATACTGCCGGACGTCGATACTTTGATAAGCAAATTGAAAGAAAGTGGTCACATCTAGTAGTCACAGCGTAATTATAAAAGGTATAATAAAAATTTTTAAGCCTTGTTATATTTTAATAATTCTTTGTGTATATAGCATAATATTTTTGTACATTATCAGAAATTGTATGTAATATTTCAATAAATTTATACTACATAAATAGAAAAAGAAAGTATTTTGTAGTATCTGATGATATATATATATATATATATATATATATATATATATATATATATATATATATAATCAGATTGTAATATATATTTAACAAAATACTGTATCTGTACCTGGAAAGCATCGCAAAAAAATGCAAAAGAGATTTACATATTCATATAATACATAGATATCTTTTTCTTTCTAATACTTATCAAGTAAGGAATCTATTTTTAAAAAAATGAGACGTGAAATATATTTTTAAAAAACAATTATATCTAAATATATACACATATATAAATCATTTTCCTTCTTTGTAAAAGGTAACATCAATAACGAGCTATAAATATATTATTATTTTATGCTTCAATTTACTTTGATGCAATGCAAATATCATTAAATTAGATTTAATGTCACTTAATTGACATGTCATAATTTTAAAATTTTCAAGAAATGTTGATAAAGCTCGTGTGGAAATATTTCTCTATCGAAAATCACGAATAATATGCACATATTGTATCTTATTGACTTCTCTGTACTTCTACTTTAATGTATTGTATTATGTCAGAGAGAAATATGAAGTTATATGAATATTAATCAGAAAATAGCTTATTTTAAAATATTAAATCACTTTTTAATTATTTATTTAGTGCCTTATCCAAGATTCGGCAAGAAAATGTGTCCAATCAAGACTAGTATGTCATATATATATTAAATATTTAGCAGAAATTGGTATATAATATGATATACCAATAATAACATTTTGGCTAGTATTTGTATTCTATATAACCATCAGGAATAAATCTATACCCGTATATCATTCTGAGGAAATAAATATTTTTGTATATTTTTAATCGTCATGCGAGTCCACTGGGGGTCTTTTCTCCTCTTTTTTTAGTCATATTTTATAGTCAAATATATATCCTTCTAGAATTTTTTTTGATTCGTTGAATACTGTTGTTTCAATGTTACTGACATTGGATACAGCCCTGCATAAAAATTCATTGTATTATAACAGTCTTTCATATAAGTTTTGTGTAAAATATCTCCCCCAACAAAAGCTAAACATTATTACATTAGAAAACCTTGCAACATTATTACATTAGAACCTTCCAATCGAATCTGCTATTACTAGTATGAGTAATTGGTGGAAAGGGAGGAGGATGGAGCTGCCAGCCATCGATACCTTGACGCGCGGTCAAGCACGCCAGATAAGGTACCCTTTGGACTAATCTAGTTACTTCAGCTGCAGAGGGTATTTTACCACCGGTCAATTGTCTGGTGCAAGCTGCCAGGGAAGCTGCATGTGCCACTATTAAAATATTACCAACAGTACTTTTTATTATTTTTTTAATTAGCTCGTAACTACGTTCGTAATACTGCGCGGCGTTCTCTTTTGGAGGGAGTTCCTTAGCCTTTATGATCGGATTATAATCGGGATCTACATTGAAACCCGCTTTTATCAATTCCTCAGAAGTCATCCAGACAGGTATACCATTCGGATACCATGCCAACCATTCTATTAGACCTGGCTCTACTTTGATCGGAATATCAGACTCTAATCCCTTTAGAATATGGGTGAGCGTTTGAACGCAACGCAATGATGGTGACGTGAAGGCCACGTCTATCTTAATACTCGACGATTTCATGGCTTCGCCTACCAAACTCGCCTGCATCTCGCCTACAGTGGTTAACGGACTGTCGTTTTGAAAGTCTTGGATATTCCTGGACGGTATTTCCTTGGGCATATTCAAGTCACGACGCACATAGCAGCCACTTGATTCGAAGCAATATGGGATCCATGTGCCGAAAGTGAAGTCTACTCTCTCGCCATGCCGACATATGAAGATCTCTCTAGATGGTGTTTGAGGTGCTTCTGATGCTGCCATCTGAAAACGTATGGAAATGATATATGTTATAAATTCGCCAATGATTATTTGATGAAGAACGAGATGTATTTTTCAGAATTACTGGCTCATCGGCGATGGGAATCCCATCAGGTGTATCGACGGAATCGCTCGGGGACAAAACCGGCGGTGGTCTTCTGACTTTCGGGATCTCCTCTTCTTCCGGGCTTTCGCGTTTATTGTCGGTGATCGACACAGTAGTGTGCAATGTCCACGAGTCCGATTCTGCAGTCCTCTTGGTGTGATTCAATGGTAAATGACCAGATATCCCGGTTAACCAAGAGATACCTTCTACCCAACCATCCGTGGACGCGCCACACGCTCCTTCTGGAACGTAAATGTAATCACCTACTCTTAATTCTAATTCATCGTGTTCCCGGGGCACATGAGCATGCGTCACTTTGTGTACATGCAAATTCTGCAATCTCGAATCCCTCGAGTATAATCTAAGCTCCCAGTTGGCCGGCGCGATCGGTTTTAGTTTCTCAACCATCAAGCCAAGTGGTGAAAATAAATTGCTGGGAAACTGGTAAGCCAGTGTAAGATGCAGAGACTTTATTTGCGGTTCGGCAGTGATACCTAGAGCGGTAATTTTATTGACATAGCGAACAGCAATGTTCTTCAATCCTTCCGCATTTATATCCTTGACAAAAAGGCCCATAAAATTAGGCGATATATATGTCTCCAGTTCAATACGTTCATGTAATTCATCCTGATGAATCACACTCTCAAGAGCATTTACTAATTCTTCTGTGAACTCGTCAGGAGCCTATAAAAATACATGAAAATGATAAAATACACATTCATATATAAATTTAAAGATGATTTTATTGAGTTGTATAAAATATCTCATATTATTTTTTTGTAGATAAGCAAAATTAGAGATATCTTACACTGAAGAAGGAGACAAGAGTAATGTGTGGTATAAAGCTATGAGCACCGTTCCATCCTAGAAATTTACTTTCTGACCAAAACTGTTCAAGCTGTTCAGCTAACAATCCCGTTGGACAAGCATACAGAACATACTGTCGCTGGGTATCAGAATCCAAAGTTGGATCCCTCACATGCGCTAGTAGCCAATCTGATGCTAATTGCACACCACGATATCCTGTTGCAGCTAATGCCCTTTCCCTAAAAATATGCAACACTATGATCAATTAAAGGTAAATATCAAGATCAACAAGAATTTTTCTAATATTTTTGCAAATATTTAGATATGAAAAATATATCTCCATAAAATGTTAGAGGAGGGGGGAGATAAAATAGATAAATTTATTTATCTAGAAAAAAAAGAGATAGTGATAAAATATAGAGTAAGCAACTTAAGTAAAATTTAAAATATCATAAGGATAATTTGTTTCAGGAATTTAAATCTCGGAATTTAAGGATAAACTTTGCTCGGGAGGGAATAATACGAAATAGTGCTACTCAAGGCCACGTTTGACAGCTGTTTGTTTACAACGAATAATCCACGCGCGTCGATAATACGCCATGTAATAGTCACGTAAACATAATATTTATGTCATACGACCGTACGTACGCCCGGTGTTTCGGGAAACCCAACTGCAGGAGCGTTTGCAACGGTGTCAAATGCTGTTTCGAAATTTTCGTAGGAGTTGGATTTTTCCGCGGCGGCAGCGTCGCCATGACGGTACTGCGTTTACTGACGTTTATTCCTCAGGCTGGCCAATCGCCGCGCGAGCTATCGCAGGCTACAAATCAGATCAGTAGAGGAGATATTTACAAAATTAGCCGATCGGATCTCGCTACCAAAAACAGGTCACTCGTCAAGAAACAAAACGAAGGTAAAAATATAATATACGATATTGCAATTAATAGTAATTTATCAAAAGTACACTTGACAGTTTCTAATTTCCACTGAACGTTACCGTTGATATCAAAGAGGTTAAATAATGGTAATCTCTCGTGGAGATAAGATATTTCCCTTTTATCTCTCTCCCTTCTTTCATTAATATTTTAAAATTTTACGTCTTAATTTCACAATCTCATTAAATAACTTTAGAAACTGAATTAATTGGTTTCGGAAGTAATTTTTGAAATTCTAAAAGTAAATAATTAATTTTAATATCTTGTAAAATATTCAACGATAGATTTACATTTTTCGCGAATATTTTTGGTTAAAAAACTGATAGTACCTCTCTTTTATAAAAATAAAATTTTATAAAATTGGACGCTATAATTGTTCAATATTTTATTAGACGCTTATTCTATCTATAAAAAAATATATCAGGGAAAAGCGTAAAACATAATTTATCCGAAGAAATCTGAGAGAAGTCACATTTCATATAATCTGTATTTCATTTTTCTTCGTTTTTTCCTTCACCACCTACTCCGCAACAATTTCAACAATAGCACACACAATCAACGCGATTATTATTTAGAGTTAGTGTAAAAAAAAGAAAAAAACGCAGTGACACAAGAATTTATATATTTTCTTCATTCGTGACCACAGACTTCTATACATATATTATACTAAACAGCTGTAATACGTGTAAGTATTATATATGATGAATTCTCTAAAAGTGAATCAGTGTATTATCACTGTAATCAGTGCTGTACTTATAATTGCTTGTAATCAGTGAGCATTTACTGTTTTTCAGTGATAATACACTGATTCACGCTAGTGAAAGTAGTATATACACTACTTTGATAATATACTGATTCACTTTTAGAGAGAAATGTCACGCAAAGATATGTCAGTCATATCTAATTGGGCAGAATTTGATGTGCCATATCTCTTGATAAGGCCTGCTAACGAACGTCTTAAAATAAAAAATAAAACAATGACAAAATATTAAATGTACGTATATAAATAAAAAATATACCCATGACACTAGTATCTTTCTACTCAATCTATATATTTTGCCCAGTTAGATATGGCTGCCCTTGCATCATTTTTAGTATCCCCGTTAACGGTATGATAATTATATAAAAGTCTGTGGTTAGTGTAAAAAAAAAAAGAGAGAAAACGCAATGACACGTGGATTCAGTGGCACGTGAATTTATATATTTTTGTTTTTCATTCGTTACGGCATTCTGTTACAAACACTCTTCACGCTGCAATATTTCGATACAGAAGTAATAAAAAAGTTATAGTATATATATACATACTTCTCTATATGTATATATAATATTTATATATAAAATATAGGTAAAGAAACGTAATATACATGTTATTGCTCGTCTCTCATGGGATTCTTTGCTCGCAATTCGTACATCCTTAATACACTGCATCTTAAAGAATCGGTGTGATTAAAATACTCACTATTCGACGAAATTTCAGACATCGTTGAACTGCGCAATAATTTCATCAATTTACCAAATATCTAATAATAATATTTTTTAATAGCTTAATTATGAAGGTTTAAATTACATCTGATTTTTTAACGCAAAGCGTCTTTGACCAGATAAATATTTTATATAATCTAATTCTCTCTTATTATTAAAGTAAAGTAGAGTCAACACACATTTGAAAAGTATTCACATAAAAAACCGCGAGTGCGAAGTATCCATTATAAACAAGTGAATAGTATGAATAAAACAAAAAGAGAATTGCTCATTATCTCTTATAATTTTTGCAGAATCCCGCAAAGGATTGGTTAAGTAACATAGTTAAGCAACTAGATTTTTTTTATGTTTATATAATTAATAATAAATTAATGAGAGAAATGACTTAAATAATAATAATTATTAATAATTTTAGATATACATAATATTTTATAATAATAATATAATTAGTTAAATCATCTCTCAAACTTTAGATAAAAGATTCAATCTTTATACATTTAAAGTATTTCATTTATATCAATAAATAATTCTAATTTTATTTTATCCATACTACCATAGTATCTGTATATCTATGTAGTGAGCTAAATTACGCTGAAATCTATAAAATAATAACAATTGCTTCTTGATATTTGACTTGAGTTTCTAATATTGCACATTTTTTGGCATATATCTGGTGATGCGATAAATTGTTTCTGTCCTATCCTTTAATAATTTACAATTTTATCAAGATTCCACCGCAACTATAATCATCCATAACGATTTATGTATGTATATATTATTTGTATGTTTTGTACAAATGATCTATCAGAAGATCACATATCGCAGAAATGTAATCTTAAATTTCCTTTACAGTATGTTTACCTTTATTAAAGATAGTTTGTATGTGTGTATGTGTATGTCTCGAATTTACAATGCGTTACATTTATAATATTAGAGTTATAACATTAGAGTTATATTTTATTTTTTCATAATATTTAAGATTACGCAAATTAGATATCACTATCGATCAATTTCGCCATTTTAACAAAATCACGGTTTATTTACTTAAAGATCTGATTTCGATCCGAAGATAAATTAAAATTGTATGTCGCGTAAGAGTAGAGATTCTGACTAAAAAATGTTAAGAAAATATGCTATTCTCTCGGAGAATAAATAGTTTCTTACATTATTAACACATATCGCGATGAAGAACCTAATTGTACAAGTATTCCTTGAATTTTAATCGATTCTAAATAAAAATGATGATTAATAACAATGACATATCGTTATATAAAAATTAAGTTATATTCTTTCAAACAGAAATATCAAAATTAAATAATTGAAACTATGAGCGCAAGAATAGAATAATCATTCATTTTTAAAAATCATTAATTTATTAGTAATTAATTTTTGTTCCGAATAAAACGAAATGAAAAGTGATTTTTATGAAAGTCAATTTTTAGATTAAAAAAACAGAAATATCAAATTTAAAGAAAAATCCTCGAAACATTTATTCTTGTAAATTAATATTTAATGTATTATATAAAATGCTAATGATAGTAAAGATTAATTCACTTTAGCGCACATAATTTCAATTTTGCAGGATTCTTTTTAGATGATTTTCTCTTTCTTAGTGTATTTATGAAGAAACATATAACAAGATAATAAAACATAAGTAGTGCATATCGTGCATATCGAATTTTTTGCAGGATCTAAGTACAACAGAATTCATTTTTTTATTGGCACTAATTATTGGCTATTTGAATACTAGAATTCGCAATTCTCTTAAGAATATCATGACATTTATCGTTAGAACATACATTTTTTCCGACGCAATCATTTGCGCCGTGTCAAACAATTTCTTTTTATTGCATACTATGGTATTTCTAACTTTAACGTTATAGCAAATATTACGATAAAGTTATGATTTTGATATTGAAATCATAATATATGTAAATGATATTCGTGTGAAGTTTTGGCAAATATTTTCATCAATAGAAGAATTGATATTTGTAATATGATAGAGAACATTTTCTTAAAAAAAATATACATTGGAAAATCTTTTTACTTTCAATGCATTAAATTTTCTCTGCGGATAAATAGTGCAAATTATACCCTAAAAACATTTCAAACAAAAAGTATACAGAGTATATCTTAGAATTACTAATCATTTTTTACTTTTGAATAAATCGCTTTTTTTCGATAATTTCAATTTATGAAATTTAAAAAATCAATTTAAAAAATTTATTTTGAATATATTAAATCGTAAAAGAAAATTTTAATATTAATTATATTTTGTTTATGAACACATATTTTGAGTCAAACGTGATTTGCTTCGCTTGTTTTATTCTATTAAGATTTTTAAATATAAATAAGTAAAATTAATACATGCCATGAGCAAGAGTAAAAAAAGAGTTAATTAAAGAAAAACTGCCTTTCTCTCCAGTTTTATAATGCAAGGACTTTTTATAATGCAAGGACTTTTTATAATGCAAGGAAAAAATGCATAATAAAGATTTTCCAAGATTTTGCAAGATGAATATTAAAGTGAATGTGATATCAGAAAATATAGAGATAATTGAGTACTAATATACGAATAATTAAGTAACAATGCTACAATAATTATGAAATAATAATTATAATTACAGGTTTGTAAAAAAAAATTCGATAATGAAATGTTGGAGACAATAATAAGTATTATGCTTATTTTTACGAAAAAGAATATCTTAAAATATTACAAAAAATATTAAGATTTCGATAATATTCTGTTAATTCGATTCGCAAGCAAACCAATTGTTTTTAGAAATAATTCAAAAAATTATATATGGCAAATTAATCAATTATAATATATCGAAAGACAAAGCGACTTTCTAAACGTCATGGGTATTGAATTCGTATGCGGTGTCAGTCTCATATAATTGGCAGTGAGTTTTCTCGAAAAACGCTATTGAAGTTCGTCTTAACATGAGAAACGACATTTTTCGTTCCGATCATTTAGGTGATTAGGAATACAATTAGGAGTATTATACGATCACATAATCTTACAATCAGAGATAGTACATATTTTTATACCGTGACAAGTTCGTTTTACTCGATCTTTTTGTTTTCCTTCGAGATACTGTTCTTATCTTGTTATTAAATTATAATCTCAATGTTAAATATAATCTCATGTTTATAATCTATTATTAGCCGAAAAATTATTAGCGTGAATATCGATTTCGTCGATCCTTTTCTTATCAGCATCCTTTTCCTCAATTTCTCTCAAAGAACGAAGAGGAGCGAAGAATCCCATTTTGCGACGTAATCGCTCTGAATTTCGCTCGAAATTCCGCGATTATTCGTCCCGATGTTATCTCGGGCGTGCAAATACATATCGCGAGTCCAAAGATATCTGCGAGTCTCATTTTTAAGCGTGACAATTTCCGCTTCTAGCATAACGGGAGGTTCAACTACAACTACTTTCGTCGTCATCGGAAGTTCCGCTCGTCAAAAGATTCCCGTATCATTCACGATCCTTGGTCAGATCGGATGGCAAATCGCCGCAGGTGGACAACGTTGTCGTCGTCGTCGTCGTCGTCGTGGGCGACCTGGAGGTCATCCTGGAGGTCACCGGTAAGGACAATCCCGCCGCGTTCATCGCAACATTCAGCGGTATCGTGATAAACGGTTGGCTCGATTGTGACGAGTTTGCCACCGATGTCACTGTACCTATAAGGAAGTTGCAAGAGAAAAGAGCGCGAATGAGATATTCCATCATCGCGAAATTGCGACGTTATTTTTCCATCCCAGTTTTTTTTTCTATTTTTGACGTATATTCGCGTGGAAAGAAAAAATGGAAAGATTATAAACAAACGAGAGAGTAATTTGTCATTTATTGTTGCATTTATCTCTCTCTTATTTTTCTTCTTATTTGAATATTAATCCTTTGAAGACGGCAGTATTATATGTTTTGACGGTTTTTTTTTCAAAAGCTAATAAATATACATATGAATTTTTAACTTTCATCGATAAATGTCTCATCTTTTTCATTCATTTCTCTCTTAAAATTTGAAGTTTTCTGAAAATTGAATCAATTAGGTGACTTCAGAGATCAATTGATCAAAGAAATTACCAGTCAACATATAAAATCAATTGGACAAACAAGTGCAAGAGAACATCCGAAGAGATTTATTGATAGAGATTTCTCTTCTCTTATCCTTTTTGAGCCTGGTAAAAAAGGAAAAAGAAGATGTATCGTTTATAACCAGTCAGAGTGAGAAAAGAAAAGAAGAGATTAAAGTCAAGATATGAATGTATAGAGTATGATTTCCGTGTAACTAATTATTTCAAAGAATATTATACTTCAATTCATTTTTAATCAAAATTATTGTTTTCACTAAATAAATATTTCTTATGAATTTTACAAGTTAGATTTTTTCAAAAAAATAGCCGTCCTCAATAGATTAATATACATATATAAAATGTTATGCATTTATTTTATCGCCTATATCACGACCAGTTTGCGTTATGCAAAATCATTAGTCATAATCTAGTCAATTATTCCCCCAGATGTTTCCGGGTGAATCAAATGAGCTGGAGAAGCGCGCGAGCGATTTCCGAGTGAATCCGTCGAGTTTCCCGAGATGAATCGACTTTTCAATTTGCGCTCGAAATTCTTCTCAGGTAACGACATTTCGAAATGATTACGACGTGATAAATTACGTAAAAATTTCATACATTTCTCGAAGCGACAAAGAGAGAAAGAGAAAGAAAGTGTGTGAGGAAGAGAGAGAGAGAGAAAGAGACCTACCTCCGTCTTGAGATATTTGCACTGGTTGCCCGTTTTGTCCTATGCCAAGCAAGACCCCTGGACTAGGCGAATAAATGACACTCTGAGGCATCTGGTACATAATCCCTGTAGAGAACGAAGGCACATTTCCTAGGAAATCAAAGAGGAATTGAGCGTGTGAGTGGCGTCTAACGCCGACAATGTGATGTGGTCGAGGGTGAAATTTATCGAGGGGAGATATCGAAATTCGTTCAAATGTAAAAAGTTCGATGTAAAAAATAATCGCGGTTTTAATATATTTTTAATAGATTTTTAGAGAGATAATTTAATAGATTTTTAGAGAGATAAATGTTCTTTCTGAGAAAATAATTAATATTTAATTGTAATATACGTGTTGAATAGGATCTAATGGATGGAGTAAAGATTGTAAGACGTAGAGAGGGATGTTATATACATCCCTTATTTGTATCGAATTATTGCGAAATGCGTCATTCGACATAACGTTAAACTCGTTTTCTTTCTGTTGGTACAGATGTATATGCTGAGAAAAACTTAGGAATGGCGATCGAGCCGAGACTTCGATCCAGACCACCCAGGTGCGAATTTGCGCTCTGATTCATCTTGATCTCCACATTTAACATAAATTGCTACAATACATATGCATATTTTTTGGAAAAATACGGCAAGTTTTCAAGGAACGAATCGCCGGCGCGAAAATAATTAAAAAATGCAAATTCCAATCTCCTCACAAGAGATAATCTTGATACTTCTGAAACCGATCCGAATCGATTCGCGATATATAATACTATTTTACATAAAGTTTTCCAAAAGTTACCGTATCTCGATTATTATACAAGAAGCTTGAATCCAACAAAGGCGGAGCGACGTGCATATTTAAAAAAAATCAGCAAATTCGTGTTAGTAGAGCAGGCACTTCCCTCTACCTTACGTACATTAACTACGGATATCTATTAGTCTTCAGAAAGCCATTATAATATACATATCTCTCTTTATGCGTTAGTGCTCGTTAAGTCGGTGCGAAGCGCGTCCAAAAACTCTCTTGGACCGTAGGATGTATACGTGCACACATACGAGGAGAAAACAAATCGCAATGTCTCTCGCGTACGCTTTCTGCATTCGAACGAGCAAAGGCTCCTAATTAAAAGTGACTCGCACGGCGAACGTCCATTCGCTCATGATAATGGGACCTCTCGCGCGCGCGAGCTTTCATTATGCCGCAGGGATGTATTATACATTTGTTCGCTCTCTCGCGAATACGGTGGGGCATAACAGCCGGTGGGATTATTATCGAATTGGAACGGGCCCCGAGACGGGCCGGGAGAAAAAAAAAAGCGACGCGCTCCGGACTCGCGTCTCCGGACGGCAGCGGCGCGGCATAGAATGGCATCCACGCGACACATTAGCATCGATATTTATGTGTACACCTGCAACCTGCGCCGCGCCGTTTTCTGCGGCGGCTTTCGACCGGATCCTACTTCCCAGTTAGGCAGCACGGTTGTCGTCTAAGTTTGGTCATCGTCGGCCGTACGCGACTCCTTACGGGCTCCCTACACGGATAACCCCGTCATCGCTCGCACGCCTTTCGCATTTTAAAAGCATTCTCTCCCCCTCTCCCGTCCGTCTTCCTCCACGCGCGTTCTCTTCCTCCTCCTTTATCTCTCTCCCACCTTTTTCTCACGCTTCTCTCGTCCCCTCCTGTCCCCTCTCCCTCGAACTATCTCGTCTCGGGCCTCGTGGATGTGTTTACCTGTCTACTCACTTACCTGCGTGTCCTGAACAGCTGTTCATTATCAGCCGCGCGATGAGGTCAAGCGCGACGCAAATGGTATCGGCGACAATTGCAACGTGATTAGCATCAGATGACGCGAGGGAGGACGAGGCGAATCGAATCTTGTTAAACTGTCTGTTCTTTCTTAATTTACTTCTTAATCGCGATATCGATTAGGATTCGTGGGGCAATTTTCTTATTTTTCGAAGAGAGAAAGATGCAATTGATAATACACGCGTAGACTGAAAATAAGTTTTGCGTTCAGAATCTAAAGTTTTGTTGCATCCATTTCCCTATTTGGGACAGCGAAAGATGTCATGAATGTAATTACGGTCACGAGAAAAAAAAATTGACATAACCGCAGAACTTAATCTAACTAGAACCTTGTACAAACTTGGACGGCTAATTATTATTATATGCCTACGTTGTGGTGAATAATACGTATTTACTCCGATAATGTGACCGATAATTACTATTCTTTCGTTTTCTCTCAAGAGGAAACTACATAAACCTCGTCATTTGAAAAAAATGATCACGAATCGAATTTAATTTAAAATTTTATAAATATATTGTGTCTCTTTTGCATACTCAATACGCATTTTTTCATGAGATATTTAAGCGTGAGTTAGTAAAATTTTATACCATTTTAAACATATGGAAAATATTAGAAATATTGGAAGTATTGAAAAATATTTATAAATCTAGTTCTATTCGAAATAATAATTTGAGCATCAGAAAGAAAAAAATTGCATAATGAGCACATATTTAGGATGCTGTACAACCCTTAATTTTCAACAAATATATAATATTCTACATATTTTCTATATATTTTTATAGGAAAAATTCAAAGAGGAGAGAAGTGAGCTTTCGACAATTCTTTCGCATTCCGCTACTCAAGGGCTACTCTGCGCATAAGAGACTCACCCGAGTGATTATTCTTGAGAGGATCCTTAGAGTCGCCGTCGCTAGTGTCACCGTCACTCTCATTGGCGCAGATGTCAGATCTGGGCGACCCACCATCCTCCTGAAACCAAGAAGAGCGATAAGTCTTGGGTTCACGAAAATACTTGCGAATTTTCGGCGAGGAAGAGGAGGGACAGGACAGGATAGGATGGATAACAGGAGACGTCACTTTTTTCTCGCGTAACGATCGGAGTCGCTACCGGACAACGGTCGCAACGAATGAGGAAAGAACGTACCGTGTAACAAGGAGGATAGCGTACCTATCAAACGTACGTACCTACCTATCTACCTACCAACCTACCTACCTACCTACCTACCTACCTAGCGGACAACAGAGAGATGCGCGAGCTCTTGTCCGCGCTCCTTATATGGCCACATCTCTCTCGCAGACTCCACTCGCGCGAGTGCGCGCGATGCACTCGCGGAGGAGAGGAATTCTCGCGAATTCCCTCGCGACCCTTGGGCAGGGACGTTTCGCGAAACTTTCTTCCCTTAGCGCTTTCTCGTCTTGAAATACCTTTACGCGATTTTTATAATAATTATAATGTATGTATTTTACCTGAGGTATTTTTATTTATTTATTTGAGTAGTAACGAAGATCGTGATTCAATTTTTATAGAAACTAATTACTATCAGAGAACTCTAATTGTCGAAAAAGAAATCTCGCATCTCTTGCTTACTGTAAATTTAGTATTGTATAGTTGCAAAAATTTTGCAAAAATATTATGTACGTTAAAAGTGACTTTTCAATTTCTTTTTTTACAAAAGTCGACAGAAAGGTAACACTTGTGTTTTTTTAAAAAATAATAAACATTTTTGTTACAATAATATTTTTAGCGACATATACAGGGAGAAAAAGGAAGAAAGTTTGAACTATAAAAGATTAAAGTCTCCTCAATTAAATTCCATTGTTAAAAGCAGTTTCCCGATGCAAGCGGAAGCGCACATTTCCCACCTCGTAATTTATGCTAATTACCGTTCGATTCGGCAAAACTATCGACAATACACGTGCGTGCGAATCGCGCGCGGGAAAAACGCGTCGAGGATTATCCGCGAGAGAGAGGGAGAAAGAGAGAGAGAGAGAAGGAGAGAGGCTCGGAGAATGCGAGCGGTACCAATTGGAAAGCTCGAAAAGCCGGCACACGTTCGCTTCCGACTACCGCTGGTTCACGTACACCGGCCTTCCTACCCCTCCGCTGTTTACCCGCGGAGTAAGGGGGCGAACGGTGTGTACGTGTAGAGAAGGCGCGACAAAAAGCAACATTCCTGACTCTTAAGTCGGACTCTATATAAGTGTCTGCCATCGCGAACATTGCCTGTATATGGCGACAACCGGGCTTTGACAAAGGTGACCGTATATGGAACTCCGCTTCCATCTTCCTGCGTGCGTGCGTACGTACGTGCGTCTCTCTCTCTCTCTTTCTCATCGTGAAGGTATCTCGGCGAGCCTCGCCAGTTTCCCTCTCTCTCTCTCTTTCTCTCCTCATTTCTGCCCCTCTCTTGTTGCGTGTCTCGCGCGAGGAGCGATACACCTGGATGCGCGTCTTCCTCGTCTGCAAAGCAACCCCAGCGAGCGGACCAACCAGCGAACGACGTTCTTATTCCGTTAAATCATATCAATCGTATGTGTATGCCTCGATCCCGCGGAAAGCTCCACGCGTGTTTCCGGTACCGGGTTATGCGAGTGTTCGTTAAACGCACGGTGATTTGCATAATCTACATAAGGATATTTCCCATTATGGATGAAATAGATTAGCACGATCGAAAAAATTGCATCGTGAGAATTTTTATTCAAAAAATTTGTCGCAATAAATGCTAATAAATTTTCAATAATCTGATTGTCATAGAACTGTCGTTTTTTTTTCTTCTCTTTGAAAAATAATTTCAGGTCGAATAAAAATAAATTTGATGCATTCGGGCGTCGAAGAAGAATAAAGAAATTTCTCATAAAATGTGTGTCGTTTATATACATACATTTCTTACCCTTAGATTTCTATTTCCGCTTTTTTCTGGTTCACGCTTTCTTTAACAAACACGTCAGGTGCTCGACCATTTAACTTTACTCTTGAAAACCATAGAGAGCATGAAGAGAGAAGTAATTTATTACGCATCTAATAGTTCCCTCAGTCCCTTTTCAGAGTTTCTATTCAAGTTTTGTGCGGAAAGATTTCCGCAGAATTTTCTGATTTTTTGTTGAAAATATTGTAGATAAAAATTAAAGAATTTTTAGATGCAACTTTGAAATGAAAGTTTAATTATCGTGCGTTTTTTATTGCGTTTCTTATTCATTTGATTACGAAGGAAAAAAGGAAAAGCAATTTAAATTTAAAATGTTAGATAAAGAAAACTAAATAGCTTTCATAAGTATTTTTTCGCTCATATAATATTTTCATTTTTTTATTAACAAGAAATTATAATAAGGATCATATTGCAAACTCGCTAATCACACGCAGATGCGTATTCTACGATTGACTTGCCAATTGATAGAGAATGCTTGCAATATAACGATAGAAATTTCAAAGACAATTCTTTTATTTAAATTTCACGAACCCAAAAATAATTCTATGGATTTTGATTTCACAAATTAAAAAAAAATTGAGGTTTTCCAGATTTTTTTTATAAAGTAAACATCTCGCTTAAGTTTGACAAGACAGAAAAGTTGAATACAAATAAAAGAAAATGTCATGTCGATCGACATAAAATGAGATGTTGAAGACATTCAACGCATCAACATTGTTTTATATTTTGGAATACATAATATTCGATAATCTGTGTTATAATAATTATTATTAACGCTATGTGCTAGTAAAAAAAGAGTATAATAAGTACTATTTGCGTTGTGTGTGCAACAAATTAAATAGTAACACATCTGGCACTTGATTTCAATCGATATCATCGAAGTTCTGAAATTACGAAGATTAGGAGAAATTGTCAAGATTGATGCTTACCAATATCCTCCATCCGTGCACATCGTATCATTGCCATTACAGCTAATCGGTAAAGAATACATTAAGAGAGTAGCTTCTATTAAAGTGATATCGATTACTTTCCTATTCGATCGGAACGCAAAACCTACCTTGCGTTTCTTCCTCCCGTACCTGTTTCGCCTTCAAACTTCGAACGACGTTGCAATTATTTTCGAGATTGTGCCACGCGATAATGATACTAGATGTAACTTACATGCTTCTAACGCGTCTTCTATTAGAAATAAAGGAATTCCTAACGCGCACCGCGGAATGTTTTCGGGCCTCTAAATATATCCCGAAACAGATTGTCAAAAATAGGCATATATATCCGCCCCGCGCCTGAAACGCGAAATAAGACTCCAACATCTTCGTAGCTTGTGAAATCCCTTATTGCGGAAGACTCGCACATTGAGAAAAAATTTACGTTGATTAACGGAAAACGTAAAATGCGAAACTATTCTTCGACATGATTAAACACATTTTTTAAGAATTATTGATAATTACTCGAAAAAAAAATAACGATGTCTATATAAAAAGACTTACATATCGTGTAAACATTTGAAGAATATTTTTTGATATATACATATTTTCGTCAATCTTTAATATCTCCATAAAAATCATTATTTATTTCAAAATCGAAGCGCATGTTATCGTTCGAATCGATAAAGATTCTTCTTTTTTTAAAAATTACCTAAAAAAATAGAATCTTTGTAAGATACCTACCTGGCTCGCGAAAAGTAAAACGTGACATCGGTAACATTTGAGCACAATGTGAGAAAATCTATCGGAGATAATCAAGTGACCAGGTTCGAACGACTACAGGGACTATATTGTCGAAGACGAGAAGGAATATATATGTGTCTATTTCTCTGTGTGTATATGCGTGCGTGTATCTGTGCGTGCCATGTACAGACGTAGAAATATATAAATATTATCACAGTATTTTACAGAGTCTCTATATGTACACAGATACTAACAATAAGATATAAGACTAATCACTGTAATCAAGCCGCATTATTCGCAGATATCGTTAATATCATATATATAATATTAATATTATTATTATTATTTGTACTCTGCATGTCGACGCGTGCGGGAATAGATTACATTACTCTCTTTTTTTTCTTTCTATACATCTATTTGATCATCGCGAGGCCTGTGGCCTCACTCTTCACATTCCCGCCTTTATTTTTCTCTTACTCTTATCTCCTCCGGTTCTCCAAATACACGATATATATAGAAATCAACAAATAATACATACACACATACGCATGCATAATGCCGATGGTGCCGCTGCAGGAAGGAAAACGGAGGAGGGGACAGGGGAGGAATAGAGGGGAAAAGGAATGGATTAAATTAAAAAGGTAGTCTAAATACTAACTACTTATTCTACGAGAGAGAACAATCTCCAAATAAAACTACGCATGCCAGTAGCGGTACACAACACATTGTACAAAAAAACAATGGACGAGACACAACGGTATGCTAATAAAAAAAAGAAAAGAAAATGCACAACAATACTAATTGTAAGCGTGCATCGCCGGACTCGCGCCCACCCACGCCACCGATCCGATGGATGGAACATAATCGTCGCAGAATGATTTTTCGAAAGAGAGAGAAAGAGAAAGAGCGAAGATCTTCGCTTCTTCGTGAGATAGAGAACCCTTCGAGAACTCGTCGATCTTCCTCGAGATACAAATGCAAAACAAGGTACACGATATGAAAAATAGTATCCGTTACGATTTATAATAACAATGTGTACAAGTACAACACGCTGCCTTTCCCTAATAAATAAGAAAATACCGACGTCTGCGTCAATAAATACGATTTAAGTTAAATAGAAGAAAAAGACGCGAAAGAAGAAGAGAGAGCTGCTGGAATGAGCGCTAACAGAGTATGATCGGTACTCTATTATCACTCATAGTATAATTCATCATACACGACACTACACTACATATATATATATTTATCTATTAAGAGATAATTATTTAATTAATAATATCTTTCCTCGCAAAATCTCGAATATCTTTCTTTCACGACGTGACTCCCGCCGATACATATCGTCCTTTATCTAATATCGCCGAGCTTTGGAAAAAAGCTATTGTGCTTTGCCTGAAGTACGAATTTAAGCAGCAAAAAAACAAAATATAATAAACGTCGTATAATAAATGTTGAATCTTACGATCTGCCAAGGATACGGTTACGATTCACTCTTGGAAACGCTAATGATGGACTCGCGTTCTCCATTATTACGCTTAGTCGGGAAGTCACTTGTCTTTTCGCATGTCAACACGCGTTTCCACCTTTCCGCGATTCGTCGCACTTTTATCGAGATTCATCGATATACACGGATATAAAAAAAGAAGAATATATATACATATGTGTCATATATATATTTTTTTTTAAATAAAAATGTCGAGAGATTGGACTAGATTTTTGCGCGCGTAAAATCGGCCGTAGATGTATATGTGCGACAGATATTGAAAAGCACTTGATTCTTGATAAAGAAATGATTTCCCTTTCCTTTGCGTTCATCGCATATAATTCGATAAATATTATATGACTCCATCATCGCTAGTGATGGACATTCACAGTTGCATTTTTTGCAAATTTCGAATCAATTGAGACATCGCTCTATTTCGAAATATTTCACGAATATTATTAGAAGTTATACAATTTTAAAACTCTTGATAGGTCTTGAAAGTTTCGATTGATTTCCAAGGTCTCGAGTGATCCATCACCTCAATCTTTTATTTGTGTATCGATAAGTATTGGTAAACATTTTAGTTTCCTACATAATAAATAATTTTTAAATAAAATTTAACAATAATTTATTTATAATATATTATATTATATTTATAATATATTATTTATAATCTCTATTATTTAAAAACAATATTGAGATATATATATATATATATATATATATATATTTCAATACTTTTTTCATAAATAATAAAGATTATAAATAATATATTATAAATATAATATAATATATTATAAATAAATTATTGTTAAATTTTATTTAAAAATTATTTATTATGTAGGAACTAAAATGTTTACATGTATATATATATATATATATATGTGTGTGTGTGTGTGTGTGTCTCAATACTTTTTTTTTACTTTCTCTCTAAAGTTTTTTAGAACATTCAAGATTTTTCAAGACGAAAAATCTCAATATTATAAATAAAATATGTATTATATTTATAATATTTAAAATACTTATAAAACTTTTCAAGATACAAGATTTTCAAGACGAAAAATTTTCGAAATCATTCAAGACTGTCAAGATAACTTCGAATAATATTCAAACTGAAAGACTCAAATTTTTTTTATGATATATTCAAACTAATTCGAAGCATTTTTTTTATTTCCATCATTAATCATCACATATTCGCCGATGATGTAGCGTTTAAGAGGAAATTATGTCAATGATATATGACACCCGAAGGGAAATTATTTCGATATATGAAGGCCTTGTGCGTCGGCACGCGCTAAAATTTTAAATTGTGCACCATTTCTCGAGAGAGAAAAAGAGAGAGAGAGCAAATTAATTATTAAAAATTAATATCTAAGTACGAACAAATTGCAATACTCAAACAAATTATATAAAAATACCAACTATCTCATATTTAACGTGCGTATATTTAAACGATAATCGATCGGATTTTTTAAGCCGCAGTCCCTTCGCCATTTAAAAAAAAATTCCCGAATTAAATTAGAATTTAATCCGAGTAATATATTTATACACATCGACGCGCGATATTTCACAAGACGTTACTAATCGTCGTTTTCTTTGTACACAACATAAATTGCACAAACTTTCTTACGTCGCTGACTCGTGAGTAACGGTTATCGTTCCCGTCTAAACTTGGTCCGAACCTACCCAGAGTATTGGGAGATAAAGCGCGAAGTAAAGCGTCTCTCCCCGGTACACTCGGAACCGAGTCTCGAGACATCCGTCGAGGACATCGTCTAATTCACGAGGTGAAATCCGGCGACGAGAGAGGACGGAATGCACAAGGCCGACGAGGGGGCGAGCGCGTACTACCGTTGGGGGTGCGAGTGCGACATGTGGGGATGATAGGCGGCGTGATGGGGCGGCAGGGGCGAGGGGCAGGACTGCTGGTAGGGGCCTCCGGCGAGCATCGGGCCCGGGCTCGAGCACGGCACGAGGTGCGAACTCGGCGAGGCGGCCGCCGCCGCCGCTGCTGCTGCGTGTGCATGCGCTATGAGGTGCGCGTGTTGCGCGTGCGAGGGTGGCGCGTGCTGCGAGCCCGGTGGCGGCGGCGGCGGGGGTTGCTGCGGATGGGGTCCGGTATTCGGGCCACCCGCTGGCCCGCCACCAGGATAGCCGGCGTGCAGCGAGCCACCGTGCGGCGAGCCGTACACCAATTGCCTTACTTTCTGCTCGTCGTCGGCAATGTTGTACGTCAGCTCGGTCTCCTCGAAGCCGGTGGCCGACATCCTCTGGTCGCCCGACGAGCCGGACGGCGGCGGATCCGGGCTGTTGAGGCACGTCTGAATCAGCGCCTTGCCAGCCTCGCTCGTGATCATCGGCTGCAGCTTGCGCGTCGCGAATGTGTACACGTGACCGGTCTCGCTCGCCACCAGCAGCATCACCTGCGTGCCTGTCAACGTTGACAGCTCGTACGCCTGCAAGTAAGGACCGATACCTTGGTTAATTCCCAGAGAAAGGGATCATTTTAGATATTTTATAGTCGATAATAATAGAAAGATTTGTATAGTAAATAATTTAGATAATTTTTTATAGGTAATTTTATTATCATTATTTCACATAATAATTTTTTCCTACTCGATAGTAAAAATGGATTTATTCGCAAGATCTCAATTTTATTCCTTTTTCTCACATTATATTAAAGATTAGATTAAAAGAGAAACATCGATAGTTCGAAAGTTATTAGTTGACAATTTTTTCTTGCTTCATTTTACAAAGAAAAAATTATTATAGCGCTTTATGCTCAAAATACGAACTAAATATCAATGTAAAAAATGACTATTAAATTAAATAAATGTTATAACGTGCAACGGAAATTTAATCATGTTACAAATTTAGATAATATCGATACGATGATCGGATAATTTGTGATACTAATTCAATATTTGTAAATTTTAAAGGACAGAATTGACCGATTGTTTTTAAATATATAGATGTATATAGATGTTTTTAATATATAGATGTATATATATTTAAAGAAAGAAGAACAATTACATTATTGATATCTAATAATAAACTTTATCTCAATTTGCTCCATATTTTTCTTTTTAAATTCTCACATATTTATGTTGAAAATATAAGTAGTAAATATATTTACTACACTTATACTCTACTCCAACAATGTTACATTAAGAAAGAAAAAAAATTTTATTAATATCTAATTTGTTGAACATTATGTTTTTCAAATAATATCAATTAAATTACGATATCCTTAATTAAAAGAAAATATATAAATTACTTTAAAAGATTTTTAAAGACTCTGAAATATTAATGTGTTGCAAAATAACGGTAATAATTGATCACATTATTCACTTACATATTCTCTTATATATATGTATATAATACATATTGTATTTTTATTCCTTGGAATGCAAATACATTTCAAAACATTTACATTTATAATGCTAATGAAAATTTAATTTTCAGTCTGTTTGTGACAAATCGATTAATTACCTTCAAGTTGAACATATAATTGAATAACGAAACACTGTCTTACGCATAATGGTCCTCTCTGTTTTAAATATAAATCGATAAATTATTATATAAAGACACGATATCCTTTCGCAAAGGATCTTGCTCAAGTTATCATGCATTACCTTATTGACAATTAGAATTAAAAGACACTTAAACATGTGTAACAATAATCACTCGCATAATTGGAGCTAAAAATTTGCGAAATAATTATTCATATTTTTTGTTATAAAACCCAATGTCCTATAAAGCGATATAAAGTTAATTGCAAAATATATAAAGTGATACAAATCGACACCGATGATATTAAATTATAATCAATCTTACGAAATTGTAAATCTCATAATTAAAGTTTAATAATTGGAAAAATTTGCATTATCGCGATGTAATGTCTTATCTCAAAAACAGATGTAGTACATCTGTATTTATGCGTAAAATATACTTTTCAATTATTATATTCTTTTTAAAGACCTTACGCGAAATATGTAAAATTCATCGAAATCTGTTCATTAAGGAGATGAGTCATTTGGCGGTTTCTATTAAAGTAATCTGGCTTGCCTCGAAAACAATTAAATACATTCGACATGGATTCTTAATTAACGTCTGAAAATTAAAGATAATGTATAGTCAGGATGATGCTTCGTATTTTTTAGAGAGAGATATATCTCGTTATTTACATGTTCGTTGTGTGGACACAGTATCAGTATCTTTAATCAAACATAAGATCATGAACATTGAATTTAATCACTTCCGGAACGATGCGGATCGCTTTAATTCAAAATTTCTCTCTCTCTCTTTCTCTCTATCTTTTGCCCTCAAGCGATAAGTTTACTTCGAGTGTTGAAATTTCACACTCTGCTGCTTTCTAAATTTTATGAATGTATTATAATTTCATTTATACATATAATATATATAATATATATAATTATTTTTATATATATAATCTCAATTAGCAAATTTTATATTTTATAAAAAATAATAAAATAAGAAAAAAACAAAAAATTAATTTTTTTCAAGCGATTATTAATAATTTACAACCGTATGATATATATTTTAAATACATTATGACTATTTATAAAAATGGTGTTGTAAAATATACTGTATTATAAACATGAAAAATATTATAAAATTATTCCATTGTTAAGTACTTTTACCACATACGATTAAGTTTTTATTTTATTCTTTACTGAAGAGAGAAAAAGATATTTGTTTACAATAGTAAAGAACAAACTCAAAAGCAGTAAGGATAAGATAACGTACTGGAGACATGAGAAAGAGACTGCAACTCGCAATATAGTTGCTTTTTTCTGTAAATAGTCAATTTTATTTAAATTTAATCTAATCTAATCGATGTGAAAGAATGCATGTTACAGAAATATTTTATATATCTTTTAAATATGACACACACATTTCTATTTTTTTTTTATATTTTAAGATATATTTTAAAAAGAATTAAATAAAAGTATATATATCACTTGTGATAATCTGACTTTTGTGAGATAGTTTGTATATTATATTAACAAGAGAAAACGGGAGACAAAGAGAAATAATTATTATAAGAAAATTAATAAGAAAAGTGTATAATAAGAATAATTAAAAAATAAAATAAGATCAAGAAAATTAAAAAAAAATCTTTTCAAAGATTTTAATCAGTAGAGTAATTTTATTCAGATCACGATAAAAAAATACAAGAGAAAGAAAGAAGCAGAGAAAACTCCAATAATTAATTAAAAATGAAACACAATTGTTAAACAAATAATTGTTGAAAATCCCTGTCGTCCGATTTTCATTCTCGAAATTTTAAGATATGTGTCGATACAAAAATTATTTCCTTTAAAATACGATTATAATTTTTCATTATATTTTATCGATTTTCAACCAACCAATCTATCAAATTATCTACGACATGCGTTGATTGCGTCAGATTTCGATTATAGAAAAATGCACGATAAATGCACAATAAATACGATCTAACGTTCACATTTATCTTTATGTACGCATTCGTAAATTAAATCCGCGACATAATCACTCGGCTTTTATCCCTGACTGAGATCGCGCGCTCAAGGGAGTTGTACAATAGCGTTGCACCGACTTGGAATCCTAATCTCCTCGGATTAAGAAACCGAGAAACTCGTCCTCTCTTTTAGATTGCAGTCCAATCTTCGTGTCCCCGATAGAAAAACACAAAGCTAATCGGAGTGAACGCTAACTGCTACCTCGACGCGTGCAAGCGACCCTAGAACGCGCTGTCACTGATGACTCGCGCCGAAGGTCGCGGTGTATCATAAATCGGAAAACCATGCGAGAAACGGTATACTTGTCAATGTGTTTTGATATCATTATTTTCACATGTACCTTCTCCCTTTTTTATTCCTGCCCTCTTTTACTCCTGTCTTTTTTAGTCCTCTTTTACTCTTGTCTTTTTTAATCCTATCGTTTTTAGTCCTGGTCCAAGATGCGACAAGGACGTCGTCATCGTTAGCGAGTGATTTTTGAACAAAAAAAATTGTAATAAAAATGATTGAGAAAGCTGATATAAGCTTGTTATCTCAAAAAAAATAAATATAAATAATAATAAATAATAGACTTATGCGAGCGAAAGCAGGTTTTTGTTGTAGACCGGGTCTATAACAGATGTAATAAGCTTTAAACCGTAAGAAATCAATCAATCATATTTAATTATCTTTCTTACATGGAACCATGATTGATTAATATCTTACGACTTAAGGCTTACGACACTTATTGCAGATTCGGCCTAGAAAATAAACAAATGTAGACAGTTATTCGAGGTATCTTTACTAGAAACGAGATATTTCAACATCAACTAGCGTCTCTCTCTTCGGCAAATATTATTTATAATAAATCACATGTACGAAAGATACGTATGAAAGATATGTATGAATGATATGTATAAAGATTGAATGAACCATGAAAATTGATCTTACGAGTTGTCAGGACTCGGAGAGACCTTTGATGGAGATATCGAGGAAGCTAAAATGAACAGCATCATCCTCGCATTACGTGCGATTTGAAAAAAGAGCGGGAAGAGGAAGTTACACGTGCGGACGTCTATTACGCGAGATACAAACAGACTCGACACAAACCTTCTTCATGATGCCGGTCTTCCTCTTGGAGAACGTGGTGTACCGTCTGAGCTTATTGTCGATGTACTCCATTTTAATTTTCACCCGGCCCTTGGTCTTCTTGCCGTTGGACGGGGGTGACTTCTTGGGCTGGCCGAGGCTGGTGAAGGACTCGTCGAGGTTGTCGGGGACGCAGTCGCCGGGCATGCCGGACATGGCCTGCGCCTGCGAGAGCTGCGCCTGCTGGCGCGCGGCCGCGCCGTCATCGGCGTAGCAGACGTCGGACGTGGTGCGCTTGATGCCCCGCTGGACCGGGCCGGGGCCGGGGCCGACGCCGGGCGTCGCGGCGCCCATCATGGTGGCGCCACCGCGGCCCATCTGAGAGGCCGCCGCCGCCGCGGCCGCGAGCTGGGAGGTGGACGGTCGGCCGTAAATCTCCGCGCCAGTATCGCCCCCGATCATCCCCATGTAGCCGAGGTTGGTGTACCGACCGTCTCTTCCGCCGCTAGGGTTGTCCATCGCGGCGTCGGCGCGCACATTTAATCCCTTCCCCACGACGGCGGCGCGTCTTCGCCACGGAATCGCGTGCGGAACTCGGCGCAGTGTCTCCCACGTGATCGATCATCTAGAGGAACACGGGACAACAACGCGCACCGCACGAGCGCTCCCCGCGAACTGAGTGCGCGCGCGGCCACCGCGCCGAGTATCGTAACTTGACCTACGTGCCTACGGCGGAGATGCCTCCGCGTGTCGCTGCGCGAGTGTCCGCGCGCGCGCGCGGCTCCCCCCACTCCGGCGCGCGGCACCGCGTCGACGCCGGAAAAAAACTAGTCCGCGGTAACGCCACGGACGCCGGTGGACGGGGATCCGCGTCGAGACCGACGTCGAAAAATCGCCCCTGCGTCCAAGCGTCCGGATCGCCCATCAAATCGGCCGCGCGACGTGCCGGTTCGCCCGGAATTCGGCCGCAAATGCGTCCGCGCAGGGTTACAAAGCGCGACGAGAGGGCGTCCCCGGCTGCCATATTTAGAAGTAGACGTTACCATATTAGGGAAAGTTTGCCAAATATGGTGAACAGAGGTGGTCCTTCCTTTTCGAATAATCGCACGGCGCGCCGCGTCGAAACACCAATCCAACTGACAGTAGCGCTTCCTGCACGCCTTCCCGACCCCCTCTGACCGAATCCCCTGTATTCTCCCTTTACATGCGTGCATGTATATCGTATATATGCCATACGTGACCGCGCAAATCGCGGCGGTGCCGACCGGACCGGATGATTCCGTCTCGTCTGTGCCGTGTTACGGATGTAACGCGTAAACTTCCGACTTTTTATCATCGGCCTCCCCCAGAGCGACGTCGTTCACGGAACTCTAATGAGACGTTAACGGCGTTACCCTGTCGCGCGAGACGTTGATACATTTCTCTCGGTAATGATCTTCTCTGTACAAGACAGTTTTTAACAGCCTGGGATCTCCGAGATACATGGAACCTTTGATGTGTTTGCAGTTGTCGAGCAATGATTGATGCCTCGTGTAAAAATATGTTGCTAAAAATATGTATTACCTTCTGTACAGTTGATGCTTTAAAGTGGGAAAATGATTTGTAAAACACTCTTTTTTTTTTTCCTCTCTTACAACGCTGATTTAATCCGTTTATATTCATTGAATATTTTTCATACTTGTGTCAATCAGCTTGAAGATGTACAACTAGGATATTTTCTTAAAAAAACTGCGCTTTCTCTCTCTCATTCTTTTTCTATAGACATGTATATATTAATTATATAATAAAAATATATATATTTTGCGACCTAAATATTTTATTAAATAGCAATATTTTTATATCGAAAAACTTATATTTATAAATTAACAGAATCATAATTCTTACGCTCTATTTCTCCTATATTTTATATCTTACTGAGCATTTACAACATTCCTCGAAACAAATTCACACATGGAATTTAAGGTTGTTCTCCGGACGATATTGCACGAGCGTGAGACATGAGAGCGTCGTGAATGTCGCGAGCGTACGCCACTTGTGCGCGCACAGTCATCAAGAACTGCGGATAAGACAACGCTGGTCCCTCTTGTGTACTTACTGTGTCGGTACGATTTGTTATAACAGACATTGGTAGATATCGGACCGAGCTATTATTCTGGGACAGACATTCTACAGAGGTTTTCAGATGCAGTTCTATTTGATCACAGATGGAGTAAAACTCCTCCATATGCTTATTGAATCGATGATCAGGCTGATCTATACCCTTCATGGATCCTACATCGACCAAACTATTTTGATGTAATGTGTGTGCCGCAGTTTTGAGAGCTATGCCTAGAGATTCTCTCAAAGGTCCAACCAGAGATTTCACTTTAGATATGTTATCCAGCTTATCTTGTGTCTGCTGTTGCTGCTGCTGTTGTTGTTGTTGCTGCTGCTGTTGGACTTGTTGTTGCTGCGTTTGTTGCGCCTGCTGTTGATTCTGAGGCATTTGAGGATTCACCGGTTGTCCCATTTGTCCCACTCCCATGGTTCCTTGTTGCTGAATCGGTGGGATATTCATCTTGCTCCTAATGGAATATAATCATAAGTGTTTTTCTTTCCCAAAAAATATTTTTAAAAATATCAAGAGTGTTTAAAGATTTTAAGATTTAAATTTTAATATATAATAATTTGTATTGCATCTTTATATCAGATATACACTCTATTTTTAGCTTTCAGATTATCTCTTAATATAATTTACAGAAATAGAATAAATTAATAGAATTTACAGAATTTTATTAATTTGAAATAAAATATTATTTTTCCTCTTTCTTACCGATTTCTGATTAAATTAAGTTTGTTAAAAATTGGACAAAATTACCAATGTTTGTTTATACGATACAGACACAAGTTACAGGTTAGGAGAGTTTTCGAAATTGTCGAATTTGCGCATGAGCGGAAATGACAGATTGGCGCACGCGCATGACAATCGTTTCGAAAGTAACGCCAATAAAAATACTTGCCAAACCAAACTTCCTCAAAAGCCAGTGTAATTTTCGTTCACAGAGAGAGACAAGTGTGAAAAAAATTCTCGCAAACACATAATTCATAGAAAATACTAATCAATAATTATCGTTATAATTACCCTGTCGGCGTCTATCGAGTTCTATAGAATAGTCAAGTCTTCTCTATATTATCCTATAGAAAATCGAGGTGAAAATCAAAAAGAGATACGTATATTCTCGGATGGATCTCCGTCTCTTTTTACACTTACCATCCGAACTAAAAACATCTCTCGTCAGATATTTAGCGACAAAAGTGATACGCGTCTCCCAGGAAATATTTTGATTTTATTTAGGAATTTAAAATTGAAAATATTTAGAACGACTTATTCTCCTTCAGTTCGTAAAATACACGTGAAGTCAACGTTCTCGACCGCGATTCTAATGACAATGGCATCGACCAATCGGCGGGCTCCCAACGAGGACAGCGATCCACTCAGCGTGCGCGCATCCTTTTCTACGAATCTCGTCATCCCTTTCACTTTCAAGGCTCGCTCGCGTCCAATGCGGATCGGCCTTTAGCCTCGACGGCGGCCAATCGGGACGCGCGGATGACGGCGACCGAGTCGAATTACGCATGGCGTCCGACGCCATCTAACGACTGGCATTCCTGCTCGCTCCCGCTGGTAAAACCAGGGGCCATCGTGTCGAAGAAAGCGCGGAACTCTCCCTCGGCTCGCTCCCGCTCTCTGGACTCTTCCTAGTTTCGCGAGTTCGCGCGTCGCGTGGTACCCCCAGCTTCCTCGCGGTAACAACGTCATGGCGCGAGAGCGCCGCGCGAAATGATAGACGCGCGACCGGGCTCCCTGCGTCGTGCCGGCCAAGCGTTCTAATAGTTGAGTGCGTACGGCCCTCTAACCCGTGTGTGTTGGCACACGCACGAGAGAGAGCAGCGGCGGTCAACCTCCCGGACGGGACCCCACTGGCGGCGGATTCCTGCGCGAACGGCCGGCCACCCACGGCTCGCACCTCGCGCTGCGAATAATACAGGTAACGAACGTCGCGAGTACGCATCGTTCCTCCGGCCACCGCCAGCTGCGTCCCGCGGACGAAAATTCTCGCCCGTGTTTATGTTTACTCCTTTAATTACCCCCCTCTACCCCTCCTTTCTCTCTCTCTCGCTCGCTCTCTCCTCTCCGCGCCACCTCCCCCCTCGCGTATGCTCGCCTGTGTGTCCCGCACATCCCGCCTTTCTCGATTTTCCTCGCCGCTCTTTTTTTCACGCCACGCACCCGATTTCTCGCGCGAGCTCCTTCGCCCCCGCGTTCGCGTCCGCGTTTATTAGCGGGAACGAACGGTATCGCTCCTCCTTATCGCGGGATTGTATCTGTAATAATTGTTTGGCCCACTGTGTAGCAATGTGCAAAAGAGCGTATAATGTATGTACTCGCGATGATAATTGTGTTATATAAAGTTTGTATTATCATGTGATTTTTTTTTCTTTTTGTCTCTCAATTGCTCCTCGATATATTCGCAAACAGCAATAGATATGACGTTCTCTTAACGTATTCAGCTCAATTAGCAGAGTAATCGCAGACTACCAAGCTGTAATTATGAGAATTATGTTGCGTTATGCACAAATTGAAAATCTAGCGTTAATAAAAATTATATGATGCTGTTTACTTAGACATGATTAATAATGTTACTGAAACATAATTTGATATTTGAGATAAATTAATTATAAAATGATCATTTTATTTACTGTTTACATTCACATGTTATTAAGTATATAATAATAAAGTACTTTTATTTTATATTAAGTAAATACAAGGAATTATTTTCTAATCAAAAAATAGCTCATGTATCTTAAAATCAACAATATCTCGAATAGGTACATCTGCAACTTCCAGCCACTCCATGCTTCCCATGAATGCCATGGCACAGAAAGTGGTACCAGGATCAGAGTCCGGATCGATGAAACCCTTAACAGGGACCGGACTAAGCTATGTCACCCTACAACCACCCAGTCAACCGCTTAGTCTGGTGCAGGATCATAGACCATCGGTGTACCAGACACCACCTTATATCGGTAGCAATGTGGAGGAACCAGAAACTGAAAAATTGATCCCCAATGGTGTGGAGATTACAAAGACGGAAACGGAGCAAGATGTGCCTGCTGTTACAAAACAAACTGAATCCAATAGAAACAACAATTTAAGTCCTGAAAATCCTGTACAAGAGCAACCATGTGAAATACAACCAGAACAAGTTCTGACATCTTTAATGGATTTTCCATTGAATACTCGTGAGTAACATATTCATTGCAAATTTAAATAAATAAATATTATTTTATTGGAACAAGATATTATTTTATTATTGCTTTGTAATATTACAAGATAAAATTTGACATAATAAATTATACAAGACAAAACATTGTAAACAATAAGCAAAGTATAAAGACAAAATATTAATATAAATTTATATTGCACATGAAAGAAGATAAAATGTGAAACTCATATTTATGTGTAATATTACATTTATTTTTATAGCGTTAAGCACACCGGCACAAAATAAAGTTGAAGAAAAGAAGGCTCCTGTAAATAACGGATCAAAAGAATCAGACGGTAAAGCCGTTAATACACCTGTACATATAAAACAATCTCCACATAAACCAGAAGATGTACAAGCAAAGAATGAAGTTCCAAAGGCCAAACCTACAAATCAGAATTTGAAAGTACCAAACGATAATGTTGCTACAACATTAACTAGTACATATAAACCTGACGCAAAAGTCACTACCTCTCCAAAGACAACTAAACGAAAATCTAGAGAATTGAAAGATTTGAAAGCAGCATCTGCTATAGTTACTGATGGAGCAAGTAAACCCAAAAGGAACCGGATTCAAACGCAACCCTATCAAAGTCCATTACCAGAAATTGCTTTATTGGTCAAAAGCCTCAATAAAACTCCAGGTTCTAAAGCTGCTGATGATAAACTTATTGTATTTTATAAGTAAGTACTCTCCATCTTATAAAAAATCTTCAATATCTTTGTATTTGTTTATAAGCATAAATTGAGTAATCAAATATTTATTGTTAGAAACGAATTTTTGGCTGTGAGGAATGCCGAGGGAAGTTTTTATGTTTGTCAAGCGATGCAAAATATCTACAAATCAAGCAGACGTATTCGCATACGTTGGCTATCTCAAGATAAAACCAACGGGGAATTCTATTCACCAGATTTTTATGATACCATAGGTATTATCAGATATTTGAATATGTGTAGCATCATTATACGTTCATCTCTTGTCATCACAGGGACATACATTGCATCTGTTTTAATTTTATCATTTAATTTTCAGATTTTGATTGTATATTAACAAATCTGAATCTAAACAAGGTCGACAAGTCTAAATTCTGGTTAACACGAATAGAACTGCTACGTACAGAAAATATTTTGAAACGAGCTATCGATGTTGAGGCTGGAGTCTCTGAAAAACCTCGAGTTACAGAGGAGCATCCTGATGGCTGTAAGTAAACTTGATTTTTTAAAATAATAATTAAATACTATTAATTATTGTTATTATTATTTTGTCCATGTGTATTTTATAACATTGTTTGTTCTGCAGATAGATAATATAAAAACCACAATCTTATTTTTTTAGTGGATTTGTCTCTTTACAAAGATGAGTCGCAGCTGAAGAGAAGAAAAGGCTTGCATAATGACAAGCCTCAACGTAAAAAATCTAAACAAATCGCAAGTTCTACGGATGATGACGCGGACGATGAAGAATTGGATCGAAATCGAAAAACATCCAAGACAAGCCGTTCAAAGAAACAATCGGTTAATAAGGCATTGGCGATTGCCAAATCCGTCGCGAAAAATACTAGTAGAGCGGAGAGAGCACTCAACAGAAGCACAAAATCTGGCAATAGTTTAGGCAACGATGTTGTCACTACTACTGCGGTTACAACTACTGCTACCATCACCACTACTGTTACTGCTGCTCCAGCGATTACTACCGCTAGCGCTGCTGCTACTGCTGCTGCTAGTGTTACTACTACTAGTACAACAACCGTCAATCCCACCATCAACGTTTCCGCGGCAGATGCCAAAAATAATCCAGAATTGAAGAAATTGGACTTGAAAAAAAATGGCAAACAACAAAGTAACAATAGCATCAGGGGAATTCCAAGAACAAAACTCGGAGGTAAATAATTTTATATATGTACATATTTCCCCAAAATACATTATTTGTCTATGCGTTACTTTTTAAAATATAGTTTATTAGGGCAACAAAATTTTATCGAAATTCTAGCTGTTTATATTATAAACACACTGTAAGAAACTTTTTAAAATCTAGACTCTTGATGCGATAATATACGTCATGTATGGTTATTAAACTGGAATAAAAAAAAACATATTACTGATGAACAATCAATTTAAAGGTTCTGCTCAAGCTATACAACACGCCAGTAAAATGGCAGGGCGTCCGAAGCGCGTAGCCGCTACCACCGGCGTTCTCTCGAGCGAGGAGGCGCCTTCTCCAAGAAAGAAACCGCGCGGTCGAGCATAAAACTAACTTAACGTTGCTTTTTTATGCTATAGTTACAGCTGAGTCTGTATCGTAGGCAATATGTACGTGTGGTACACTTCTTGAAATTGCAATCAATTTGTTATGTAATATATACATATATACGGATTTCAAGATTCTTAAATGTATCATGTGTTGCGATAATATTATAGTTCAATGATACGGGATCAACGACTTGTATCTCTGATTCGTCAAGTCGCATTTGAAAAAAAAAAGAAAAGTTAAAAGTTAAAGATAAGAAAAAAAAACTCAGAGATTTATGCGAGTGATATTGTGATATCATACAAAATTTGTACATATCGTCTACGTCTCAGACTCCTTCAGAAGAAGAAAGTCACGGAATGTATGGGAATGGTACCTTGAGTTGAGTAATAACTAATCTACAGGGTGTCACATACTAATGCACTCTTGCAATAGTCTATTTTTGATGTTGTGAGTGAACCGTACGTGATTCAGTTAATTTTAATGTACACTTTCCATTGGATATGAATATATACACTATGTACAAATATACATGTATGGGAGGGGTGGAAATTATATGTATTCTGTAAAACAGAAAAAAGAGAGATTAAGATACCGAGAAATGAAAAATAGTATCGACAAAGAAAACGAGAATAATCCCGATTATTACCGATCTCCCGAGCTAATCTTCGATCGATCGGTAAAGGATCTCGAAGTACAATATATTACTGTACATTATGCTGAATCCTTGCTGTTAAAAAAAATAGCACGTAAAAATGGTCCAGCGCCTATATAAAGACAGGCAGAGTAAAGTGCCCTGAATTGTCTCCTTGTCAAATCAAGGATTCGCGAAAGATTCGCGAAAGATTCGCGAGCGGAAAGTAGCACGTTGCTTATAGTTTCTTGAATGCACTTGCGGCGGCCCATCATTGTAAAATCGCAGGGTTCATATTAAATAAAGAGAGAGAGAGAGAGAGAACGAGCGAGCGAGCGAGCGAGCGAGAGAGTGGTGCCACATTATTACGATTTAGCCACATAGATGTAATTCTAGAAGAAGTGAATGAAAGAGAGCACTTATTTAGAACGCTAAGTCTTGAATCCAATTGTATAAATTTTTGATTTATTTTTATGTACGTGTTAATTTTAATTTTTTTTTCGTCATTTATATCGAATGACGAAGTGTATATTTGATAATATACATTAGACGATTATATGGTTATATATATATATATATATATATATATATATATATATATATATTTCGCGCAAAATTAAATTCATATACATATATATATATATTATATTTTAATGTAGCACACATATTTTATATCACGTCGGCGTACATTCGTTGCAAAGAACATATGTCAGCGTTTCTTTACGAAAAGAAGTCACTTTTGGAATGTGCATTATTTGTTTGTGTAATGTGTAACGTGACATATACATATATTTGTTTCCCCCTCTTTTTTTATGCTACGACAGTATACAGTAGAAGTATATGAAAATCTTATGAAGCAAATAGATTATTTATAACGTTATAGGGGGTGTGTCGATAAGTTCGAGTACGGGCGAACGAGTACTCGTACATCGTCGATTACATTAATGAGTTTCTTTTGACTAAGATTTCGATATGAGGATATGTGTAAACGTATTTTATACATCGGCCGTTAAGAATGTTAATGTTTCCTTGCTTGATTTCGCCCATACACGTGTACATAAAGCGATTAGATAATCAAAATTGTGCATACGAATGTAGCCAGGAACAGAGAGAGAAAGTATCTCTTGCGTCATTTTGGGAGTAAAATTACACGGGCGATCACGTTGCAATTTGCTTAGCACGTAATTTACACCCGCTTTACGTTTATCGAATATTTAATGCAATCCTCGATATCCGCTTTTTATTTTTCGTTGACGGTCATGAGCGCTGTACATTATTGATGAACGTCAAGTGCAAACGCTCGGCTTCAAATGTGCCGTTTAAAAAAAGAAAGAGGGAAAAAAGCCAAAAAAAAACAGGCATATCGATTTCTGTTCGAAAAAAAATAGGATACAATATAATTACCATAACTAAATGATTATAAGGTGGATTTGATTCTCGAGATGGGACACACGCGAGTAAGATATCAATCCTGTCGTATTTGGTCCATTGCACATTGTATTTGAGAAATATACGCATACTGTATAAATTTAGTGAAGGATTCTAATATAACAATACCATCATACAGAGAACTGTTTGCTCATATTATTATTATTATTATTATTATTACTCGATTATTTTAGAAAAATGCTTGCGCGTTTTTCTTCCCTTTCTTTTTCTCGAAACGAACGCGATCGTCAGCAACAACGTGCAATCGGTAAATGCAATTAACGTGTAATTGTCGGCGTATAAGGCATGTACGATAAACTCGTCTCATTAATTTTCGTAGCTTCTGTCGAGGAGAGAGAAATCATGTTCTTTATATATATAATATACCCCCGACTTTATTAGAATATAATACGATTAAGATATGTTAATGAAATATAATTCAAGTACGAAACGTTGCGCGAGAAACGATTTTTTCCAATTACACAAAATTCATTTGCCGGATTCCCCCCCGTTTTTCCATGTGGATTCCATGTGGGATACGATAATTTCGACTCGAGCTCAAGTATATTCCCAATAATTCTAACGGATAAGAACGAATCATCTACCTATCATCGATCGGCTCGGACGATGTTTGTCGCGATGTTGCTCGCATCTGAAACCGAGAAAAAATACTAAAGTAAATTCTGTAAATCGATTAGGAGAGCATTTTTGACTCGCGTAACGATTAAGTGTCTTAACATTAGCTCTTATTAGATATATATATTACATATAAGCGCTTCGCGCGGATGCTGATTTGCTAAAGTAATCAAATAAACTAACTGTACGATGTATATATATCCGTTGACATATATCGATTATGGTATATGTACGTAGGACTAAGATCATTTTTCTCTCTCGCATCGTTTTACGTCTCTTTTTTTTTTTTTTCCCTCCCGTCGATTCTTTACCTGTAGCGACGAATTTCGAGTACAACGTGTACATATATACACTTGTTCTTACTTGACTTACGCGAGAGTGGATTGAAGTTGCACGTTTCCTAAACGGACGATTCTTTTTCTTTTGCTCTCAAGATTGCGATAATAAAATTCTTATAGATAAGTAAGCACGTGCGCGTGATTCTCGTCACATTTCTTTTTTTAGTTTTAGCTTGTATCGTGTCTTGCGATCATCCGCAAAATAAAAGCGCGTGTTATAATTGTATTATGAACTCTATCATGCTCTCGAATATTATATATTTTATGTACTTTATATGTGACTACTGATTTTTTAAATCATTCGTTGACAATCAGAATTTTAGTTTTTCAAATTTATTCGAAAATTATATAAAATATGATATATTTTTTTTTATAAAATTATACAATTTTTTAAAAATGTAAACAATTTTTATTATGCAACTTTTGTGTTTTAAAAACTTTTGAAAAGTGTGAACATTTTTATAAAATTGCGCAATTTTAGAAAATGAAAAATTTTTATAAAATTGTGCACTTCAAAAATATGTCAAGATAAAGATATGATGCATGATAGCGTTAATAATTACTTTTGAAACGTTGAAGAAAGAAAGAGATATTGTTAAAAATGTGGAGAGAAATGATATAATTAAATAATCGATTCATCAATCTTTTTTTGTGCTTGTGTGAAACTGGTGCAATTTTTGCGCATCTCGTGCTATTTTAAGTGGCAAGAATTTCAAGTATGTTTGTAAAGGGAGGAGCGTCCTCTCCTTTCCCTCCCACTCGGAGAGGAGTTTCTTCATCTCTGATTTCGACGAAAGTTGATTTATTCTCTCGTAAGATAATCGTAAGGATAAGAGATAAGCATTTTACGACCGATCCGATTTCTCGGACATTCTAGAGGGTGAGATATGTATTACTCTTCACGCAGTTCACGCTCTCTCGATGGTAAGTCGAAAACTTAACACAGATACACAAAAGTGTTTTTTGTACAAAGATCATTTGGTTATGTATGTATAATAAAGTGACGTCCAGAAATATTACGAGGAACAATTCTTTCAAAGTTAGAGCGACATTTAACGACGTCTCCCTCTTTCTCTTTTTAATTTTAATCTCTCGATCTCACAGAATTGAAGGATTTCAATTTCGTGGCTTTTTCTTACAAGAAAGATTATGCGCGCAAAGAAATCATATTGATATTTATTTTTCTCGTGCATATTAAAACGAATAAGTTAAAAAAAATTCTAATTTCCAGGATATTATTAAAAACACTACGCATTCTATAGATAAATACGAGTGAGTGATTTAATGTATAAAAACATGTTTTAATAAATATCAATAAAAAAAAGTTACAGAAAATATCTACACAAATTACAAATATATATCAATATATATAAAATTACATGATTCGCAACATAATAATATTCTCGAGGACTTCCCTACACATTTCATTTAATGTGTAGGGAGGGTCTCTCTCTCTCTCAATTTATCTAATCTTAATATTAGTTGCATGTAATATTATTCGCGCTATTAAACGCGCTAAAAGTAATCATAATACTTTTCTCCATTATTGATTTGAGAGATATTGTCGACATTCATAATTCACGTTCACACGCACGTGTCAATGGTGGTGAATAATCGCCGTTTTAACAATCATTCAAGTTCTCGTAATGAGTCTTACAATAGCAACGACACGCGAATCTTAATAATATAGTTTAATGTCCAACACACCGGATGAACTTGATTCGCATGTGTGATGAGTAAAAAAAGAGATTTGCAAAAAAAAAAACTAATATTGTTCGCAAGTACATAGTTATAGATTACAAGGCACTAGAGTAAGAATTTCATGGTCACTCCCTTTCTAGATATCCATCGTATTTGACGGATAACGAAAGACCTTCGTCATAATTTAGGACTAGCGAGATACACAAGACGTATTTCATAAACGTCAGATTTTTCTCAGCACGAAAGTTTTTAACGCTATATCTTTAGAACTCTCATACCTTGAAGTCTTATTAAAGTTCAATCGCACGCGCACCATTAATTAATTAGAGTATTATTTCATCTTGTTCTAAAGCTTAATTTGTTAAAAGCTTTCCTTTATCTCTTGAATGGATTTTCACGGAAGAAGAATATCTTAAAGCCGAACAATCTATTTGCGCGACAAAAGTATGTATGAAAGAATGAAACACTTCTTTATCAAAGAAATTCCGTTTGCTTGAAAGTCTACTATATATACGTTATACAAGCACCATTAAACTTCCGTTTGAGGAATATTATGTCGGCGAAAAAAATTATCAACCTTTAATTACAGGAACATTCGTACAAGAGACCGTGTTTCGCTTTGCTTTTATTTTTTTTAAATCGTTACGACTCTAAACCGTTTATTTCTCTTAATTATAACGTCTGCATACTGGAAGAAGAACTCTCTTTGGGATATTTTTATGTACAATGATGAGTAGCCGTAGTTTACTATAAGTTCGAGTGAAAAGGAACGTCTGTATTTTTTTTTTTTTCGAGGAAGAATGAAATTTTCATTCTTTCCACGCATGCACAATAATCAACGTATATATCATTTCCAAATCCTGAAATGCATTTGTCAAGTAATGTGATAAATTGTAAGCCTGAGATTTTTATAGTAACTATATTTATATTCAAGGAAAAACTCGCGCAAATGATGCGTTTAGTTTATATATGTCTCTTACAATGATTTTAGACAATTGCAGTTTGCTATTTATAATATAGAAGAGTCAAAAGATCTTCCATCTTGTCTAGACGATGCTACCAACAAAGGTATCGAAAAGCATCACAAGCATGTCGCATTTTTCGATATCTGGTGGAGAAAACTCAGTCGTTTATATTAAAAAAAAAAAAATACGTGACGTATCATCATTATTCGTATTAGCACTAGGAATATATATATAATCGAACGATGCGATATATACAGTTTGCCTCGTACAAGAAAACAAACTGGAGATTCAATGAATAATTTATATATTGATGTCGCATGCGATTTCTCAAGATCTATATAGTGGGCAATATATATATGAGCTCGAAAGTGAAACGCAACTTATGATGCTGTTTGAAAAATATTAAAGTCGATATCGAAATAACAACAATATAAATGCAAATAAAATTCGTCCTAAAATATATTCGATCATATTGTAAGCTTTTCGAAAAATCTGAGACGTTAAAAAAAACGACTTTACGCGATCGCCGATTAGACCAGAGCTTCGGCGTGATAATGATGATAGTGATGGTGTATGTGCTCGTGAACATGTCTACGGCTTGACGTGGCCGCCACCGCGTTCTGCGAGAATTCGCGTTCGAGCCAACGCACGACCTGGGCCATCGCTCGGGCCTGGTCCTGTTCTCGCGTTGCGTGCTTCAGCTGATGCTTCTTAGATCTGCCGCACTGTTGCGAGGGAACGAACTGCGTGTCATTGCGCTGCAAATTGTTGTGATTATTGGTAATTGTCTGATGATTGGCAGTCTGCTGGTTGTTGTTGGGCACGAGGTTAACGATGTTGCGGTGGGTCGTGTTGCTGGCAGTCGTGTGCTGCGGCGTATCGTTGTAGACCGTCGTCGTCGGCACGATGACGTTACGATTTAGGACCTGCGAGTATGTCTGAGGGGAGGAATGTACCGTATTGTTCCTCGGTGTCGTGTGCCGTGTTTTCCTGAGATTCGCCGTCCGCGATTTCGCCGGTGTTTTGGGGAAGGACGCGGAATGAGTCGTTGTATTTTCCCGGATCGGTTTGTGATAGTTGGCAGCCGTCTGACGAGGCTCCAGAGATGCTTGACAGTCTTGATTATTGTGATTCGAGGTTCCTAGATTGGGACTCTGAGATGGAATGCGCGGTTGCTCGTTTTGATGCCGTTTCCTGCAGGCGAAATAAATTCTATCTAATCATCGTTTAAGACATCTTTATGAAGTTTTAGATATTACATACTAATATAAATTTATATAAATAATATTCTTATGAATAATATATTCAAGAGCATTGTATAAGATATCATATTGATTGTTAATTATCTACCCAATAAAAATTAATAAATTTTAATAATTTAATAATGAGTTGCATGCTAACTTGATGAAGTTAACTTACCTTGATGTGTGAAAACTGAGATTATTTTTCTCCATGTTAGCCTGAATAATTTCCAACAATTGTTGTCTTTGCAGAGCGCCACTCCGTTTCCTCTGATTCGTCATAAGAAGAGGTGTTAATGGCGAGAACGCGGGGGAAGTATCACTATCGTCGCTCACATCACCCTCCGAGCTGTTTGAATAGGGAGAAGGTAAATGGGGCACCGGACCGACTCTTTTGCGTAGCTCCTCCTGTTGTACTCGATTTGCACGAGCATTTTCATCCTCATCTTCACTGTGAGTCTCTACTTCTTTCCGCTCAGTCTGTAATGAAAATGATAATGAATAAAACAGTATAAGTATGATACGATGACAAGTTTTTCGGATAATGCTTGGATATAATAATTTACTTTAATAGATGAGAAATTATATACAATTATACAATTATACATAGGAAACGATATCTTAATAAATATTATATAATATAAAGTAAAATAATTATGCAAAATTTATCTTATTATCTTTCTCAGATCATTAGAAAGTTTCGAAAGTGTGCATTTATTTATAAATATGTAGCTTCTCAGTTCGAGGTATATACCATTCCTGATATTCTTAATAAAATCCATTATTCCATTCTTAATAAATTACATTATCATTTTCATCTTGGAATTATTTCTCAAGATATTTAATTGTAAGAAATAATTTATTGGATACATATTATTAGAAAGCGCGGGAAATTGTAAAAATCCAAGTCACTAAAAATCCTCAGAGGATCGAAAGAAGATTCTCTTTGTGTGCGAAGAAGCGCCCATTTATTTCTCTGCTCCTCCTCCTCATATACACTCTACGAGATTGGCATTCCCGTCGTCGGCTCGCGAGATAGTCAGCCGGTGTACGTGGGCATACGAGGAATGTAGGTCTCTCTCACCTGACAACGATACCGCGTTGCTCTCCTCCTTCTAGGAACTCTACTCGCACAATGCCGGGCGGTGACACGTGTCGCAGCGACAGTTGCATGGCTGCACGGGATGGTATGCTTCAAATGGCAACAGGACGAGCCATGCTGATGGCCACCATTACCGGGCAACGTCGTTGTCTGCGACGTTTGCGTGGCATTTGCGGGACAAGGACCGGTGGCGGGATTGCGCGGCGTCTGGCTGCTGCTGCTGCTGGCTCGCTGATCCGGCGACACTGTCAGCTTCACCTTGATCGTCTTACTGCCGCACGGAGGTACCTGTATCGAGGCGCCTAGGGTGTCGTAGATGGTAGTCACCAGGCCGGCTATGTCGTCCTTGGTAATCTTCCCGTGGCCGTCGAAGTCGTACAGGGTGAAAGAGAACTCCTGCCGCCTCTTGTCACCTTCCGCGACCGACACGTCGCATTCGAATTCCTGCAAAGAATCGCGGTTAGATTAAGTTCGAGCGATTTGAAACTGGAGTAAAAATAGCAAATTATGACAAAATTCAAACATAAATTTGATTAGTACTACATTTTTATAGTGTTGAAAAAAAATCTTGATAAAAATTGATAATTTATAAGCTTGAAGAAATATAAAATATAATAATTATTAATATATTTTTCGTTATATAATAATAATAATGAAATTTCTTTAAAATTACACTAATTATAATTGATATAATGTTTATTAATTTTTATTAATTATAAGTATCAAAAGCAATGATTTTAGTATGAAAAATCTTAAAAATCAACAAAAATCTATTAAAATCAATAATGAAATTTATTATATTTTAAAGTTGAATTTGGATCATTTTAAAAGTAAATGTTTTGTTAGAAAATAAATAATGTTGCATGTGTATGAAAAATCTGCTTAAAATGTTAGATAAATAAGAAAAATAGGATAAAAAATTTGATCGTTTTACACAAATAATATCGACATCGTAAAATGAAACAGGAACAAATAATATTTGGTTATAAAATACTTATTATTGAGCAATAATGAAAAATTATTATCACAATTTTTTCCAAAAAAACACTTTTGTAATAATCTTTAAATAATTATGCGACATCTCGTTTGCTACAAATCTCCAGCTTTCTCTTTCCTACCGAAATATATAAATTAAAGTATTTCACCTCGAAACTAAGTTGTTTCGTTGTACCGCAAGTAGGCTGTTCGTCATTACCGGTAGGTCCTGCTGCAGGTACGCTCGGGCCATCAACCGCTACCTGCGGTGGCTCCGCAGGGGAAATTAAAGTCGGTTGCGATTCCGTCGTCGGCGGTGACGAGATGTTGCAGGTCGTCGGGACCCCCGTCAGCAACTCCTCGGAATCGCTACCTTCCGTGTTAGTCCCCACAACTGCAGGCAACAGAAAAGAGCTCATTATGCAAGGGCACTATTCCCAGAACTTATTCGATCTACGTAATTGTATTTTTGATTTTTGTTTTTCTTTCCTTTCTTTTTGATACAAGAATCGAAATTGTTTTTTTGGCAAACCTTGCCATAAAATTATACCCTCTCTGATTACTTTAATTTTCATATATATTGTAGTGGATAAAGTCTTGAATTAAGTTTACTTTGAATCATATTGTGGATTCTTCTAAGAATGTATTATCACAAAATTTTTTGCTTTTTAAATTAAGAAAAAAATCTTAAATGTAATATATGTAAATAGTTCGATTATCAGTGAATAACTTTGACGTATTATACTTAAAGATATCAATATTTTATTATTTTACTTTACTACAAAATATTATACGTGGACGGTGAAGGGGATTTTAATAAAACATGAATTTTTCTCAAAAACTTACAAAACTTTCCTATGTCGAAAGCTGCTTAACAACTGGCAAAAATAAATGAAATCCGTCGACGAATAATGTAACAGTCGTGAAGACATAAAAGAGATACACAAACCAAAAAACATCAACAAAGAGACATGTGAATAACACAGTATAAAAAATTAAAAATATAGAAAGGAATAAAAATACAATTTTTCAAAGTGTGATATCTCAGGAACTAGAAGAGTCCACACATGACACAAAGTGTGCGTGTTTCAGGATTCTATTTATTATAATATATGCGAAAATTAAATCGATCCGTGAATATTTTCACTAATTTTTATCTTTTTTTTTTAAATTATATATTTTATAAGATCAAGCCGACAAGCCGTTCTTCGCTTGCTCTTTCGTCGCGCGATTTCTGCTTCATGCGAGAGAGAGGAGCGAATAAAAGGCGGCATTTAACACGAGCTATACCGGCACATCCGCACCCGTGGCGTGTTTGATGCAAGGGCGGTATTTTTACCGCCTCTCTACGCATCACCGATCGGTGTGTTTCGGGGATGAAACCTTTCGTAAGCTGTAGTAACCGGAAAAGCAGCTGGGGCTCTAACCAAACGAATTTTAATGTCGGAATGTCACCTTCTTGACGTATCTCTTCAGGTTGCAGAAATTGAAACTTTGAATAATAATTTTTACAAATTTTATTTTGTTTTTCTCTATAATTTATTTAATTTTATTTCCAATTTATTTAATTTCATTTATTTTAATTTTATTTTCAATTTATTTAATTTAATTTCTACTATTTAAATTTATTTAAATTTATTTTCATAAATAAACTTTTATATATGCAAGCGAATCACACAATTCAATATATTTTACGCAATATAAGAAGATATACGTCAAGAATTTAATGTTAAATCGCGTTTTAAATTTGCGTGCCGGCATATTACCTTGAACAGCTTTTTTATATTTCGTATTGTAAGCTCTGATTTTATCACCAACCATTGTGTAATGGGTCATAAACTCGTCCCACCTAACGGGTACAAAGCACGGATGTACATACATACGATAGACAGTTGTTAAACTCGACGCAGAGACGACATACGCGCGCGCGTTATGTGCGTGTGTGTATGTGTTAAGTGCAACAGAAACTTATCCTCGAAATATGATACTCGCACGTTATAAATTACTCCCAAAGTAGAAAACTAACGATATATCTGCGATATATCTCGGAAGTTGCAACGATAACTTCGAGACACACTGTATGTATTGAAATATTTGTGTGATGAATATGTATATGTAATATTTATATATATATATATATATATATATATTTCTTAATATTATGTATTTTATAACATTTTTTTTATAATAATTTTTTAGAAGAATGTATCTTATATATTTTTTATTTACTATTTTAACTCCATAATCTCTTAATTAAAACAGAACAATCAGATACAATAATTTCTCTATATTCTTAACACTTTCTTTTTTTGATTCAATACATATGCGTATAGAATGAAAATGGGATATAATAGCATTTTCATTGTATGTATGTTTATAATAAGTGTAAATAATGAAGGGAAAAAAAGTCCTAAAAACATATAAAATGAAAAACATGTTAAAAATACGGAGAAAATAAGAGTATCAGTGATATGAAAAATTAATTATAATAACTGATTGTTTTAAAAAATTCATATTAAATTATTTTAATAACTAATATCATGCGATTACAAGACTAAACGATATCGAGATTCATATATACATCACTTTCTAACAATTCGATTTAATCCTTTCAGAGGTCTTCGCACATAGATTTATTGTTATTATTATTAAGTTTAAGCAAAATTTGAAAATTAATTTTATATTGCTTATGAAATATCCAATATTTAACTTTTCTCTTAACTCTAACAATTTTATTCAATCGATAAGATTTGTAAGAAATATTAAAGATTATACATATATATGAATATAAAAATTCATATGCATAAAAGTTAAAAAAAGTCGATTAATTTTATCATCAAAAACGCGTATACCGCCCATAATGTACGCAATTCCGCGTTATTTTTAGCATTACTTTATACGAGATAAACGGTAGGCTCGTAGACACGAGTCGAAAGCCAAGAAAAGTGTAAGTATGACGTAACACCACGTGGCATTTCTATAGTATTTTAGCATTATTCTGATGACGGTCATTCTTTCATGGCGGGATGCGATTGATTGTATAGGCGCCACTCGAACTCAGCGACTACATTCTTTTTGTTTTGTAAACCTGTCCCCCTTCGCCCTTCGCTCAGCGCTCTACGTCATTCTCTAAACACTTCCCTGATTTGTTCAAAGATACACACATTCAAATTCTTTTCGTTATTCCAACTTTGAAGAGAGATTCAAACATTTTTATTCGTAAGTAGTACCTGTAGCATTTTTTAAGACAATTTTATCGAGTTTATATAACAATTGTCCTCGCATTTAAATCGCGTCTTGTCATCGTAAACAAGTACAATGTCATCGCGAAAATATTATGTTCAGGAAACATATATATATATATATATATAAATATCCGTTGTAATAACAGCTATATGTTGTTATATCTTGTGTTATTAGTATGTACTATATCTAGTGTTTTGCACATACAATTTGAATTGAAAAAAAATATCGTATGACTCATAAGCTGATTTTGCCAAACGTTTATTTAACGGAATGGAAAAGCAACAAAAACTATAATTTACTGATATTACTTCGTTTCATCTTGTTTCGGAGATTTGATATTTAAACGAAACGGTAATCTATTTCTCTTCCAAGAACTGTCTCGTAAATTTTCCGACGACTTGTCAAGGTCGAAAGCTAGACGACAATAAGAGCGAGTGATTTTCGACATCAAAGCAACGCTACCACAGATGTCGGTCAGATGTAAGAGCTTTCTAAAGTTCAGGTAAAAAGTTTCGCTCGTACGAGGAATGGTGAGGGTGACTCACAAAGCGAAGGGAAGTATTATTTTCCCCTCGATAAGACAGAAAACATATAAAGTGTGTGTTTATCCATGTGCGAGTTTATCCGTGTAAAAAATATTGCTCATTTCTTATACGCAAAAAAATCTTTCAACAAAATAAAACTGGTAACGAAATTGTTTTTTTAATATAATTTAGTTGGAAATTTATAAACAGGATGTCTACTCAAATTTTATAAAAAAAAATAAATTAAAAAATATCTGATTGAGAGATATTTTTATTCAAAATTCCAAGTAAAGAAAATATTTTAAAGATTTTATGCAATTTTTAAAAATAATATTTCTCATTGTATGCGTTTTCTAATGTTTTTTTACTACTTATACGAAGATAAAATATAAAGTCACTTAAATTTGAAATGTTCAAATATACTGAAAAAAATAGTTTTCGTAAGATAAACATTTTTGATTTGCCAATATTTTCAGTTTTTATCACTAATAATGACAATAAAAAAAATATACTGTATATTCAATATTTTAAGGATTGAATATATATTTGTTTTATATTTTAGATTGAATATATATTTGTATTATATTTTAAATAATATACATATATTTTTTTATAATATATTTACAATATATTTTAAATAAATATATGTATATATTTATAATATATTTTAAATACATATAATTCACAATTTAATTTATCAATGAATTGTCTTGCAATAAAAGAACAAAATTATTGAACAGAATTCTTTGAATTCCAATAAAATTTCACGAAAATTTCTTTTTTTTAAATACAAAAGAATTCCAAATCTTCCATCTTTTTCCAAGAAGAATAGACATCCTGCTATAGTTCGTACCGTAATACGGGAAATTAACGGAAATAAACACATTCCGCGCGTTTTTTCTTCGCACGACTCCGATTTAAATAACATCCGGCGTTCGCATTCTTTTCTTCGAATCTCGATATCGCAGTCATATATATCACGGCGGAAGAGAAGCATGCGTTCTCCAATTGAAGAGGAAGAAGGAATCATTACCAGAAAAGGGTCTGTAGCCGGCGAGGAACCTTGCTCGCCACCACTTTACCAATCCGGTAGCCATGGGACCTTCATGCGTGCGTGCGTGCGTGCGTGCGTGCGTGCGTTCGTTTGTGCGTGCTTGCTTGCTTGCTGCGTGCGTGCGTGCGTGCGTGCGTATGATCGGCGGGTGCGATCCCTCTGCGCTTCTATCGCTATCTCGTAAACCTGACTGGCGGCGAATACACTTGATCTCTCCGTGAATTACTAACACGCCATAAATGTGGAAGCACGCGAGGTATCCGGTGCGTTCTCCGCTCCCCGGATTCAGTTCCGTTTAGGATCAAATCAGAAGGATAGGTTCCTCCGCTCCGCACCGCGCTCGACCTGTCACTCCTGACAACGATGCGATACATGCACACAAACGTCCAGTCGTCCTTTTATGGTACGTACGTACGCACCACTGACACCCCGAGCGGCGCTCGGGTACAATCGTCGTCGTCGTCGTCGTCGTCTCGCACTCGCGCACCGCACACACGTGCTCGTGGCCTGCCAAGCCAGTCCGGCGACCCGGGCGGGAAACGAGCGCGATTCTACGACACTCGTTCGGGAATGTCGCGCGCAAGGACCCAAGTGCGTTTTCGTCGCTCGCTCATCGAAGCGAGACGCGGACGCGTGAAAATCTCGGCCTCCTGGCACAAACGGACTCCTGGTGGAGGTCCGGCTCCTCTCGCGGCTCGGACACGACTACGGACGCTCGTCCTCGCCTAAAAGCGCGTTCCCCGTAATTTCCTACCCGCCGCCCCACCATCACTACCATCGCCACCATCACCATAGTGGTATGTGTGTGTGTGTGTGAGGCACCACTATCATCTTGTTGCAGCGCGACGACCCACCACCATACGACCATCGCTGGCATGGGCAGGCAGAGTTCGCGTTCTCGCGTCGGTGTCGAGACGATATACGTGGTATCCCCGAAGGTAGGGAGGCGCGGCGACTCTTCTTCTCTCCAGCAGCAGCATCCTCTCTCCGCCGTTCTCTTATTTTCTCCTTCTCCTTTGCATACCCGTTTGCCGGGGAGCGCGAACGCGCTGTCTTCCTCTCCGAAAAGCGCACGCTACGAAGCCCGATTTACACGACCTAGAATTGTAACGGTTTGGTAAATCTCGTGTCCGTGTAGTATAATCGTAGACGCATACATTTTGTATTTCTATAATTTATCTTGGAAAAAAAAATTTCTATTTGATCAGGGAAAAATTGTCTCCGATTGAAGTTATCTCCGACTCTAGAGCCGATTATGTAACGAACTGGTGGATTACAGTGATTTCAATTTATTATGTATACTATTAGTAATATTAATTATATATATTTACTAATAAGTTATATATATATATTATTAATATTATTAATATTAAATAAGATATTAATATTATTAATTTGTCATATATATATTTAATATATATTATATAATTTTCATAGTTCGAATTTGCAACATGAAGGAATTTTATCGAGTTTTATATATATATATATATATATATATATATATATATATATATATATAATTATTAGAAACAAAAAAATAATTCAATTCTAGGTATTGGCATAAATTATGGACGCGATGTAAAACGTCAAAGATTATTTTTGCCGAGATGCCTAACGCTGTCAAAATCTCGGAGTGACATGTCAACATGAATTTCACGTTGAATAAAAATTCACGCAAAATTTCCCTTCGCGATTATACATACGTCACAAAGATCGACTTTTCCGGAAACAATCGTTTCGCTCATTGCATCGCGATTTACATTTGCGTCTCGTAACGCAGATACGTCGCATTTTTGTCCGGCGTATCATCAAAGTACGTCGCGACGTCGACGGCGGCGGCCGATCTTTGACTTGGTCGTTTCCGGAGTAATATGCAAAACGACGTCGCGCCGAGCATCGGAAATTACGAACGGCGCGTGTTACTGTGTTTGGATTATGACGTGCCTCCCTTATGAATATTTCTGCGCGAGGTTTTCCAAAAGCTGTCTCTCGCCCCCGCAAATCACGAAGATTTAAATTGAAAGGAACCGAAAGGTCTTCCGTCTGTCGTGTCGTGTTCTCCATTTTTTAAATTACATTAAATAATAGACGAATCGAATTGCTGTTTGAGAGATTATTCTCATAAGGTAGAGTTTGATAAGAAATGTTTGTTATCAAATTATATATTTCTAATCTCTTTAAATTAACAAGAGAGAGAAATTGCTATCCCCAAACTTATCCAATTAACTTGATAAATTATTATTTTATAGGAATGTTAATGGTGAGTGTACATTTTTCAAGACAAAAATTGTATCATAAATATTATTTAATATTCCAAAGATGGAAAATATCGTAATAATGATGATAGTTAAAATATATAAAACATAATTTATCAAAGTGGAGACAAATTATAATCATGCGTCATAATTAATATAATCACGCAAATTTTTCGTCCAACACTTGAGGCTCGAAAAATAAAATCGAGAATCATTTTGCCTTCATTTCACGTAAAATTATGACAGGAATTTGATCGCGCGGGAGAGAAGGAACGATCGTTATTAAGAGAAAAAAATCCTAAACTTTTGGCCTATTTACCGCGAAATCGATATCCTTGCCATTGAATGATTTTGATCCGTATACACGGATGTTGTTTACATGCACGTCATCGTGTGTTGCTTCAATGAAGCACGAGTCGGACGGAGAAACGAGGGGGAGGCAAGCAAATTGGGATAAAGCGCTCCGATTTCGCACTTCTCTTTCTTTCTCTCCTCTCTTCGATGAGTTACATATTCTTTATTTACGTTGCTTCATCGAAAGAGCTTCACCGAGGTACTGCTGCGCAGTACTACTCGGAAAGGCCGTGCAACGAATCGGAAATAAACTCTTTTTGGAGACTGTACCAGCACGCTATTATCTCCTAGCGGTGTTTCAGAAGAAACATAGGCGTCGCCATCGAAGAAGGTTCGCCGCTTCGAGATATAACGTATATCTCCCCAATATCCCCCTTCCTCCCCGCCCCTTTAAACATCCTACTACCATGGCATCGGCTACTGTTAGCACCGCACGCTTGAGCGGAATAAAAAATAATAAAAAACAGAGAGGGAGAGAGAGAAAGAGAGAGAAAGAAACAATTAACTTGGACAAAAAAGTCCTTTGCATACAGTTTTACGCTGACCGCGAAATTAAATATTACACATCGTGATGTATCGATGACTTCTGTTCTTCGATAATTTCTCTTTAATTTTCTCATTCTATATATGCACGTATGCATATCATAACGTGAACGTCAAATTACACATAATATTCCAAATGAAAAAAATTTTTTTCTCTTTGTTAAATATTTGACAGCGACGCAATAATACAGATGAAAAATAAAGTAAAGCACACATGTGTGTTATGTATAAGCGTATCAACAACCCGCTGTCGAAATATACAAACGCGTATCACATTTTGCGAACGGAAATTAATTTTTCTCTTTAAACGCGTGTAAAATACACAAAAAATCAACAGTAAAAGGACAGCGAAATTTAAATGTGTCATTTAAATTTAAATGTATTATTCAAATTTAAATATGTCATTTAAATTTAAATGTATAATTGAGATGTAACACGTCGAAATAATCGCACGGGCGGATAACGCGGACTGTAACGACAGGGGTGGGATGGAGGAGGGGGGATGTTAAATGACAATGACAGAATGCATAATCGTATCGCGTATTGTAACGTGAAAACGCATTCGGGATTTTCCACTTTTCGGGAGGTCCCCGCGCGGCGACGCCAATGGACCGCCGGTCGGCCGGTGCCGAAGCCGAAGCATCCCCCTTGCACTCCCTATACAGAAAGGCTCTCTACCCGCCATACCACGCTGTGGCGTGCTGTGCCGTGCCGTGCCGCGTTGCGGTACGGTTTGCCGTGCCATCTTCAGCCGCGTAGCGTGGCTAGTTGTTTCTTTTCTTTATTCCTTTGTCGGAAAGTCGGCGGCGAGTCTCGTTTTTAAGAGGCGGCAGAGAGAAGGTCGGCGAAGAGAGAGAGAAAGAGAGAGAGGAGAGGGGGAAAGGGAGGTTCGGCGACCTGGGCGAGGGGAAGACAGAGGCAAAAGGGAAACGGCGGCCGGCTTAGCGGGGGGTTGCGAGGGGATCGGAGGGAGCGAGATGACGGTTCCGTTGTAAGGTTCGGGGGCTGGGAGAGGAGGGACGGGGGGAAGGAGAGCCCCGCGCTCTCGCTCTCCGTTCGGCAAGTAAGGGGAATAAAACGCGCGGCTCAAAAAACGCGAGTACAGACTAGCCTCGAAATAACGCCGGCAGCGAGCATTCACATACACGCATTCTCTCTTTCTCTCTCTCTCCCTCTCTCTCTCTCTCCCTCTTCCTCTTTCCACCTGCGTTTCCGTGTGCGCGTGAATTCACGCGCGAGTCGTCTATTAATAATAAACTATTTCCAGATGCGTTTCTCGTGCCACCGGTAAGAGTCTCGCTCTCTTTTCCCCCCTCTCTTGTTCGTTGAACTTGGTGATTTTGTTGGCGATCGTCTATCGCGAACGAGATCGATTATAATTGAAATTGTCGGAGCATCTCGTGTCAATCAACTCGGCCGCTACGAATGATACAATTTTTGCTCATTTATACATCAGAGACCGAGGTGGACAATATTATAGCATAATTTTATTGGCCTATCGTGAATTGAGAAGATAGCAGCTGGACATGAAAGCATCCGACATCGGAGCCGCTAATTAGACGCTCGAGAATAAAGCGTGTCACGCGTACCGAAACGTCATTATCAGGCGGCTAACTGTCAAGCGTCGCGCGCAATTGCGTCGATTAGACGGTAACGGCGTCAAAAGGGCGAGGTAAATATTTATCGCGAGGGGAAACAACGGAGGCTCTCTCCTCTCTTTCTCGCTCGCCAAGGGAAGCAGATAGGGCCCGCGAGGTGCACGGAGGCCCCCGACGCGCAGGACAGGATACAGAGAAGGCTATAATACGGTTTTGCCGCTAGCGAGCGAGCGCAGCGAGAGTGAACGACTCGTCGGTCCAGCGACCGGCCGACCAGCAGTGCTGGTGGACTCTCTCGACGTGACTTGCCGGACGATACCGGCGGGAAAGAGCGAGAGAGAAAGAGAGAGAGAGAAAGAAAGAGAAAGATCAGTCCGGAGCGGAGGAACGAACGTACGGCGGAGCCTTGGTCGTGTTACGGTGCGGTGGAAGGGGGGAGGAAGCGGTCGGCGCGTTTGATCTCACACATACACGCACACCACACAGCCGCGGGCGCCGACAAAGCGCTCGTCTACTCTCCTACAACGGCGAGCTGTCCCGTGGGTGAGCGAGCGAGAGGCGGCATCCGTGTGTGTTGACCGGCAAGGGAAGAGAGAAAGGCCGAACGAGCGAGAGCAAACACTCGTGGGAGCGAGAAAAGGATGCAGAGCGGAAAAAAGAGAGAAAGAGAGAGAGAGGTGTGATAGAAGAATCATGCGAAGGTATAAGAAAGGTGAAGAGATCGGGAAACTTAAAGCGTGGGAGAGAGAAAGAGAAAGAGAGAGAGCCTCGAGCTGTTACCCCGACGAAGGAAGGGAGACACCAAGAGATCCGTTCCACGATTCATCGTGCTATTGCGTTCGCTCTAGCATGGCGTTCCGCGCCACTCCCTCGTAGCGATGGTACACACACATACACGTGCGCGCGCGTGTACGCCATCGGGTTTGCTATTAATAAATAATGTTCTCTGTAGTCCACATTACAACTAAAATTCCTTCCACCTTGTCGTCTTAGAGGGACGTATTCTCGATTTCGAGCACGACCGCTCGTTGAACTCCGCCTCTCCTTCTGTGTCCCCGTCCGGCTCGACGGACACGCGGTCTGTCTGTCACATCGGGGAGACGCATTAATGTTCACGACCTTCTCTCTCCATGTATGCGTGCATGCGTTTCGTGGGATCACTGCGGAGGAGAAACGCGTCAATTATTTCACATCGAGAAAAAGTTGCACCCCGGAGAAAAAGAAAATGAAAGATAAAGAGGGGAAGAAAGAGAGAGAGAGAGATACAAACTCCCGGGACCAGATGATTGTCCGCGACTTGAGAATTTTCTTCTTTTAATGTGATTCTCTCTCTCTCTCTCATCAATTTATAATTAAATATTAATTCATTTCTGATTATATAAATAATAATTGTACATTGAACAGTAGTGTGTTTGGTAATGGGCTGGTATATTTTTTTCATCTCTTCATATCTCTAATTTTTTAAAAAACATAAAAGAAAGGAAAATTATACTATAATTTTTAGGAAGAGATGCAAATAATGTAATTCTAAAATTTCATTTTAAAAAAATTTCATTCTTATAATTAATCTTATAATTAATCTAATAATTATTACGAGTACACGAAATATCGTCGATGTTAGCGCGATATCGATTAACATTCTTCATAACTTTACGCATTTAATTTATGTTACACGCAAACAACCGAATTACACGAAATCCCCATCACGATCGATGAGTTGATGATAGCCGCTCGAATAACATAATGTGACACATAAATGATAAGCGGGCCTTTGAAGTGTCCCCGGTTTCTGTGCCCAATAAACCCGACAGAAGCAGCCGCCACGCATTATAAATTACAGCGTTCATTAGGAAGGCAATAGTTGCGTACACGGTAATAAGAGGCTGAGAGCCAGTATTAAAGCGAAGAGAGAGAGAGAGAGAGAACATCGAATTAACCGAGCAAATAATTCAAAGCCGGCTTCTTCGAACTCGAGAGTAATCAGGATCGACGATAGAGTGTGCGATAGCCTAACGGAAAAATTCCGCGAGAAACAGTTTCTTTTCGCGATATCGAGACATGATACTTGAGCGACCACACTCTTCGCGAGGGGAGTGTTTTCGTTCATTCAAGACCTTGTATTCGTTTTACTCCGAACGCGATACACGGTACCATGATTGATTGGACGGCTGCCCAGTCGAAGAAGAAAAATAAAATGCGAAAAAGAAAGAGAGAGAGAGAGAGAAAAAAAAAGAATATCTTCACATTTAAAAATTACTCCAAATGATTATAATAATAACGCGATATTAAATAGATATTTTAATATAAATGTAGAATGTAAAGAGTGAAACAAATCACTCTTGATTTATATCATTTTAGGCTTGTTGACACATGACTAAAGAAATAATTAATAAATAATATAGATTTATATAAATAAATAATATAGATTTCTGTGAATAAACAAAAGTATCTCTTACAAGAGGTTGATATTTCTCGAAAAATAATATTTTTTATGCGACTTATTTTTATAAAAGATCAAATGATAATTAAAATTTTTAGTAATCAATTTTAGAAGATTAAGATTTTTAGAAATTTTTCGTGAATGTATACTACCGATATACAAATTTTTTGTGAATTCTACCGATATATAAATATATTATACATAATATATATATATATAATATATAAGTATATTTCATGTGTTTATAAAAAATATCTCCTATTCGCAAAGTTAAATACGAACGCAACTAGAGGTTCTCTGTCAAAGAGAGTGCCGTTTGACCGGTTCTAATATTACGATTCGTTCCGATGGTTCCATCTAGCTGTTGGAATTGTTACTTGGCCTTTATCCGATTCTTCAAATATGCCGACAAGCATGCCGACATCAGCCGGCACATACTTGTGAATAAAGTGCGACATTTATATCATGAGATCTCTATGCCGTAAAAAATTAACTGTTGGAAAAAAACGCGTGACGCTTTAGAAAGATTTAGATTTTTCGCCACAATGATATACGCTTAAATTATTTCAAACTCATTTTGGAGCAATAGAATAAAATATTATTTCTGGATGCTTATTTCATATATCTTTTTTAGAAAGTAAATAAATTAAAAAATAAATTGTAAAAGAGAGAGTTTAAAATCTTTTTAATAAAATTAATCTGAATTTTTAATCGGAATTAAATTTGAGATAAATTTTCTCTTATCAATTGCTTTTCATACTCAGAAATGTAACTGAGATTGTATTACATTCAATCTTTATATTTCAAAAATTTATTTTTCCCCAAAAAAAAAAAGAAATTCATATAATATAATACAATCAAATATATATTGTATAATATATAATTATATGTAAAATATGTTTCTTCTTTCTCTTGTGTAATCTCTGTTCGTACATACAAGAAAAATAATAAAAATAATTGGAAAAATTTAGAATTTTTGCATTGTTCCTTCAGAAAAATTTAATTTTGAAGGAATAATTAAATATATAATAATACACATAAATTTATATATTATATAAGCAATTTTTTCTCATTATTTTAAATTTCACTTCCTTTGGGAAAAAAGTAAAGATGATTTTTCTTATTATTTCTCATTTATTTCTATCATTTTTCCTATACATATGGACAGATATGATACAAAAAAAAGAAAACAAATTTTACATATAATTATATTACATATATATTTTTTTCTAAGCCATTAATTTCTGATTATTCTTCAAAATCTAAATCGTAAAAAAATGCCTCTTATAAAATAATGTTGAAATAAGTATATACATGTATGTATGTATGTTTCATTGGAATTTTATATAAAATAAGTATTTGTGTGTGCAATTTCTTGAATAGCGAGAGCAAATATTTTCTTTGAGTGTTACGTGTTAATTTATTTAAATATATTTTATATATGCACATCGATTTCCAATTAATTGATTTAAAACTTGCGATCCCATAAGATCATCGCAATTGAAATAAATTTATCTATCTGCATCTTTGTATAAATCGATTATATACTGATCGAGAACTAACTATTAGAAAAAAATATATTCTGGAAGAAAAGCGCGGCGTATATTCAGCATGCGACATTCATTGACCTTTCATACGTTAAATGTACGACGTACAGCGGTGTGATAAACCGTGACATAAATTACAATAATTCCGCGATGGCCGCCGGTTCGCGCGTCCTATAATTCGATGCTTAATGATAGTGGCAGCCAGCGATTCCCGTAACTTTACGATACCTGTTCGATTAAAATTTCGAACCGGTATTATGAACGACGAATCTCGCTGAGAAAAGGCCTAATCGTGGCCGATGAACACGAGTTGTTTTTTTCCTTTATTAAATATTATTCGAATGTATATCGTTATATATATTTACCGATATATCATTGGTTGATCGATCTGAATTATTGGCCATTTCATAGTCGATTGTAGTCAATTGAATTCAATTCGATGCCAGATTCCCGGACTTTGCGTATGTGTGCCAATTTTGCTATATAAGGAAATGATGTTGAGGCGTTCCATCATTCGTAAAGTGCGGTTTTCCTCGTCGATCGCAGCTTTCCGTCTATTCCTCTTCATTCTCTTCAACGTTAGTAACTGTAAGTAATGGAATGATTTAATACGGAGTTGCGTAATCAATATGCGGATTTAAAAAAAAATTAATTGAGTTGATAGTGTGATGATTAAAAATATTGTATGAATTGAATCGTGCCGAAATATAAAATTTAAAAATATACGAATCAAATCGCTTGTTGAAATATAAAATTTATAGAGTTCTCTCGAGTACCGTATAATCTTGTAATTGTTCATAATTTGTCAATTATATTTGAAACGTCATATTTTTATCAAAATTCTTATGTAAAATGAACGTAGTTTACATAATAGTGTCTCATGCAAAATAATTTTACTTTGGATCAATTGTATCTTACGTAAATTTAACGCAACTCATGATTTCGTATAATTATTTCAATATTCGCAAGTTGTATCATTCGTTTCTAGTCCTGTGAATCAGCAACTTTACAATATTTTAAAAAAGAATGTTATAAGTAAGAGCAAAGATGGATGAAAAAAAAAATAAATTTCAGTCTTTAATAAAAAACATTTGAAATATATCGTATGTAAATTCGCATTAATCGTATTCATGTTACATTTTTTTTTTTGTTTACTTAACAATAGAGGATGAAGGTACTGTTGATCGTGGTCGTATTACTCATAGCCGTCGAAGCTCATCAGGGATGGCCTTTTCATGGCCCTGGTGTCGGATATGGAAGAGGAAATAAACCTGGCCGAGGTCCTTGGGCATATCCACAGCAACAGAATCCAAATAACTTATTTGATTCCAATGTCGAATGGGTGTGCCAAAATCCGAAAACAAATGATATAGTAATGTCATATATGAGAATATAAATTTCATATTTTTCAGTTAAATTAAAATTTTTGTATCTATTCAAAAGCTTCAAATAATGCGATTATTTATTATAGACATGTTATATAAATAATATTTATACTTAACATAATATAGAGAGACATATATTATTACACAAATAACATTTTTAACTACTACTATACACATTTATTATTTATATTTTTTAACATTTAAAAAAAATTTATTTCAAATTGTAAATAAAGAAAAATTTGGAAAGCGAAATAATATTAATTAGAGATGTGCATACATACCTGGCTTCTAAAATAATATTCAAAATTGACTTTTGAAGTCATAATATTTTAAAATTAAAATTTGATAAAAAAATAAAACTGATAGAGAACACTATGTACATACATACAAATATATATTCAAAAAAAAATGTGAAAATATTAGTTTAAAAAGCGTATTTTTGTAGATGATTATCGCCACCGACAATACACGACAAGACTATCCTGGTAGAGGACCATGGCAATGGCAGAATCCACCGGGTCATCAAGGGCAGAATCCACCGGGTCATCAAGGGCAGAATCCACCGGGTCATCACCAGCAAGGAAATCAATGGACACAACCGATTATCATTCAACAAGAACCTACAAACACTCATAATAATAATAATAACCAATTACCACCGCTATTCCCGCAAACATCAGAAACTCCTAACAATAATAATAATAATAATAATAATGATGATCAATCACAAACTACGCCGCATTATCACGGCGGAGAAGGAATGATAGATATTAGAGTCGCACCATAATGTAAAAAAATATTTTTTTACATCATGTACGAAAATATCTTCTTACATCATGCATAATAAAAATATAACATAGAATAATAAATATATAAAGATTTTGACGTGAGATTTATATTACTTGAGAAGAAATACTACTTTTATAATTAATAACAAATAAAAATAAAAATGTGCGTCAATGTATATATATTTAATGATTTATATTTGGACCCATATTTATTATATCACAATTAACATCAATTAAGCAAATAATAATAATCCATTCGTCCAATCAATAGCTATGATGTATTACTGGAATCAATAGCTATAATTTATTACTGGACACGTCATCTATATTATAAACATCTTGTACAATTGCATCGGAGATAGAGAGATAGAGATTCTATAGATAATATCACAAAATAATCACCAAAGATAATTCATAAAAACACATCATCTTTCAAATAAAATATTTGTGGAATGTGAAATACAATTCATTTATATAATCGAACATAAATTATATTATGTAATTATCGAGAAAATCTTCAGAATATGATATCAGATGTTATCATGCTTCGTCAGTGTTTCTCTTTTTTAATTTCAATGAGATGATTTACATAAAATGCACTTGAACCTTTCTAAAATTTGAGGATCTCTGTACGCTATTAAGCCTGCACGATTGGAAAAATTCGTGCCAATAGGTAAATAATTTACACTGAGATTTTCTGAATTTGGATTTATGATAAACTCTTTAAACTCGATGATGCCTCCGCCTACCGATAATAGGAGCGCTTGAGGTCCGCACGTATCCCATTTATAAGTGGAACCTTTTGACAAAATATAAGCGGCCGCTTGTCCAAGAGCAACACTCAATATCTTGTATCCCGCTCCAGCCACTTCTACCAGTCTGAATCCGTTGTTTAACAGCTTTGATTTTACATCTGCATCTTCAAAACGACTGAGTAAAATGATTTTATCAGCGTTGCACGTGTTATTTATGGAAGACTTGCTGATGCCACTTCCCAGAAAACCCCAGTAACATTTCCCTATCCATCTGTTCAATTAATACAGTATAATAAAATGGAGAACACATTATTTGCATATAAATATATAAATATATTTCTTGTAATATTAAAAATATAAATATTTTTTCTGTTCATTATAAATAGGAAAACAGAATATTTTTAAACAAATATACTTTGAGAATAAATATAAGTAAAAAAGAAAAAAATTTATATTTTCAATTTATTAATCGTTTTATTTTACTTACTGCGAATCGACATTGGTGTAAAAAGGTTGGTTAACTACACCCAAAACTGGTACTCCTGTACTTTTCTTATACGCTCCAATTAATACAGTGACACAACGTAATCCACTTAAATGTAAACCAGTTTGCTCGTCCACGACCTCCGTTGCACTTATGTAATCCGCTGTTGAATCTACAAAAGTTCCATGAATTGCTCCACAAGCATGTATTATCAAACTATAAAACAAACAGAAATTCTTACAAGCGTTGCGTCTCAGTTTACAGGCCAATTATGTCGATTGTTAGTAACAAGAGAGAGAGTTTTACCATAATATTGTCCAACATTTGTATTTATTTCAGTCTTGCCCTGAATTAATTTAAATTTACTAAATATCAACTGAATATGTCGTAATCTGAGATTATATTGTTTCTCTGTCGCAAGTCTGTATACTTACCAATTGGATCTATCCAAATACCAAGATCATCAACATTGATGTCAAAATCAGTGGGAATCTCTAACATGATTGGCACATCAGAAAGCTTAATATCTTTATGGACTTCTGTAGCAAGCAGTTCTGCTGCCACAGCATCGTTGCCCATAACTTTAGTCAGTAGTCGTGTTGTGTCTTTGCTGCATGAACAGACTTCAACAATAATAGATTCTCCTAAGGTATTACTGAAGACATTAGTTTCTTCGCCTTGTACCAGCTTAGCCAGCTCTGGAAACTATTTATAGTGCAATAAGAGAGTTTGAAGTATGACAATAGATAAATCAACATTTTTTTCATTAGTATTATAAAAATTTATTTATATATTGTCTCTTTTTCTGTGTCTCTTTTACCTCAATTTCTATGTCGTGTCTAATAGTTTCTTGAATGAGGACATCGGCTAAAGTTTTGAAATCTTGGAAGAAACGAGGATTCTTTTCTTCCAAAGATTTTTCTTGTACCAACAACTGAAATAGAGCTTCCTTCTGTCGGCAGGTTCTGGCAATGTTTGCTGCCTTCTCCGAGGCTTGCAGGAGAACTTTTAATAATCTGCTACCACTCCTCATTTTTTCTATATATAAAAAATGTATATAATAAAAATTAAGTTGATAGAGAAGAAAATTAAGATTATTTTTATTAATTATTATTATTATTAAAAACATGCGTGTCAAAAGAAAAAAAGATTATGAAGATACATTACATTGCAGATGCAAGAATCCTTATGAGCTCTATTGGATAAAAATTAAAAGTATTGATTTTCTATAAATATATTGTATATAAAACATCTTTGTACATTAAACAATACCGATAATCACTTTAAAATAGCATTCTTATCTCTTGAAATATTAATAATTTAACTTAACTCATAAAGAAACGATTCAAATTGCAGGAGAAATATCAAGAGCAATATGTATACAAATTAAATGACAAAAACAGAATAACTATTTTGTAAATATTGGGAAATTTAAAAACTACAGGTAAAAAATAAATATTTTTACACGTACGGATAAAACTAATAAGATGATGAAAAGATGATGTTGCAAATATTTATATATCACTTACCTAATTTAATATATAAACAGACGTTTCGAGGAAAAGAGAGAGAGAGAGAGAGAGAGAAATAATTTACAAGCGATACACACCACACCGCGATCAGTTCTCTCTAACGTATGTGGTAGATGTACGTATACGTCAAACAAAATATGTCATCATACTTGCGCAGTGACAGGAATACACCTTCCCCCTCGTCCGGGCCGTTATTTATTAAAACTCGCGGCTCATTTGAATATTAAACGCCAATTTATAATGCAAGTTTGCGCTGGCACGAGTATAAATAGCTGTTCATCTTATGTATATTTCATTTTAAAATGCAAAAAACATATCTCGTGCGCAAGTAACGTACCGGTAAAACAAACAAGCTCGTATATTAAAAAATATTCGTTGTGTTTAAAGAATGTCGGATATGATTAAATATGAACCTCGAAACCAAGTTTTTCGCTTCGAAATTTTAGACAGGATTTCAAAATGTGAAAGATTGCAAAATCGCGAAATGAAGTAACTCGATTTTATTTTCACCGGAAAACGATCGAAAAAAACAGAGCGAAGAAAAGGACTTGTCTCTCTGCCAAAAATTTTAAATATTTTACTCCGGTATACAAATCTCCTCGAGATTGGTAAAGATACTGAAGTTGCTCGAAAAAGAATCGAACATCGATTCGTTGGTCGATATTGATCGATATACAGAATCTAAAGCCCGTGTCAGTTGACGTATCGAAGATTAATAAAATTTAATCGGAACGAGAGAGGAATTAAACTTTCCTTCTTCCATCTAATCAATTTAATCCTTGATCTCGATCCCCGATGTATAACCTGACGCGAGTCTTATGTCGATATTATACGATTGCGTTCGGGAAGTCGTCGCTGAAAGTGTCGCTCCATCCGTCACTTAGGCACCGATTGCACCAACGTTATTTCAGCTTTAAGCGAGACTTAAATATATATGTATCTTTATCTTTCTTTCGAAATAAATACAGATATATATTTAAGTTTCGTTTAAAGCTAAAATAACGTTGGTGCAATCGGGCCTTACGAAAGGTCGAACAAGGACGGAGCACGTGGGCAGCGCCGAAAGCTCGCTTCTCGAACGCACCCGACTCGGCGTACATACGTGGGATATCTCGCGCCAGAGAGCTCGCGCGAATGCGCGCCACGAAATCCGCAATACGCGTGTACGCGCAGCGCGCGTCTACGCCGCGAGCAGCCGCGAGGGGCGCCGCGATAAACGTGGAACGAGGGTCGGCCATGTGACCGGCGGCCGGCCAATCAGCTGTTTAGCTTTGTCGTGCCGCCAAGCTCATTTCCAGTCCGTGTGCACGCGGAAGCTGCGGGTACCGACTGGCCGCCAGGATAGAGCGCGATTATTCCGGGCCCGTGCGAATTACGGTCGGCCGTTCGCGTTAAGAGGAAACGTCGAATCGCCGCCGTTGACAGCCGGGATCGGTTGCGCGACGCCACGCGAATCGCAAACCGTCGCAAATGCTTTTATATGCGGGGTCGCCATTTTGGTGATACGGCGAGCCGACGTGCCGAGCGGAGCGTAGGCCCTATGATCTTTTTATTTCCCTTTCCTGCACGGCCCATCCGCGGAATCGTCCTCAGCCGATCGACGGCCCAATAACGCCGGATCATGACACAGCAAAATAAAACGATGAACTTCTTAATACACGACGCTAACGGTAAGTGGATCCGCGATGCGCGCCAACCCGTTGCACGCTCGCCGATACCGCGCGCGTCCGATCCTCGTCGATCGCGTTGCATCCCTCTCGTCTTCGAAGCGAGATCCGACAGACCTCGTTCCGTCCCGAGTCCCGAGACGCGCGCTCCTCGTCCCCGGCCCCGTCCTCGAGCCGCATTCCGATGCTCGGCGACCGGCCGCGAATTTACGCGCACATTTTCCTCCCCGATCGGGTTCGTCGAGCTCGTCGAGGTTCCTACGAGTTTTCGGCTTTCCTCGTTCCAGCGAAATTTACACAATCGCATACCTTGCCTCTCCTCGACCCTTGACTATCCTACGGTGTCGATTATCCTCGCCTGCGCTTTCGACAGCGGGAGTAAATTTTATCGTCCCCGAGAGATGGGCGATTTTTACGTTCTGTCGCAATTATCTTTCTCGCTCGTCTTTCGCGTGCGTGTTTCCGATTATCGTGTATCGTTTGATAAAGTATGATACTGACGAGATAATACGAGAGGCTCTCTTCTTTTTTTGCTCTTTTAAAATTTATTACACTTTGATACATTGCTTGCTCATGACTCTCTTCAGGAATATTGATATACAAGTTTCATTGTGTTCACTGTGTATAATATGTTACAAAGCTTGATTGTCTTATTTTTGCACTTAAAATAGAAATCTCGAACTTGTACAATATATCGTTTAGTTGGATAAGAAAAGTGTGGAATGCTCGTAGAAATATATTTGATAGCTTCCCAGTAAATAAGAACTGAGTACTTTGTATTTAAATGAGCATATTTCCATCTGCTTGCTCTCAGGTATAATCGCACAATTCACTGACAATTTCTAAACCAATAACTTCTAGATAGTATTGAGATTTCTATACAAGATTTTGTAATTTTATATAAACAATACAATGATGTGTATATATAAGTTACATCTTATATATACATTACAAGTTACGATCTTTAGATTGAAAGAGAAAACTTGTATAACAAATATACCAGAAATTATAAAGTGAAATTAATTTACATTTTTGATATTTTGCTTAGGGAAAAGATTTTTTTTAAATATTTTGCCTACAGACAAAAGAATTTAGAAAAAAATTCAATTATAGATAAGTCAAATTTGTTGCAGGACACCCACAAGTGATAAAAGTAGTGCAAAGTACACCTAATAAAACACTAGGTAGTATTGTTAGCACGACAAATGCAGGTGGCCTTAAGGTGTTTAAAACTCCTAATCAAGAATCACAGGTATTTGTCTCAATTTTACAACTAATTTATTGATTTAATGTGCAGAGGTTATATATTGTAATACATTTTCAAAAGGAAGTGCTCCATTAAATAATACATAGTGTCTATTTAAAAGTATATGTATATATTCTTTTTTATTTCTATTCTCTCTTAAAAGAATATTTGCAATTAATTTCACAACCATTACACATATGTACATATATATTTCACAACTACTATACACATATATTGTAACTAGGTATTGACATCAAATGCACAAGTTCTTAGGACTATCAGTTTGCAAAGTCCATCTACACCAGGTCAAAGTAAGTACTATTTACTTAAAAAAATGTAGACTTTATTATACTAACTTGAATGTAACAATAGTGTACAATAATTTTCTTACAGGATTAGTTACAATACCTTTGCAAAATACTAAAATGGCAACATCAAAAGCAGGGGAACCTATGATGACCAAGACTATACAGTTGACCTCTGCACAGATGGTAGAAACAATTTTCTAGTGTTTTAACAAAAATAATTGAATTTTACATTAAACAATTTAAATATATAAATGCTTTGTTTAGAGTGACATAAAACAGGCTCTTGTGTCCCAACAACAACAGCAGCAACAACAGCAACAGCAATCTAATACTTCGCAACTCGTTAAGGATGCCACTGGAAAAACCTTTATCAGCCCAATTCTGGATCACAGTGGGTCTAGGAAAAGGCAGGATGTTGAAAGTGGCGATTTTGTGCCTGAGTAATATAACGTTTTTTTTATCGCGTACACTTTAATTACATAGAATGAGCTTCGTTTCTCCTCCCCCATTCCCCCGCTCCCAATTTCGCGATATACTCTGTCCAGTCCAGTCGCACCGAGCTTTGTGTCTCAATTTATATTGTCTCTATGTATCGTAGCAAACGGAGAAAAACGGAAAAAGTTGGCAAAGGATTAAGACATTTCTCAATGAAAGTATGTGAGAAAGTAAAGAAAAAAGGTACCACTTCTTATAATGAAGTAGCGGATGAATTGGTCGGCGAATTCACTAATCCTGCTCACATGAATTCTCTGACAGATCAGGTATTTATCTCATACTATTTTCATATTTTATAGAAAAATAATTTATATATTAAATTGTCAGTATTAAATTTAATATGTTATACTTTTTTTAGCAATATGATCAGAAAAATATCAGAAGACGTGTATACGACGCTTTGAATGTATTAATGGCAATGAATATCATTTCCAAAGAGAAAAAGGAGATTAGGTGGCTTGGCCTGCCAACCAATTCATTACAGGAATGTGTAGCGTTAGAAAAGGATAAGAAGAAAAAGATTGAGAGAATTAAGGCTAAAACGCAGCAGTTACATCAACTTATTCTCTCTCACATTTCTTTTAAGAATTTAGTTGAACGTAATCGTTTGCATGAGAGTCTTCGCGGGCCGCCGAAACCTAATTCTGCCATACAGCTGCCATTCCTCATTGTGAATACCAGTAAAAAGACTGTCATAGACTGCAGCATTTCAAATGACAAGTATGTCGCAATATAATAAAATAGTATAACAGTAATTGGTAAATATATATAAAATAAAGAGGAAGAGTTACTAATTTCTCTTAATTCTTTTTCCAGAACTGAGTACCTGTTTAATTTTAATGATAAGTTTGAAATTCATGATGATATTGAAGTTTTAAAGCAAATGGGTCTAGCTTTTGGTAAAATATATTATTGATTTTATTTTTTATAGTATGAATATTTGTACACATATAATACATTATTTTATCTCTTGCTAATATGTATTATATATATATATATATAAAATATTCATGTAAAATATTGTTTCAGGATTAGAGAAAAGGGAATGCAATGAGGAAAATTTACAGAAAGCAAAATTAATGGTTCCAAAATCACTCGAGAAATATGTAGAACGTATGTTACCTGTATATATATATATATATATATATATATATTGTATACAGATTTAAATCTCAATTCGTATTCTCGTCTGAAACTAATGATTGCATTGCAGAGTTGGCATCAGGGGATCTAGAAAAGTTTATTCCAGTAAGTATTCCTGGTCCAAGTACGTCGATGGAAGATTTAGACATCAAATTGGAAGGTTCTCGACCACCATCGTCTTCACATACTTCATTGTCAGAAGATCCCTTATCACCACCATCTCAGTACTATTCGGAAGAGGAGGATGATGACGAAGAAAGCGATCAGGACGATCAAGCTGATAGTGACCTGGAAGTTAACTAGCACCCCGAATAACTTTTCAATGGCTAGACTCAGGGTTAGTGGTATATATTCACTATATTCATATAAATTTATATTATATATTATGTTTAATTTTAATAATTGTTTCTTTATATAGCAATCATTATTTCATTATCATTAATCATTATATATAGTGCATAAATAAATTTAAAAATGTGCTAAAACATAAATATGAAATATAACATCAAGATGAAATCGAAACAATTTTACTTTCAAATTTTAGGATACTCGCCACTATCTTCAGCAATGTCAACGTTAATAATATCGCCGCTGTTGCCAACATCGTTTTCACCCCGATCACCAATTTTTAACACACATCGAACAAGGATAAAGGGATTAATTGTCGCGAGTGAAAAGTAAATCAGTTGAAGTAAATGAGAATGGTTAAAAGGAATATATGTTGATTGGGGCCAAGGAGAGAACGTAGCAATTAATTGGGCTGAGTGAATTGGCAAATCTATAAGTGGCTCTTTTTTCGTATCAAATAATAAAATAGTTCGATGCACGCGCATGGAGTGATCGGAACAGATGCAGAATGACTGAAATAATGGGGTGCTATATTTTAACTGTGCATCGTCATACAAGTTTATATGACTCTAGCATCTATGTATTATAAAATATAATCTTACAGTATCAATATTATTATGTGTACAAGACATATTGACCAGTACTCATTTTCTTATGGCACGTTTATAATAACACTTGTCTGTGGTACGCAGTAAAATGACGTATGATAGATGCAGGCACACATCTGACTCGAATTAAAAATATAAATAAATTGTAATAATGTTATAATATGAAGTTTGTAGTTTGTGGTTAGTCTTTCGAGAAGAAAGGATATGTAATAACACACTATGTAAGAGTTTGCAGTAGTTTTATACAGCAAACTTAAAAATGAAACATTTTTCATATCTCTATTATATATATATATATATATATATATATATATATATATATATATATATATATATATATATATACATATGAATATGATAAATTTGATGGCTGCATTCAGCAGAGAAAAATAATTTTATGACTATAACTTTATACCTTGTTTTTATTTCTCTTAAAGTATTGAAAAATATTGGTAAAATTATATATTTTGCAAATATTTTAATGCCATTTATAGTGGTTATATAAAGCTAGCGTTAATTCGGTTGAAGATATTGCTCAAAAGAGTAAAAAATCAAGAAATTATAAAGTACAACTAGATTGATAAAAAAAGCTTTTATAGTAGAAACTTTTTATAGTAAAAGTTTTTATTTATTAAAGCATTAGTTAACCTAATACAATACTTCTGCTGAATGCAACTGATAACATGATTGATTATACAATATTTCACATGAATTTATGAGAACCAGAAATTTTCCGCTTTAATGCTAAGTTAATTGCAGTCTGCAAAAGCAATGCGTAGTTTATTTCTATAGGAACGCTTCAATCCAAGTCATCATCGTCAAACAAGTCATCAAAATCTGAAATTAAACAATTATTTCAATAAACTAACCGTATATTCTGTTAACTGGAATTATTTTTTATAAAACTAGGATGCTCTCCTTTAGCTGACAAATATTGACATTACTATATACACACACTATTTAGTAAATTTATACATGCAGACTTATTGAGAAATTAAATATTTAATATATACCCGTAAGATTGCAATCTGAATGAACTGCATTCTTCTTAATTTTTTTTAAAATTTCTAATTTTTTTAACAAAAAATCTTCATTTTTTATAGAGTTATGCACTAATATATCTGGTTTATTATGCAATAATATATTTGGTTTGTTAATTGGTAGAGATTTTGAATGAGTTGTGTTCTGAAGATTCTTATCATCAGTTAGGTAGTTATTATTATAAAAAAATTTTTCTAAAAAAAAAATAAATAAATAAATGACGTTTACAAATTAATATATAATTAAGTAAAAATTTACTAAGTTATTAAGAGAAATATAGTGCACAATATTTGATATACCATTGAAAAAATCTGCATGAACAGCTTTTTCACTTGCTGTAAGATCCACTAATAATCTACTACCACCAACCTGAAATCAATATCGTATATTTTATTGTGAAAAGTTATAATATAAATTGTGCTTATCACAAATTTGTAGGATTTGTAATTAATGCCAGAACAAAATTCTTCACGTTGTTCTTAATCATATACTAACATTTAACCTCTAATCCGTTGTAAAAGCACATGTATATATACATAAAATTCATATTACCTCATCTAATTCAACGTAAGGTCCAGCTCCTTCGGGAAACATTTCATCGGCCACAAGCGTTGGTTTCATATTGAAATATTTCAATTTATCTGATATGTGTATTTAATTTAACAGAATGAATTCCAATTCAAACTTTATATACTGCAAACAGAAACTTTAGGATGCACGTGCAACATAAAATTGGCGAACATTACAATTAAAATTGTTCGTGGTCCAATCCAAATCAATGAGATCATGTATATATGCCTTTATGTTTGAAATTCAATCGAAGTTTTAAATGGCCGGGTTTAATCGCTCCGAGATAGTTTACTAGACATCATTGACCAATCATAACCATTCTTCAGAAGAATGTAACCATATATTCTTCAGAAACAATAGCTGTGATTGGTCAATAACACTTAGTAAATTACTGGAGTGATTAACTATTCAAAAACGCTATTTCTTTTCGAGGCATCAAAACTTCCATAAGATGTCAATGTTTTCAATGACTAATGATAATAATGAATTTAAAATAATAATGAATTTTTAATTAGTGAACATTTTTTCTTTATAGTATACTGGAACAATTTATATTATTCTATAGAAAGAGACGAATGCATTTAGTTGCACAAGGGAGAAGAGCACCACAAACTTCTATTTTTATCTCTGATGTTTATACCTAGAACCGTCATTGAAAGGTAGCCATTTACAATTGTCATTTTGTATTAATTTTGTTTTATTTATTTATATTCGAATTAAATTATTATTTTAATATTTCACAAATTTAAATATATATATATAATAATTTTCTTTCTCGTGTAACTGCATTTCTGTTATTATCAATTGTCTTTACTACTTCTTACTTTAGCCGTTACATTTCCTGAGAGAGCGTATAGAGTACAGAGGATTGCAGAGAATTTTTAAACTATGCAAGTACACGTAAGGCTAGCTGTCTTCAACCTGCTTCAACAGTATCTTGTTGGTGATATTGCCTTTATTCCTCAGATTATATCAAAGTTCAGGAATTTCAAGTGATTATACGAAGAAGTGATTATTGAAATAAAGTCGGGAGACTATTTCGCAATTAATATTTTGCGTACTGTCAAAATCTACGTTCTATTAAAATGGACAAGATATCAGGAAAATATCAGGTAAGAACATTAATGTTAATCGGAAAATTCTAAAAGTTAAAAACTCTAAGCATTGTATAATTTTGAGAGTTTATTTATTTTTTTCATTGTATATTTTCTCGAGCTATATCTTCCTAATTCCACAAGGACAAGATCGCAAGATTTACGAAGCCGGCAGTCGTCATACGCAAATATTTAGATGACTATGCAAGTGTGTTAAAAATAGCTTCGGACACTTTTGGCGCCTATATTCGTACAGATCTCGAGAAAAGTTTCAAGGCCAATTCGGATTTGCTTAGGAAGTATCGATGCTGCGAGGTGGCGCTATTTCCGTAATTCCGTATCAGCTGATAACATATGACACGACTGGCCGACCGACTTCCTCCGTGATCACGATCCAGTGCACCCGGCAAGGTCCTTCGAGGGAGAGATCTTTTTAAAATTTTTTTGCTTATACATCAATTTTCGCGAATACTGTTAATTATTGTTTAACAAAAAATGAGCAACAAGTATGCTTAATCGACGAGACATTTAATTAGAGAATCATCCGTTTAATCAAAATCACATCATCAAAAATGAGTAGTCAGAAGACAGTGCCAAACAGTGTCAAGTTCCTCATTGGTGGCACTTCTGGGTTTGTGTCTTTCCCATTTTTCTCTTTGTTTATTTTGGATGCACATTTATAATATTTGTGAACAAATGGGATTGTAACATTGACAGTGTATCTTTACAAAACGTTCATTATTCTTTATTCATTATTTTAGTTATCGGTGTTTCGCAATCATCGAGTTTTAAAGGTCGAAGAATCATAAATTTTTAAATTTTACGAAAATTGATTTTTATTGATTATTTTGCCTAAATATATTGTTAATAATTAAAAAATAATTGTAAAAATGAAAAAAATTGATGTTTTCATGATGATGTAATATGTGTATCTTAATAGCGAGCTATAAATAGCTGCAACCCTGAACATTAAATGTAGCTTCTTTAATATATAATTTATCTGGAAAAAAAATTATTAAATTTTTATAATAATTTTGAAACAATATATATAAAATATTTTTACTAATTTTATCACATTCTCTTATATTATTTTAATAATTTAATTAATAAATTTGTATCTTATCTAAAAAGATAAGATACAAAGTAATACTTATATATATACTTAATATAATCTAATAATATAATAAATTTGTATCTTCTCTAAAAAGATAAGATACAAAGTAATACTTATATATATATAGTTAATATAATCTTTTAATTTATAAATCATGAAATATGTTCATATATATATAAAATTTGTATATATAAATTCTATTAAATATATAATTTGGTTTAAAATATAAAAAGTTTAATTATATATCAGAAATTATTGTATATATTTTAAATTATATGTATATATTTTAAAATATCTTATTTAAAAACTAATAAATTTGAAATTTATATACTTTTCTCATAATTAATGTTAAAATGTTATAATATATGTTTAATTTCATAATATATTTCATTTCAGCATGGCAGCAACTTGTTTTGTACAGCCATTGGATTTAATAAAGAATCGCATGCAATTAAGTGGTACAAAAATATCAACAATAACTGTTACATCATCAATTTTAAAAAATGAAGGTGTTTTGGCATTATATTCGGGTTTATCTGCTGGTTTAATGCGGCAGGCTACATATACTACCACTAGACTTGGTATATATACTTGGCTTATAGAACTTTCTTCGTAAGTTAACTCTGTACAATTTAGAAATTCTTATAATAATTATAAATATATAAGAAAATTGCAATGAGAGGCTAATAAATCATCAAATATATTTGACTTATTTAGCAAAAATGGTCAACCAAATTTTATAGTAAAAGCATTACTTGGTATGGCAGCTGGCTGTGTCGGAGCATTTGTAGGTACACCTGCCGAAGTAGCTTTAATTAGAATGACAGCTGATGGAAGATTGCCCATTGGTAAATTTTCATTTTTTTATGCATGACACAATTATGTATACACACATATAAATATATTATTTTGTAGAATTTAAATATTTTCAATATTTTAAATATAGCTGATAGACGTAATTACAAAAATGTGTTCGATGCATTATTCCGTATAATTAGAGAGGAAGGTCTCTTTACATTATGGCGTGGTGCTATTCCTACTATGGGTCGCGCTATGGTTGTAAATGCAGCACAATTAGCATCATATTCTCAGGCAAAACAAGCATTGTTAGATACAGGTATGCATTGTAGAAATATTAAATAAATATTAAATATTGTATCTATATAAAATTTAGTGAAACTTGTCACTAATGCTTGTTATAATTTTTTGTTATTTTTTTAAATAGGATATTTCGAAGAAAATATTGTACTGCACTTTGCAAGTTCAATGATTTCTGGTTTAGTCACTACTGCTGCCTCAATGCCTGTAGATATAGCTAAAACGAGGTAAATTATTGACAAATTTAGAATTATATTTAAAATTCAATTAATTGACATTCTCCTAATTCAAATTTTTGCATTATTTTTTTTCTAGAATTCAAAACATGAAATCGATAAATGGCAAACCAGAGTTTACAGGCGCGATTGATGTTTTGACCAAAGTCATAAGAAATGAAGGACCGTTTGCATTATGGAAAGGATTCTTCCCATATTATGCACGTCTGGGGCCTCATACAGTCTTGACATTTATTTTCCTGGAACAAATGACTGCTGCTTATAAACAATATTTAACATAGTTACAATTGTGTGCTTGTGAAAAATTTTTATTAATAAGCCCAAGAAATGATGGCAATTTTTTGTTATATATTGTGTATTTTTTTAATAAATTTATTTTTGTAGTATATGTTTATTATGAAAGATTACGCACACAATTGCAATATTATTTGTACTTCTACATATATAATACAATAATTATGTTCATTGAAGAATAATAGGAGAATAAATTTTTTATAGAGTTCAATATAAGAAATTTACATCACATATAACATTTTTTTAAAATCTTCTGTCGTACAATTTATATAATATGTACGTAATATATATATACTGAAATATTTTATGATTATTTTACACATAAATACATATACATTCTATAAACATGTATGAATACAGAGCATTCTGAAGTCTCTGGTCTTACATATGCCATTTATATTTCAGTAATTTCCCTTTTTATTGTTATCCCATGTTATTTTATATAAGATATTTGTTATAGAATGATATATTTTAGATATTATATATTATATAATGATATATTGTGTTATTGGGTATAAAAATTGCAGAGATGTATTAATGCAACATTAATACATGCAAAATGTGTTAATATATTGTATATTATACTAAATATCGAAAATTTAGGAATAAAGATAATGGTATTTTTAAATGTAAGTTATTTGTTATATTTTAATCTCAAGTCAAGATATATAGCGGATTGAAAAGTATTTAAGTATTTAAAGATAAAATTATTTCCTCCGATATAATATCATTAAAACATTATAAATAACGTGTGGATAAGAAAATAAATAGTAAGTATTATTTACACAAATTTTAAAGAAATTAAATGCGTGCGCGTGCAAGTTCAGTACACAGTATATGTGTGTCATGAACGAGCAGTTATATGTATGTGTCGCGTAACAGGTGTCGTAAAATTGACAGCTGATAACTCATTGTCAGAGTCGTATTAAATAGCGCGAAAGCGACAGATGCTAAATAGTTAATGTTTACATTGACATATGTGCCGTGTGTGACTTTTTAATTTTTTATCATATCAGCACGAAAGGGATGATAAAAATTAGTGATTTTTGAAATATTTTTAACGGTAACATAAACGTATGATGCTGCAACAATTGTATATAAGTTTATGGAGTTATATAAATCATCGATTGTTATTACGTAAGTTATGAATTGATACATAATGATTGAAATAAATTTATATTGTTATATCAATTTAAAGATGCGATACAACTTCTATGGTTGAGGTTATAAACGTTGTAGTTAATTTTACATGAGAGAGAAATTAGGAAAAATTTTATTGGAAATTTTAACATCTCGAAGGAAGTTGTAGTTAAAAACTATTAATCCTCCTTTCTCTTTTTCTAGTGCATATATTATATGACAATTATTATACATGACTAAATTTGTGTAATTATGTCAAGAAAAAAAAGGGATCATGCATGGGGCGAAAATGGCTTTGAAGATTGGGTGAGTATAAAAGAGTGTCGACAAATATTAATATTACATTTATCAATTTATGCAAATTGAATTTTATCATATTATTTAAATAAAAGTTATCTTCGTTATCTAATTTATGTATTTTAACAGTAAATATATTTCAGGGTGGTTATATGGCTGCGAAGAAAGCTAAACTTGAGGAACAGTTTCGTGACACAGCTAATAAAGAATTTAAAGAACCGTCAAAACTATTTGAAGGAATTGCAGTATTTGTAAATGGCTATACAGATCCAACATCTGATGAGCTAAGACGTTTGATGATGATGCATGGAGGCCTGTATCATCATTATATGCGTCCTAAAATCACAACTCATATTATAGCATCCAATCTACCATATTCTAAAATAATAATGTACAGAAAGAGTCAAAATCCAATTCCTATATGCAAACCACAATGGATCATTGACAGTATTGCGGCTGGGAAAGTCTTGAATTTTCAAAATTATTTACTTTACTCCAATAATACTAATGTACAATCTCTGTTGACATATAAATTAAATAATAAGAAAATTGAAGACAATGCTAATTCAACTATGCACAAGGAACAAGATATTGAACAATCTAAAGCCTCAGGAATCGTGATTAACAATGAGACTAATATAAATAACCAAAATATATCAAAACACAATGCAATTAATGATGCATTAAAACATGATACAATCAGCACTCATCAATCTTCGAATATAAAAACAAACGCACAATCTACAAGAGATGCTGAATTTTTGTCAACATTTTACAGTAACTCGAGATTACATTATATCGCTACCATGGGAACTACTTTTAAAGATTATGTCAACGAGTTGAGGGATAAAAGTGACGGACTATTTCCCGGACTTGATCGTTTAATAAAATTAAAAGAAGCAAGAGATATTTTAACTTCAACTGATTGCGAATCAGATCCTGAAGATGAAATATATTTTACAGATAAAGTAAAACGCAAACGAGAAGTTATTATAATGCATATTGATATGGATTGCTTCTTTGTGTCTGTTGGAATTAGGAATAGACCGGAATTGCGAGATCAACCGATAGCGGTAACACACGCAAAAGGCAATACATTTTCGGCGAATTACGACGGCAAGGAAGAATTTGGATCATTATCAGAAGTTGCTTCGTGCTCCTATGCAGCAAGAAAGACTGGTGTAAAAAACGGCATGTTTCTGGGAGAAGCGCTGAAACTGTGTCCAAATCTGAAGACGATTCAATACGATTTCGAGGGTTACAAGGAAGTTTCTTACATATTGTATGATACAGTAGCATCTTATACATTAGATATCGAAGCAGTAAGTTGTGACGAAATGTATGCGGATTGCACAAAAATTCTTGAAGCGTCCGGATTATCACCATTGGAATTTGCTACTATAATTAGGAAAGAAATAAAGCAAAAAACAAATTGTCCGGTATCCACAGGATTCGGCAATAATAGGTTGCAGGCGAGATTAGCAACACGAAAAGCTAAACCTGATAATCAATTCTATTTGAGTAATCAGAATGTGGAGACACACATGCGGACTTTAGATACAAGAGATTTACCAGGTACATTTGAATGATTTCAATGTCGTCTATAATATTGAAACATATATCTGTGAAAAAACAAACTCTCATATCAAAAAAATATTAAATTTTTGTACAAATATTGAAAAATTTTGAAAAATTTTGTAGAAATGTGTATATTTTAGAACGAGTATAAATATTGTGTGACCTATATGCTTTCATTTTGGTTCGATTATACTTTATTATATTAGTAGAATTAATTTCTCATCTTAATATTTTAGGAGTTGGTGGAACAACAACATATAAACTACGTAAAATGAATGTGCATACATGCGAGGATTTACAAAAGGTTTCATTGAGTGTTTTACAGAAAGAATTCGGCAAAAAGATGGGAGAACAGTTGCATAAAATGTGCCGCGGATTAGACGACACGAAACTAAATCTGGAACATATTAGAAAATCAGTATCAGCTGAAGTCAATTACGGTATAAGATTCCGGAACAATGGCGATGCCGTGGATTTTTTGAGCAAATTATCCACGGAGGTATGCGATCGATTAATAGCAGTTCGTGCAAAGGGCAGATGTATCACGTTAAAACTCATGGTCAGAGCCGAAGAAGCACCGGTAGAAACTGCGAAGTTCATGGGTCATGGTCCTTGCAATTATATAACAAAATCGAAAAATCTTATAGCAGCTGTCGACGACGTTAATATTATTAGAAAGTAAGTTTTTAATGCTGTTGATTTCCTTGCAACATATTAATATGTTGTACTTGTCTTGCATATTTATAAAAAGAATTAATGTAGATGTGCGCCTTTTGCAGGGAAGTTGTAAACATTTGGAATCAATTGCATTTAACACCTGAAGATATGAGAGGAATTGGAATACAAATATCCAGATTAGAAATATGCAAGACTAAGCAGAATAAAGGCAACTTGATTAATTTTTTTAGTAAAACTGCAAAATTGCAAACATGTGATCAAATGTCGAGTAATGACGATAAGAATCGATGCGACCCGAATTTTAACGAGAATTCTAAATTGAACAATTCTAAGGTGCCTTTAACTTCAGAATCGTCAGGAACAAAAAATATTTTCGAAGCACAGATTAATAATTTGCCATTGACAAAATCTTCCAATGTACATAAAGATGAATCTTCAGCAATTCCGTGTAACGTTCAAACCGAATCGACAACGACTGAGGCAGAAGATAAAAATTTACATAATTGTAAGGCACATGAAAATACTAAAGCGAAAAATTTGGAAATATCTGGAATATCAAGTAAGAAAGCTACGCAAAAACAGACATCTCAAGAAAATTTTTTCAAACATACAAAACCGAGTAGCGGAAAATCGTTGAAATACGAGATACCGCGAATACAAGACATCGATATGTCCGTGTTAATCGAATTACCCGAGGATATAAGAAATGAGATATTTGACGAATACAAAAGAAATAAGAAACAACAGTCTCAGGTCGCCGCTGATCCGGTAAATAAAGTTTCGGATGACGAAAAAAATTCAAATATACAGGATTGTTCGCAAGTTGATCCGGACGTTCTATCAGCTTTAATGAAAAACGATCTGCATCCTGATGTGCAACGCGATGTGCAGATCTATTGTAATATGAAGAGAGAAGCGAATAGAGTAAATTTGAATGAATCAAATGAAAACAAAAGTAGTAAACAATTGCAAGGAGCAAGTTTGTCTTCAAAAACCAATAATAGCAAGAATCAGAATGCGAAACATATTGTAAATAATACTTGTACAAATGAAGCTGCATGCATATTGCAAGAAGATAAAATATTACATACGAGGGACCAATTACGCGAAAAGGACGATGTCAATAAAACAGATTCTACATCGTGTCGCAATAGTCGTATTGAAATTTCACACAATAATGCTGCGATGGATAAAGCCGATACCTTTATTTTACAGAATTTAAGTATTTTACATAACAATGAGAACATAGATAAACATCAGGAAATGTTGATTACTCTCGTGAATCATCTCTTCGCTCTTCCATTACAACAGGTACCACATAATTATTCGTTAAAACAAATTAATAAGTAGGAACTGTGTATTTATGTATTCTATCCTTTTTTTCTGTGAGATCTGGCGCACATAATTGTTGCAATTTCAATTGGTTCCAATTAACGGTAATGTACAAAATTACTCCTTAGCAAGTATAAATTATACAAATTATGTTTCTGATATTGTTATAATAACATGTATCAGAATCCTGTCTTTCTCTCTTTCCTATAATTTACTAAATTTTATATTTTACAAAAACAGCGAATTTTTTTTTGAAACATGTTTTCTTGCGAATATTTGATTTATGTATACACTAAACGTTTAAATCCCTCAATCTGTATGTAAAATCAATAGATGTGTGCAATATATTTAATATGTAAATATTGTGAATTACGATCATTATGCCGAACATTAAATAATTGTTATAATAACGAGCAAAACCATCGAAAAAATTCATGTCTAATGATAAATAAACGTCAGTGTATATCGATAATATATTTCATGAGAATTATTAGCTTATCACAGTACATTGCGCAGTGCCATTTTATTTCGAGATATATAATTCCAGTTTTAGATTCTCTTATCATACAAGTAGAAATGACCACACTTTTAAAAACTTAGACCTAGTTTATAAACAAACGTGTGTGTATAAATCGTTAACGCATTTTTACATACGTATATTATTGAAATAAATAAGAAATGTTCGATTTTTCTTACGCTATATTAAATAAATAAAGAGGGAAAAAAGCTTTTGTAATGAATGTCTAGAATTTGAAAAATTTCTATTAAACTACCAGCAATATTCGTACTCGAGAGTCTGTTCATCCTTGATATAATAAAGGACGGACCTCTCTCTCTTTCTCTCTCCCCCTCTCCTCTTTTTGATAAATATTGTTTAGAATTTTCAATGAAGAATCGTATCTGCTTTTAATTCTTTATAATAATTTCATTAATTAGTATGTACATATGGATTGTTAAGAGAAAACTGTATTAAAATATATAAAGGTGGTATTTTGTTGGCCTCAACATTGAATTGAACGAAATACTTTCATAGGTAAAAATGCAGATACAAACATGGATCACTAAGTCTAAAGTCGTGAATGAAGTGGATTTCCTGTCACTTGCAACGTTTCTTAGCATGCTTCCACAGAAGAAACGCATCGAAGACTTACATATCTTGTTGAAAACCATGCACAGGTAATTTATTTCTATGTTCAGATGTATGTTCGTATTATGTAAACGTTTTCCATTTTGTACAACGTAGATGGATAATAAATAATAAGGCTGCAAATTTTAAACAATAGACATCCCTTTACTCGTTTATGATTGATAAATAAAAATATTCGGCATATGATACATTAAATATTATTATGTACCTTCTTATGTTCATATTGCAGATGTATAACAAAAAATGACGACTGTACTTGGCATAAGACATATAGGAGAACCGTGAAGCATGTTCAACGTTATATGCAAATAGAATACAATAACAATTTAATGGTACCGTCGATCAGATGTAATGATTCGAGATGTAATAACGGTGATTGTGAATTTGAAATCTTGGAAATTTAATAAATTAAATCTTCTATATAATCAAAGTGTAGTAAATATAAGAAACCTATTTACAAGCAAACATATATAATATACTTACCTATAAGTTTTTAATCGAACGCAAATGACATTCTTTGTCTAGAGAAGCTAATAATACACGACTCGTTTAATGCATACCTTTGAAAAAGTTTGCTCGAAGGTCTTGTATAAATTAGTAAGAAGTCATTAATCTCGAATTCGTGTATCTCTCATAATATTATATATATATATTTTTTTTTATATATATACTTTTTTCACTTTGTCGTTACGCGCGCAGGGATGGTGAAAAAATAGAAAGGGACCAGATGAGCGTTCACTACTCCCATTCAGTAGTTCCCGGCGGTTTAGACGATAGATCATATAAAACACGTGAAATACCGGGCACCGTGGATATTTCAGTCACTATTTTTTTCACCACCTAAAACATGATGAAGTCAATTACAGATGTGTATGTGATTATTCTTATAAGTTTAAACAGCATTGAATATAATATTGTAAAATTTTATGCAGTTATATATATATATATATATATATATATATATATATATATATATAAAACTGCATAAAATTCTACAATATTATTTTCAATTTTTGTTCTATATAAATTTCACGTAAAATTTCACAATCTAAGAATTTATCTTTCTTTTCTTACGAATATATGAATACCAATATAACATCAAATATATGGATAAAGATATAAATAAAAATATACAATGAAGAGTAATACATTGTGGCATGCATATCATAAATATGGAAAGATTGTATATGAAGCTTACGTGTATCGGCAAATCTTTGCCGGGAATGGCGGGTGTGCCGGTCATAAAATCATTAGTACAGAACGGCCTGAGCACAACAGAACGTTGACAAGATAACGTTCGGCATGCCGCATCGCGATCGAAATGTATTGGGATCAGAACAATGGGCATTTGGTTGATGGCCCCCATACAGCCATTCGAAGTTAATACTTGATTAGCCAAGTGGTCCGCCTGTCGCAGAGTTGCTATCACATTGGAGGTGAGATATGTGGGCGTGATATCTTGGATTGGATGATGAAGCTGTGGTCCAAAGATATAGCACACACGATTTACGTTGTGACACACACGCGGGATTAGCTTCGCGAGGAACAACATATCTTCCCACTCCACTCCCTCGGAAACTGTCTCTTCGCACGACAAGCCTACCACGTAACTGTAACTTCTTCGGTCACCCTGTAAGTAAATAAAAAAATGTTTAGTATCTAAGTAAAACGAAAAATAGAATATCTTATTAATGATCTTTCTTTCTTTTTTTTTTTGCAATAAGGTCTGTCTTCGAGTACCTGAACTCCTACGCTGCGGATGGGTAGGAGAGTTGCTGCGATATGACGATGACTCGAGACTCTGCGGAGTTGTTGACGTTCGGCTTCGGTCGTCGCGCCTTCCACTCGATTGAGCAATGCGTGTTTCTTCTGAAGCATCTGCTCGTACTCTGCCATTATTTTTACTATGACCTGCAAACGAAAATATTAATTGAATATGTCAATTGAAAAGTTAACTTAAGAATTAATGTATTTTACTTCACACTTTCGTAATACCTGTGTTTCGGAGAAATCCTTTTCTATGTAAGGTTCATCCGCGCATAAGATTCGTACTGCAAGTCCAGGGCCGGGAAACGGATGACGTGCGACGAGCGCTGCCGGCAATCCGAGATCGCATCCCAATTGTCTCACTTCATCCTTGTGAAAATCTTTCAATGGTTCGACTACATGTCCTTGCGCTCTTAGTACTCGTACAAGCTCGCTGTCGTTATGGTGCGTCTTTATGGCATCCGCTTTACCTAAACGAATAAAATTCATATTATTGTTCTATAAAAGTTGATTAAAAACTATAAAAATGATGATTAAACATTTTTATAGTTTTTAATCTATAAAAGCTGATTAAAAACTATGGTGATTAAACATTTTTAATGTTGATTAAAAACTATAAAAATGATATTTACCACTGACTAAGATGCTTGCACTTTCTATAAGATCGGGCCTAAGAGTGCCTTGCCCGAGGAAAACATCTTCCGGTTTCAATCCCATCTCCGCCATCGCCTCGTTCGCGACTCTTACAAAAACGTCTCCTATTATTTTTCGTTTCTCTTCTGGATTAGTAGTTTCGCATAACATCTTGGTTAACCTGGTTCTTGGGCTACTCGTCGCACCACATACTCCTTTATTATTCGTAATATTAGCATTCATCATGGGCGCAACATTGTCTAACGGGACAGTCGTGGTGCCTTGCATGAAATAACGGCCAGCATTCACCACTCTTAACGTCACGCACAATTGGGCTAGACATTGTTCAACGAATTGCGTTTCTCCCTTACGCATGAAGCCATTATTAATATGTAGGGCTATAACTTGCTCCTTATTTAAAGCCTTTTGTAACAGAGCCGCGCATACCGTCGAGTCCACACCACCGCTCACCAATAACTGTAAGTTTTCAGATAAATATTACAGATATATTTTGAAATATCTTTCATTACATATCTAAAGCATTAACACTTTTGTAATAATACTATTTTAAGAGTTTAACGCTTTTATGTGTGTTCATTACTTGCTTACCAAAACCTTTTTATCGCCTACAGTATTTCTGATATATTGTATACATTGAGCCTCCCGATCGCGGAGCGTATAATTGCCCGTAAGGCCAGCGATACCGAATAAAAAGTTATGTAACATCGATTTTCCGTTAGGCGTCAGATCCACTTCTGGATGAAATTGTACGCCATACAAATTCATCTTATCACTCGCTATAGCCGCTATAAAGCTTGACGATCTGGCAGTAGTACGAAAACAATCAGCTACCCTGTCTATGCTATCTCCGTGCGTTAGCAGTACCATTTGTTCCTTATCCAAGCCCCTAATAAATAATATTTTTATCATATCTTATGAATTTTCGAGATATCATTAAAAATGTACTTTTGTAAAATTAAAGAATTTTGTTTAAATATTTAAAAAAAAAATGTATGATAATAATTTACATACTTAAATAATAGGCACTTGGTATCAACTTCAATGGGAAATTGACCGTCTTCTCGACTTTCCCTTCTGGTTACAGTACCGCCAAATTCTTTGTTCATCATTTGCATTCCATAACAAATACCTAGTACAGGAATTCCTATTCGGAAGATATCGGCATCATATCTGGGTGCATCTTCTGCATATACTGAACTAGGACCCCCAGAAATTATAATAGCTCTAAAAAGAACAATGTACACAATCAATATATAAATTCATGTCTACTTTACAAAAGCAAGCAAAACAGTTGCAATAACAAAGTTTATATCAAACACATGCATATCTTACTTGTATCCTTTTTCTTGAAGAGTAAATGCTGGTGTATCAAGTGGCAGAATTTCACTATGGATATTTAATTCACGAATTTTTCGATCTATCACTTTTCCATATTGTGCACCTGCATCTAAAATAGCTACTCTTTCGTCAACAATGTCCATAGCTGTTTCATCGGCACCATTATTTCTCTCAGCACGAAAAAGCAATCCATCGCCACTTTTTTCCATTTCAATGTTACGTTTGTCAATGTTATTATCACTGCTATATCACTAAATCTATAACAGTTGGTAAGAAAAAAGATATGTACAAAATGCATTGACATGAGAAAGATACATGTAAAAATAGTATTAAGTATTATAAAATATATAAATATATTATAAAATATATTATTATAAAATATATAAATATAAATATATAAATATAAATATATAATTAAATAATATATTATAAAGACAGAAACTTTAAAAAAAAATTAATGCATCCTTCTTTCTCATTCACAAACATAATATTATCTTATCTTACTCATAATTTCTGTGCATACTACAATGTAACTATATATATAGTATCAATGTAACTATATATATAGTATCAATGTAACTATATATATAGTATCAAATGGCAAAACATTTGACTTAAAATTTATCATACTAGTAGTCTTCACTGTTATATAATTAAACTTGCGCAACACTATTTTTACTAAATATATTTATCAGTAACACTAATAGTGACAAAGTCCAAGTGCATTTAAAGCTGAATACTTGAGCAAGAAAATTAAATATTAATTTAGTATTTCTTAGAAGTAGGCAGAAAATATCTTTATATATTGTATTTTAAACCATACAAGCACACATCTACATACATACAAATTCTTTCTATATATTTTATTAATTATAGTAAAAAATTTATGAAATATGTAGATAACATAAATATTTGCAATTTAATATTGACACATTACAGCTTTAATAAATGCAATGCTAAGAATGCAGGAGCAATAAATACTTTTTGATTATTATATAAAAATTATTTTATAAAACTTTTTACTCTTGATTTTGTAAAATTTAATTTTTTCTAGCATTTGCATACTATTTTCTTATTATACATATACATATATATATATATATATATATATATATATATATATATATGTCTCATATATAATGAATGAAATCAATTTATGCGCAATATAATATCGAAATATTTTACACAATGAGAAGACGAGTTTTCGAGTGACTTAAAATTACATATACCCATCCACCTTACTGTGATCATAATTTTCATGGATACATTCACATGCTTATATATGCATCAGGAATTTTCACATACGGTGAATCGAATACATTTTTTTTGAGTACCAGCCTCGAAAAGGCTATTTATCTCTACTTATCTTCCCGTTAATCGTGCAATAACCTAATGACAAGCGGAGCAGACAGGAGCGGACGGGAAGGGGAGGCGAGGGGAAGGAGGAAGGGAGGGAGGGCGAAGGAGAAGGGAAAGGAATAAGAATGTTTCTGACTTCACGCATGCAGCGGTGGATGTCTCTCGGGGACAAAACTACTGTACGTTACAATTGTCGTTCCCCAAGACGACGATACGCCCGGTACACCCTATATATACGGCCGATGACGTACGGGAAGATCCGCGCTCGCGTTTCACGCGTACCACCGGTTATACTTATTTAACGAAAAACAAATCTCGCACACACACCGGCCGCGAGAACGCACGCACTCGGGACTCGTCGCTCTAGAGCGGATCTATCGTTCTACCCGTTATATCGTACGATCGGAGGGGCGTATGCGATCGGCGTTGCCTTACCGGATCGTTCGTCGTGAGGTACCGCTCGCGTGGATCACCGAATAAAGTAAAACTAATTACAGAAGAACAGAATCGACAGACACCAGACGAGGCGGCCATTCGATCGCCACAATGCAGCGCGATCGTTGACTGCTTTCAAGTAGCGGTCGCGAAGGCGCGCCAATCTCGCGATATTAAAATTACTAGGGTTTCGCGGACGCGCGCCGAGATAAGCGCGTCTAGGGTTAAATACGAGATTTCCGCGGATCTCCGAATTGCGAGCGAGTAGATCAAAAAGACCGATTAATGAACTACCGCGATTGACAGCTTGAACGTGCGTTTAATTTAATTATATCCTGTGGATGTTTCGATTCCCGCATTTGAAAAATTGCTTCGAAAAAAGAGAAGAAAAATATGATTTAAATTTGAAAAACATATTAATTGAATTAAATATATAAATAAATAAATTTAAAAAATTATTAAATTAAAACTAAAGATACAAAATAAGTTAGCATGACTATATAATTTCAAATATATAAACTAATCTTTAATAAATTGATATTAATAATTTATCTTCATGATATGTCACTTTTATTTTAGTTTTTACGACATTTTAGTTTTTAATAATTTATCGTGATTTAATGATTGTAATATCTTATCTTGAGATAGTAGTTTTAATTTTCGTTCACTCAATGTTTATTGAGTTCAAGGAATTATTGTGTGCTTAATCAATCTTCACTGTGCGTTACATTGTACGCGCGTCATTTATTTTCTTATCTTATACTAATATATAATTTTAATACCTCCAATTAAAGAAAACGTTTAAAGCATGCACAATAATCTTTCTCGTACGACAATTCCCCCTTTTGAAAGATAACCCGTTATACTAATAAGCTTGTATGTCATTCTCATTGTAGCAATAATACTTGCCTAAAATATAATTATGTATTACAATCTAATCTACGCAATATTAACATGTATAATCAAAGCTAATTTATAACATTTAGTTATGAAAATATACTTTAATTAATTAATTTCAAATATATTATAATCGAATTAAAATATATTTTAAATATTTGACAAATATATTATGATCCTTAAGAAGTATAATAATATATGACTAATAAAATATATACGTATATATATACGTATATATATATATATATATATATATATATATATATATATGTATCTTTGTTACAACTAAATTTTGAAAATGAATTTCCGTCAAAAATATCACAAAATAGATAATTCGTATATTTAAAATTTTCTGCAATTTCGAAATTATTAAAAATTTTTAGTTAGAAACACACAAGCAGAATTATAAAATTATACGGTGAAACAATCTTAACGAGATTATTTTCGATAATTATTTATAATTATTTGAAATAAATATCCTATATTATCCATCTTAAGCTGCAATCTTGTAGATCATATCTTGAATTTTTAAAACGATCCTCGGAATAATCGGCAAATTTTCTGATCAGATATTAAGTCATTTATTAGAGGAAATTGCCTACAATCTACGATCTACGAACTACTATTTTTAGATAAAAAACACACACTCGGCGTTAATTTCCAAGTACCAATTCCACATATCGAGCATGAGAGCAAATGGTATAATTACGAGTGTGACATTGCATGTTAGTCAATAATGTATTACAGTATTCGCGTAATGCAAGAACAGCAGTTTGAATCCCGGTTCGTTGATGATCCAGGAGAATGAAGATACCTTGTAAACCAACATCGAGTTCGCAAGCCATCTTAATCACTACCTTACATGAGCGAAACAACCGAGTGTTCGCCTCGTCCCGAGTCATCAATTAATCCTTCCAGGATCTTCCTTCCGTCCACCTGAAATATATGTAATTACAATTAGTACGACGTGTTCCTAACGACTATTTACATAGTATATTTACGTAAGGAGCAGTTCGCCAAGGGCGAGCGCGAATTATAAAAGACACGCCGAACCGAATCGATAATCAGTTTCGCGCGGTACGAATTTCTAATAAAACCAAAAAATATGGATAAATCGAGTCTCTGCTTGCTGGCTCTCGGCGTACTGGCGATTGTCATCGCCGAGGAAATGTATTCGGACATGTTCGATCACATCAATCCCGATGATATCTTGCCCAACGATGAGCTACGAGATCAGTATTATAACTGCTTTATGGATACTGGCCCATGCGTAACAGAGGATCAGAAATATTTCAAGCGTATGTGATACCTTATTAACTCATATAAATTTAAGAGAACGGAAATTATAGATTCTTTTTTTTTAAACATACATTAAAAGTAACATTATAACAAATAATTAATTTTATAAATAATATTATTATATAATTATCTATAATCTCGCAAAATATTAGTCTTTCTTATCTAATCTAGAGACATGGAAACAAAAAAAATATTAGATAAGGCGTAAAAATATAATCGATAATGATATGTTAGAAACACTATTTCTTGTTTGATAATGTACATGTGTTTCAACTTGTTTCATTTATATACATTTTTTTAAGTTACATTTTTTTATATATTATTTTTTTAAATTATCATTTTTTTAAGTTATATTTTTTATGTAATTATATTTATATTATTATATTTCTGATGTAATAATATAACAATACAAAGAATCATTTTTCGCGCGATCTTGTTATTAAAGAGCTCCGATTAATTTTTCGCTCATGTAAAAAATAAAAATGAATTAAGAATATTTTTAATTCGTGCAAAAAAGTGCGTTCAAACTATTAAGAAAAATTACTGTCAATTATAAATATCGTATGTAAAGTTTGGAATGAATATGAATGTGCTATATAGAATCATAGAAATTGTCACAATGCCAGATAAGTCCGTCAAAATATTCATGTTATCACGTTTTTGCAGAGCATGCTGCCGAGGCATTCGCGACAAAATGTCGAAAATGCACGGAAACGCAAAAGAAGAACGTGGAGAAGATAGTCGTGTGGTACACCGAGAATCGTCCTCAGGAGTGGCAGGCGATGGTGCAAAAACTCATGGACGACGCGAAGAAGTTGAACATCCCTTTTACTCGTTGAAACCTATTGACTGGACGGATCCTGACATATTAGCGCATATTTCGATCTTGTACATTTAATTACCTATAAGTGAACAAAAAATTAAGAGAAGAGCTATCTTGCATCATGTGTAGTTTTCGAGGTTTACATAGCTGTAATATATGATACGAGCACACGTAGGCGAAAGCAAAATGCAGTTTAGCAGTGTACACGCACAATTTTAACCGACAATAAAAGCCACTTGGTGAAAATTGGACCGAATGTCACCTGTACATTATCATCGAATACATTTACATCGTGTCGCAAATCATGTCGACGACGTGTATATTTACACGTCGCGTCGTTAAACACCCGCGGATCTTTTCACGAGAATCCGGACTCCGGACTCTCGAGGAGAAGACGAACAAGAGCGTCATGCGTCATGCGTCGTCGTCGACCCCGTCGTCATCCTTACGCATGCGTCGGAAGTATATCTTGTTATAGAGCATAGCATCCCAGCAGAGGGGTGATACTCGACCTCTCAATTGTCAGCGAAGTCATTGCAAGTAGTCGTGAAATGTGATCACGTCGAGGAGGAGGTCTGTCTCCTTGTGCCCAATCGCAAACAATTTTATCGTTCTTATATATTATCGATCTCGCGATCGAGTCATTTTGCCCTGGATACCAGTCATAAAACCGCGTTGATTGTAAGCGAGACGATCGATACGGATGGCGGATAGAGGTAGACGACGCGAGAGTATCCTGACGTGTCTATCAAGTTGAGCAATAATAATGCTCCGGAATTTTCCGGAGGAAGGAACAAGATTCGCCAAGTTGTCGACGATGAGAATTAACATAATCAGTAATGTTCAATTAATATATCATCTTGTGGCAATATTTCGCATATCAATCGACGATAACCGGTGTAATAGCTGCTATCTCGCATAAGACACTGGCGCGAGTATCGAGTACTTCCCACGTGAGCGAATACTCTCGCTCTCTCTTTCTCTCTCTTTTTATCTCTCTCGAGTTCTTATCTCGAAACGAAATGACACATTTTTTTTAACACGTCCAAAATTTTATTCCAGTGTAAGATTCGGCCCCGTCAACGCGAAACGACGGGTTCCGGATGGAAAAGAGAAAGAAAGACCGAACAAGATTTAGTTTCTACGTCGGATTTAATTTCCTCCTCGTCGCGGGATCGTGTAACATCACAGCATCCAATCGTGATGTGACGCGAAAAGACGGGGAAAAGAGATGCACGCCAATTTTGTTACGTATTAAAAATACAAATACAAATGCATTGCATGCCATGAATATTAATATCGTAAGATAAGAAGAAAAATAACGCATACGTGTATCATAATTTGAATTGCAACATGATGATTGGAGGCCGATGCCTATTGCGCACAAGAGAGACTTGTACAAAAATAAGAACGGAACGAGCTTAAACAAGCGCTGTGAATCAGGTACTTGTACTGCAATTTGCAAAAAAAGAGTTTCGATGTTTTTCCTAGCACTCTTAAACAAGAGGCTTTTAAAATTTCTGTTTTAAGAATAGATAGCTTCGCTTAATATTTCATTAACACAAATTTCTCGCATTTTCACGTGCGATCCTTCCCGCGTGGTTTAAAAACTTCTTGGTACAATAAACCGTCATATCCCAGGTAGAACATGAAACTCATAATGACATCATTATGACGTCATCATGATTTTATTTATCACTTAAAAGTTACCTAAACAAAATTGATTAAAAAATGAGTTAAAAATGACATAAGAATCATAAATTTTTAAGTTCAATAATCGCATTATATAATTTTAAAAAGATTATGCTTAAAAGATGTCGCTTAAATATAATTAAAATATACATGAATAATTAAATAAACAAATAAATGCGTAATATATATAAAAAATGATATTATTATGATTGATTCTTAAGATTTCATACACGAAGTATATATATTCTTCAACAGAGTTCGCTAGAATTGTTTAATATCAAAAATAAGTCACCAAAACATTGCCAAGAGTATATAAAATAAGATCATTATGATTTTTCTAAAATGACTTTTAGGTCACGTCATAATGATGTCATTATGAGTTGTTCTACCTGGGATGTACACGTGTAGATTATTTTATTATTATACGTGATAATGTAATCTTGAATCATTTTCTTCTAAAGAATTAAGATTATTTAAACTGTCTCTGACAATTTGCATGACATGCGAGACACATATCGATTCATTTCTACACTTATACTTTGACACTGTTCGAATTAACATATACAAGAAGAACGATCGTCCATTAAAATGTTTCGAAATTATACTTTTATAGTTTCTTGCGATATAACAATCAAGGAAATAACTCTCGTATATGTTGAATTTTTATGTCTTATACGATATCTTGAATTTTTATGTCTTATACGATATCTTCTCGCTTATCATGCCTGAAATTGAAATATTATATAGTCATCTTATTTCTTTTTGTGTGCGATTTCAGATAAATCTGCAGTCTCTCCGCTTATTATTTTCGGTCAAAAAATTCATTCTTACATTTTTTTATTTTAAAATATATAGCCATTACATAGCCATTGCATCTCTTTTTGTATGCCATTTTATGCGATTTCAAAAATAGATCTGCAGTGCTTCTGCTTTCTGCTTGTTTTTTTCTGTCAAAAAGATTCATTTCTACATTGTTTTATTTTAAAATAATTAATTAGATATTTATAGATAAGCTTGAATGCATTTTTCGTCTCGCATGGCTCTTTCTTTACACGCGTATTTTTTTATATTAGAAGCATTGTAACTGTTAGATTTTTAATTTTGAGAAAAAAGAACGCGCTATCTTTTAAAAAATAAATAGAAAGCGAAAATTACAAATCGAAATATAAATCGGTAATTTTATCTCGATAGTGCATTTGAATAAGAATATTCACAAAGATGAAAAAAAGATTATTGTGGTGCGGCTTCACATTCGCCGTCGTGCTGCTCATCCTTATGATCTCGACCGAGAACAACATCATCCAAAGGATACCGTTCTTTGATATGTCGACAATCCACAATATCAAATGTTACGATGAAGTCTCGTCCGCAGAAAGCATTCGTGATTTCGATGCAGAATCAAGTAATATGACAATCAATTATTGTTATTTATTATTATTATCATTTTTCCTCGTATCAAGAATTCGAGAAAGTGGAACAAGTCTATGATTCACGAACTTTGTACACTCGACATACGCGATTTCGGATAAAATTCTTAGAAATTATAATGACAGATATGTTTACATTTGAGAAATTTTGAACATAAAAATAAACCAATTTTGTCACAAGTTTATAAGATTTATTTTAGATATGATTTCACAAACTTGAGAAGCTTTCTCGATCTCTAAAATTACAGGAAATAAAACATAAATTTTTGTTACTATAGTTACTATAGTTTTCATAAATTTTTGTTACTATAGTTTTCAATAATAAAATTCTTATTAATTAAAAATCTAGAAAATTAAAATTAAAATTAAAATTTATTACTCTCTAATGTTTTCTATTTAGTTAATAATAAAGAAAGATATACTTATATTTTTTAAAATTGAAAATGATTCAGTTAGTTGTGATTAATATTGTAGTAAATTAAATATAATAAGTCATCCGCGCTGGAAAAACCAAAATATATTACTCATGATACTCTCGTGCACAGGAAATTATTCAAGTTAATTATTGACGCTTTATTCCTGCAATTTTGATATGCTCAGCGAAACATCACTGTGATATACAATTGCACGAAATGTATAATATAATATGATTAAAATATGCTTAATATGCTTAAAACAGTGTATTACAATGCAATTTTTTTGAAGATGTACTATAACATGCATGATAAAATGTATATAATTATATATAATTATATATATATATATATATATATATATATATATATATATATATATGAAATCTCTTATAATAGCTAATTTTATAAATATATCTCTAATTTATTGGAAATATAATTAAATACAACTTATAATATTTTCGCGAACAATCCTTAATTATTCGTATTCAAAATGTCTCTGATTATGCGCGCAGAAAAAATTCACTCATATTTTTAGATTTTTCAGAAATTATAGAAATACTCATCTTCGCATTCAAGCAACATTTTTTCTGCATTTATTTTATATGTGCCTGTTCTTAAATGATTCAATGTAGGGATTGCTTAACTTTTTTGAAAAATTTGCTGAAGATTGCGTATCTCGAAAAAATGTTGAGACAAACTTCAATATTTTTTATATTTGATAATTTTATTTATATCAATTTATATTAATTTTATTAATTTCAGTTATATCAAACAATGAGAAAAATTGAATGCAACGATAGATATTTAAACATTTTTTTCAAAATCTTTCAATTTAAAATATTTTTTTTTTTAAACATATTCGAGATATGTAAAATTTAAGATATTTTTATTTTTATCGCATGTAATAAAAAATTAATTTCTATAGAATTAGAGATATGTAAAATTTAAGAAATTTTTATTTTTATCACATGTAACAAAAAATTGATTTCTGTAGAATTAATCTCAACACTTTCTGATTTGATGTCTAATCGATATCTAGTAATTAAATTATTAATATATATTAATATACAAATATTTGTTGAAAAAAGTTGTTCAAATCTTACACGTTATGCTTCAGATGACAAACCGGTACTAGGAAGGAACATCTTCTTCCACGAGACTTCCTGCTTCGGCGAGGAAGGTCTTGTGCTGAATGCCCGGCAAGCCTGTGCCGTGGAATCGGCGGCGCGGATGAACCCGACGATGACCGTGTATCTATTGTTCATCAGCAAATCCGACTTCTCCAACAGCACACGCGAGATTGTCAGGCACTTGCTCAATTATCGTAACATCAAGATCCGACACATCTATCCAAATAGATACGTAAAGGACACGCCGTTTGAAGTGTGGTACACTAGTGGTATGTTGAAGAAAAGCCACTGGCCCGCCAGCCACATGTCCGATATGCTGCGTTACTTGACCTTATGGAAGTATGGCGGTATCTACCTCGACCTAGACGTAGTGGTCATCAGTTCGTTGGAGAATCTGACGAATTTCGCCGGTGCCGAGGATTGGGACGACGTCGCCGCCGGTGTTATGGGCTTCGATACGTCGGAGCTTGGTCGACGCATAGCTGATGCCTGCGTGCGTGATTTCAAGAAGAACTTTCGCGGCGATGTCTGGGGCAACAATGGACCCGGAGTTATCACCAGGACGTTGCAAAAGCTTTGCGGGACGATAAACGTGAGTATTGAAAGCAGTAGAAGAGATTGCAGCTCAAGCCTATATTTGAAAAAGGTCCGGAAATATTAATCAGGAAGTATTTAGTATATAGTAAGAATATAGGAAGTATATAGTAAGAATTTATTTTGATAAGATATTATCGATGACATAATTTATTTTGATAAGATATCGATGACATAATTTTGTAAAATTACATATTTTTCCGCGACACTCGAGAGAAAACTCTAATTAAAATTAAATTTAAAAGTTCAATTGTCAGTTGTCTTAATCTTTAAAAAAAAGAATTTCTTTACTTTCGAAGAAATAAAATAAGTATCAATAATTTTGACATATGTCTAACAAAAAAATCATGAATACATGGTTGTAAGAATTATGTATGAGTGAATAAATAAATTATTTAAGAATACTTGTGTATGATTCTGACATCTATTCGACAAGTATAATATGATGTTTACACAGCAATTATTAAACAAGAACTGTGGAATAAATTTGAATATGTCATTTCGTGACGTTAGCAAATTACACGCAAATTATTCAGTTCTTGTTTAAATAAACGAGACACGATAATACGGATAAAGTAAACAACAAAGTGCATTCATTAATAAGAAGAATAAGGGACATGAATTGAATTGATTCGTCCAGCGGATATAGTCCATTATGCTCTAAAAGAAGATTAAAGATGCCGGTTTAATTCGCAGCGGTTAAATCTGTCAAAAAAATCATCCTCGTATTTAGTTTGTCATTTTTGTTACTTTGTTAACAATACAATTAAGGCACGATTGTTAAAAGCGTTATTAACGATTAGCGTCATCAGTTTCTGCATAGTATTTTACATGTTATACGCACATACTAAAGATTCTAAATATCAGCAAACCTCAAGGTTTCAAAGATACTGTATCTAATGCAAACACAGACGCTTTCGTGATAACAAGATATACAATAGCATTATACAAAAGTAATAATTTATAATGCATGTCTCGTGTTTAATATTGTAATTTTTTATTTACACCATCTAATCTGCATGCTAATTTTCTTGCATGTTCCCGTATCTCTAATATCTTAATAATTGTTAATTTATGTTTCATTTCCATCCTATTTCTGTTGCACTTTATCAGTTGCATGATTTTTATATTTGGCAATTTTTCCAATTCTTTTTAAATTAGCGTAAAATCATTTTTGAAAAGTTAAATTACTTTTCTTAGCACTTTAAATTTCCTTTATTAATATAAATACATAAAAATGTACTCTCTAAAAGTGAATCAGTATATTATCACTGGAAAACAATAAATAGTTACTGATTGCAGCAGTTATAAGTACAACCCCTAGCGAAAATGAATATTCGGAGAGTAAGCCGAATGTAAGGAAGTGTAATAGAAGCGTAAACGAAGCCCCTAAGAAGCGTAAATTGAAACGTCGAAGCGTAAACGAAGCATTAAACGCTTCGACGTTTCAATTTACGCTTCTTAGGAGCTTCGTTTACGCTTCTATTACACTTCCTTACATTCGGCTTACTCTCCGAATATTCATTTTTGCTAGGGGCACTGTAAATCACCAGCGAATCTGTCATTTATTTTTGATATCTTCGTTATAACGTTATAATAAAATAGTTACACAAGTTAATAATATATACGCAAGTATATACTAGCGAAGTATAATCATTTAACTTTGAAACATCCTGCAAATATGTGTAATTGTATACATTCCCTTTAGTTATATAATTTATTATATCTTATAGGTGCGAGATATGACGACCGATCGTTGTCGCGGCTTCACGGTATTCCCACCGTCGGTCTTCTATCCGATTCACTATAAAAAATGGAAGAAATATTTCGACACGAGGGACAATAATGCGACATTGAAAATATTGAGCAAGGCAAAGGCTATTCACGTGTGGAACAAGTTGAGCAAAGCTGAACAGGTGCGAGTGAACAGTCACGTGCCATATGCCGTTATCGCGAGGAAGCACTGTCCCTACGTTTTCAACAATTGTGGTAAAATATTTTAAATCCGTGTACATACATTGTAGGAAAATTAGCGAAAGTTCGACTAATAAAACAATATAGGAAAAATCCAAACAATCCAAATCTCTGTAAGAAAAGCGCATCTGATTTTAAAAAAAAGAACGCGTCGAGGGCTCGCCGAATCAAATTATTTAACGAGATAAAGGCTGATTTAGAAAAGTATTCTAATGATCCCGCAATACTTGTACATACGAAAAAATTATATATTTAATATATAAAAATGTCACGTTGAAGAGAATATAGCGTCGCTTTAACAATAAGTATTATCACAAATTGCGGCGGCTATTAAATAATAAATCGTGCTGCGATGCGTAATATAATGTCAGTTTGTAACTCATATGTATTAACGTGATGACCTCGATAGTGTAACATGTTGATAGCATATATATTGATCGCTTGTACAAGCCAACAAATTATTCCTATTCCGCTGTCAAGGAAAAATCTATTTTTACATTTAAAGAGACTCGTCAATTGTATTTTTCGCATTTATATCGTAAGAGGAAACGCAATTTTGCTCATAAAATATTATTCAAATAAAATTCTAATCAAGTTATTCTCTACCCTCGATAAAATCGTCTTAGTGAGCGAAAATCTTCGCAAAATCATCATAAAGGATTATCATCGTTAAATAAATTTTCAATAAATGTCTCAAGTGCGCGTATATATAATTTTCGGAGATTGATACCTGTTTTATAGCAAGATACCGATTATAGATACTGTATTAGTATCGAAATATACAAATAGTATATTAATTAATGGATTAAGATTCTTAAAGTAGAATAAATAATTAATTGCTCATCATAGAAAAACCAACAGTCATTTCACAATGCGTAACGTTTTTGTCGAAATCTATTATGATAAATATCGGACAAATGCAGTTACGAAAACTATGATCCATTAGTACAAATTATCGAAAACAATTAATTTATATTGATAATATTATATTAATATTATTAATATTATTATAATTATATTAATATTATTATCTATATTATTATTAATGATACTATTATAATTAATTATTAATATTATTATAATGAAAGATTTCGGCACACAGTAATGTAATTTCCTAAGAATTTGAGAGAATTAATCTAATAATTGTATATACTTTTTGTGTTCACAAATCTGAGATTAATTTTCTCGAGTTCTTAACAAAGCGAATTAGATCACTTAAATTCTTGCATTTATGCTGTGAATATTGTCAATATTAATGTTATTGTTTCTTGTATTGTTGAATGTATAATAATAATTCGCTGCATATACGCAAGTTTAAATAGCATAATTTAAATACAGACTATCGTAACTTCGCTGATCTTCTTGGAAATGGCTTTACAAAAATCGAAGTGATTGGATATATTTCATTTTAGCTCATCGCATAAAAGCTCACCACATAAAAGTGCCCATCACTCAATATTACGATGTCACGCTCAATGTTACGATAGTATTGATACTATGCCTGTGCAATATTTTGTTTTATATCCGAGATTGACGACAAATGTGTTTTGCGCATGTTATCTAGAATCTATAGACTTTTTGTAAAATCAATCTTTTTCAAAAGATTTTTAAAAAGATTGGTTTTATAAAAAATATGCAACATTTCTATATTAATAACATATCCATTTTTGACGAATTTTTTCTTGCATTTATCTGTTACAAATAGTTTGATCTTGATAGTAAAAAATATTTTATTTGTTCTTATTTATAATAATTGAATAGGAAAATTAATCATTTTCTTGATGGAAAAATATATAGAAATTGAGTATTAGAAAGCTAGTTTGGCTCGATGTGCCAATAGTTAATGTTTTAAACCATTAGAGTGTAAACTCGTTGACAACCTTGTTAAACTGTTGACCATACATATAAATTATGTGTTCCCATTTTACATTAAAGTATATTCAAATAAATTCAAATAAATTCATTATACTTAAAAAAGAAGTTAAGAATTAAACAATGAAAAAATATAATTTACTCTTTTTTGTACTATTATACATACATGTTATAAAATTATAAAATTGCAAGTGAGTTAACGTAAAGTAAAAAATTATGACAAATATTGACAACAAATGACAAATATATCAATAATTCTAAATATATTATTTCAAAAAATCTATCTTAAAGTATTCGCATGTAAGTTGATAGTACAATTGGAAGGATGTTAGAAATTTTATACTTGCAAAAATAAATGAAATAAATTTGAGTTGAGTAAGGATTTTATAAATTTTGTATATCAAATGTATAATAAAAAATGTTTTATAATATTATATTATATAATTTTATAATGTTATATAATTAATTTTATATATTATATAATTTTATAATATTATATTATATAATTTTATAATATTATATTTTAATATCCAAATTCCGATATTTAACTCCATTTTATATTGTACAGAAATATATAGCATAAGTCTCTCAAAAAACTAAAGATTTATTTTATCAGTAAATATATATAAGTACAGTCAGGGTTTCCCATTTTACAAATATTTGGAAAACAATGCATTTTCTTGAAAAATGTTTGAAATAAAAATCATTGATTTTAAGGGAGAAAGACAGACTTTTATTCAGTATAATTTTCGGACCTTGAAGATCTTCTTTGACTTTTAAATAACAAAACTAATCGCGAAATATTTTTTAAATTAAATCAAGCACTTTGTTTTTAAACTTTTTTATAAATATAGGTTCATTGTTTCCACAGATATTCGGAATACGCAATTAAAAAGGGCTTATGTGTATATGATATGTATGATGTGTATGATATAACTTGTATGAGTGGCAAATGTTAGCAAATATGAGGAAGTGATAAAAGATTTTTTATTTAAAAGCTATACTATTTATTCAAAATAACTATCATTGTAATTAATTTATTTTCAAAGATATTTTGATTTTTTTTTAAAGATATTTAATATGATCAAAGATTATAAAATTGTCAAAAAATGAGAATATAAAAATGATATATTGTATGATAATAAAACATACGTGTAGATACTTCTCATTTTTTTATTTATTATATTTCACGCCAATTTTCTTCATCTTTTCTGTTACTTTGATTTTTATTTTTTTATAAATAGTGAATCAACAACAATTAGTAATTATTTCTGAAGTTATACATAATTAGAGAAGAAATTATTGTGGGTGTGGGAATAGAAATAAGATTATGTATGTATAGAAAGATACTACAGAAGATGCTATTTTATATAATAAAAATATTTTAATGTAAACATGAAATTTTGAAGATACAAAAAATTAAAATTATATTTAGTACATATAATTTGTACATATATTTATTTATTTATCGATTATCTAGCTATATTCTGGTTATAAAAACATAATAGAAATAGAATGACTTCAAAAAATCAAAATATAATTAAGATACAGTCATTGTATGAAGTATTAGGATACACTCACTATATGTATATATAATAATATAAGTTTATTTAATTAGATATATATTGAGTTATTAAATAATTATTTTGTGAAAAGTCAACTTTACATTTGACATTGTCTCAAGTACGATATTATTTTTTAAGAAAATAATTTATTAAAGATTTAAAGATAGTGTTTTTTAAATACTTTGAAGAAAAAAAGTATGTCTCATATATATAAAGATCTCTTTTGATTCTTTTCTAATGGTTACCAGAAGCTAAATTTAACTCCCATTCTCATTAATCAGTCATTCTCATTTAATCTCCCAATGACGTATTTTCGAAAGCAATTAATAATGCGAATAAAATGTTTCAAGATCTATCTGTCTCATTGCTTATATAATTGTGTTTATAACTTGAAATACAATGAGAGAGACTAAAGTCCAAATAAAGATTTATTCTTCTCAATCACTTTATTTTTCTAATAAATTGAAAGAAATTAGGCTCTATATGTATTTAAACAATACGATAAAAAACTAGCGAATAAGAGCCACCGCGGATAGTAACGCGTAAATTTTTCTTAAAGATTAATTGTTCGCGAAAATTTAAACGTGCACGAGGCATATGTTTTATTTGGTGCATTTACCAAGATATAGATTCTCATTTTTAAGAATTCTATAAACCCTCTTTACCCCTCTGAAGAGATGTAGTCGAGAAAAATATTTATTTTTCTATCTTTGAAAATTTTATAGCTATATACATATATTTTTAATAAATATACCTTTTTTGAAATATATACAACTTCATACACGTCTTACATCTAAATTTACGATATTTCCTCAAAATTTTACCGATAATTATAACAATTATGAAATAAAAAGTTATCTTGCATGTGTCAGTTTGGTCTGACCTTTGAGAAATTAATTGTTCGATATGATTCATCATTCCAAGATGACTCGAATAATTGATTCTTTATAACAGAAACAGAACGATTAAATGATTTCGTAATCCTTTTTTATGTATGTTTTTCTTTCATGTGAAGAATTAATTGTCATATTGCTTGAAGTCTACATATATTTCTAATATTAATAGAAATTATATATTAAACAATATAATTTATATTAATATTAAGATTGTTTTACTTTCTCTCTCTCTCTCTCTCTCTCTCTCTCTCTCTCTCTAAATAAATAAATAAATAAATAAAATATAAAAGATCATAAAAAAAGCTATATTTGATTCTCCACTCCCATATCATTCGAAGATATTTGACATAGATATTTGCCAGATATTATGATGAAATCAGTGATAATCGAGCAGCCAAAAGCTATTTACCACACACTCATCGCGGAAGTTCTTCCGCTCTTTCGGAATATCGCCTACTTGCAAGAAGCAGTACCACATTGACTACCACGGGAGATTGTATATCAGTTGCGTTTTACATATTTAGTTTACATTATTAGTTATTAAAAAATATTCGTTCCTATTAAAAAAAATTTATTTTATTTAAAATTATTATTTAATATTTTTATTTAATGAAAAATCAATGTGTGGAAATCGAGAAATATTGATGATAAATCGCTGAAAGTAACGGAATATAAACTTTGACGAATTTACAGTGTAATCGGGAAGATTGCCCAACAGATAAAGTTATCTTTGTGACAGGCAAAGTATGAAGAAACGTCGCGTGTTGTTTATACTGTCTTCCTTGCTCGGATTAACGGCCATCGTTCGTATATTTTGGAAAGAACTGTCGATAGAATTGACAGCCATCTCATCCAAACAGCTTTACTGCTATTGGAGTAGATCCAATGGTATCGTGGAACTTAAGCAAGGAGAATGGGGTTAGTGAGAAGAAATGAAAAATAGAGATGTTCCTCCTTTTTTTTAAGTTAAAAAAAACGACCTTAAGTTCATGCGTAAAAATGTATAGCAAAAATGTATAGCATTATTAACAACTTCTGAGGTATATTAATATATGATATCTCACATTTTGATAATAAATAGCATTATAACGATTCGTGTATTTTTCAAAAATGTGATATTCTTTAAATTATTTTATATTTTTCAGGATATAATTGTGAATTAGAAAAATGTTTAACAATTAGATTAGATAATTGCTCGAATTATCGTAAAAACTTGGAAAAACGAAATAATCAATTGTAAAGAAAATAAGAAATAGGATAAATATTCCTTAATAAAAATATTCTCTCGAAGTCCATGATCTATATGCAACTGAGGAATTCATATGCAATTAACTTACGCTAATGGCAAGCTTCATGAGAATAGAAATATGCGATCGCAAATCGCACTAGACGAGTTATATAATTGCTTTTGCGTAACTTACTTTTGTAGAATGTTTTTAAAAGTGTTTTGTACGCATAATTATATTAACAAAAGATATTACTTTTTATGTAACATTGAATGAGCACTTATGTAACTTACTTTTGTAGAATGTTTTTAAAAGAGTTTTGTACGCATAATTATATTAACAAAAGATATTACTTTTTATGTAACATTGAATGAGCACATATTTGCAGAACTATGTTTATTGCTGCTTGTAATTCTAATAAAATTCGCGACCTATATAACATTAGATGATTCTTTAGTCATTTGAGACACTGTGTATGCAATGTAATATTATATCCACTCTTAGTAATTAGAGAGGAGCAGCTCTTATAGTAATTAGAGAGGAGCGGCTCTTAGTAATTAAGGAGTTGCATTACAGTATAATATGATATTTTCACATAATATATTTTGCTCTGAATATATTTGTATGAAATGAAAAATATTTTCATGAAAGAATGTTTTGCAATGTGAGATATGATTATCATTTTTGCATTCTTTTTTCTGAAGAAAAAGATGTTTTTTTTTGAAAACATTTCTTATACGATATTTAATCTTTAAATCGAAATGTCTCAATTTCTGAAATTTAATTGTATAATTTAAAAATGTTTTAATTATATAGTAAATATATGTTTTTCTATTCTTATAAAATAGAAAATAACATGTAAAATTATTTATTGAATTAATAACGGATATATATAGGAATCTTGGAAGTTATATACTGTGTCTCTGATTAAATATTTTTTGTGTGTGTACATTTCGGTTTAAGAGATAAAAGTTCTTGTTCGGAAGTTTGCTCGAGTAAACATACCTGCTCTTCTGTAATTCCTAGATGAAGAAATGCTAATACCAAGCCGATGCATATTCTTTCATAACACCAATTGTTCACCGCCTTATCTCACTCCTCGACAAGCGTGCGCCGTAGAATCAGCAGCCAAGAACAATCACAATTTGAATGTCTTTGTGCTTTTCTTCGCGACCGACCAGTTGTCTGAAAAATCCAAAGCATTCATCGATATTTTGCAGACATACGACAATGTATACATAAGGAGAGTACATTTGTCGACATACGTTATCGATACACCATTAGAGAATTGGTTTTCGATAAACGTTCAAGAATTTTCAGAGAATCATGATTGGCTACGTAAAGATTTTCACGATTACATCCGGATGTTGACACTATGGAAATTCGGCGGTGTGGCGTTAAATCTGAACAACATAATACCGACGTAAGTTACGCGATCATATCCAATCGAAAGTCTCAAAATAAATTCGGTAATAGCAGATAAAATTGAGATGGTTCTCTTTAAAGTTTTCTTACATTAACATATAAGTAAGAATGTATCTTGAACATCTGTGTCAGATATTCCATGGAAACTTATGCGACTAAACAAATACTGGCATTGGAATATTTGTAGAACTTAAAGATGCAATAACAAATAAATATGAAAATTTATATTTAGATCCTTGGATGAGTTGAACACTTTCGCAGTTGCGCAAGACAATCAAAGTGCGGACGTCGATGTGTTCGGCGTGGACACGAGCACGAATTTTGGCATGAACTTTGTCAACACTTCAATAAAAGTTATTAAAAATATCAATGTGGAGAATTATTCACGATACAACATCACAAGAGTAATAGTTGAAGTTCTGCAAAAACTCTGTTATGAGCAATATGTGAGTATAAAAGAACTTATTAAAATATATATAAAAACAATATATATTTGATATATATGACACAACATTATTCTAGAGAAAAATTGTTTATAGATCGAAAACCGTGTTTTTTTATCTTTTACACGATATATTATTTATTATTTACACGAACATATTATTTATTATTTATATTATTATCTGTTATAACAAAATGCACTAAATAGAAATTTTTTATAAATAGTACGAAATATTTTAGTAAAAAAGAATAAACCAAATTTTTTTATATGAATTTATATGAATTTATTTCATTATGTAATATTATCAAATTTCGTAATGAGAAAAAAGTTGATAAATTATATTTTATAACTTAAACTTTTAAATGTCATAATTTAATTTTTATGCGTGGATGAGAAATTTTAAATATTTTTAAATTTATAATATGAGTCATAAATAAAAAAGAGCATACATAATTTTTTTATCGCGTGACGACAGTGTCATTATTTGCGTGACGCTGGATGATTAATAAGTTTCGTTGCGTTAGAATGCATCGAATAATTAACGTGAGTGATTAATGCGAAGATAATTCAGGTGATACGAATAATTGATATGTGGGGAAAAAACGCAACGATAAAATGCTTTCGACCTTACGTGTGTAATTACGTTAATTTGAAATAATATCTTATATTGCAGGACAGAGAATGCAAGAAGTTCACGATTTATTCACCCGAGAAATTCTACTCTGTGCTTCCTTATTCACGGAATATGGATAAATTGATGAAAGTGATGCAAAACGCAAAAATGATCTATTCGTGGACAAATTATAGCCGGGATACTAAAGCGGATACAATGGCGACTTACAGAATAGCTGCTAAATTGCATTGCCCGAAGATATACGAGTATGCTGGAAATCAACTTTAAAATCGCGACATTAACAATGCAAATTTATACAGAATATATGTGTGCGCATATATATATATATATATATATATATATATATATATATATATGAATATAATATTGTAAATGCATATAAATGTATGTGTGTTTTCTCTATTATATAATTATGTAGACTCAACATATTTAAATAGATTGGAACATTTGTATCAATTAATTAACAATTAAAAATATTTCTATTTATTCTTATTATAATATTTTTTAATTTTTCTTTATTTAATTACCTTTCAGTTTCGCGCAATAATGGCGTTCTTCTGGCGTATCACATATTTCAATGATGTTTTACAGTCGTGTAACGAACCGATTCCGACAAGCTTCGATCCATTGTGTGTTTTCGATCTGTAAGAATAAATACAATATAAATACAATATAAATACAATATAAATATAAAGTCTCGATTTTTATTCAGCAAATTTCTTTAGAAATACATACGTTTTGCAACTCAATTAAATCACTTGAATTTTTACCAATAAATAAGAAAATACAAAGAGAGTTTATTTACCGCATTTTTGCGCCTATTAAACCGCTTGGATAATTTTGTCCAGCGTTTCGATTGGCTTTTCCTTCGATCATGAACGCGCGCGATTGGTCCGTTTCAAAATGAACGAATCAATTTGGTGACATTCAATGACGTCAGAGCCTATGTTCTAAAATTCATTGCCAGCGCTGAAAATATATAATATACGTAACGTGAACTATAGATTTTCAGCGCTGGCAGTGAATTTTGGAACACGCCCAGAATATTTTTTTCTTCTCGCACATTGAGCAATGTCCTTTGATATCTTAACCTCGTTATGCCACCTCACTTATGACGTGATTAATATTTCGTAATATATGTGCATAGATAACACCACTCGTTATAATTTTCAATGACGAAAATCAATAATGAAGTTTCCCGCAATTTTCGGCGAAAAGAAGAAGGAAATTGAACCGTTCAGATGTTTAAAGAAAATTTGACAGGTTAAAGTTTCCTTGATAGACGATGTAAATGAAGAATATGATGAAGAAAAATGAGAAAAATCATTCACGTGCGCTGTTTACGCAAAATTGTTATTGCAATCGTGCTCTTATCAGTCCTCTAATGTGGGGTATCACGATAGTTGCTTGATAATCATAGAGTCTCTTCGAGACTCGATCACGTCCGATGAAAAGAGCGTCAACTGCAATATTGTTTCGTGATATTGTTACGAAAACATTCAAAGGTCGATCGTCACTAAAGAGCACGATCATTTTTCTCTCGGATTCGCGATATAGCACGTATCCTGGACGATTGGACGTGTCCACTACCGCGATGACCAAGCAAATCTTCAAGGGTAGTAACGATCACTACAACGGCATCACGGTTGATTCACTCGAGGAACCTTGTGACAGTAAAATATTCGCTCAGCGTCTGAAAGGTGGGCGCATTTTATTATAAATGAAAATATAAATTGTATGAAGAAAAGCTTCTCTTAAATTGATCCTCTTTCTGATTTATTATTTGGCAAAATGCATTTTATATTAAAGTGAAAGCGTTAGTTCTTGTATTTCATTCTCTTTTTTTCGAAATGACAAAATAGATTCGTCACTTATAAATGTTCTTATATATAGATTCTTTGGAGCAATGGACTAAAGATAAAAAACGTGCTGTATGGTTTTGCGTACATATACCGAACACAGAATGGGTTCCGATATTGACAAAACAGGGATTCATCTTTCATCATGCAAAAGAGGAATATGTCATGTTATATCGTTGGTTGCCCAGTGAAGAATGCAACATTCCAAAATATGCTCATACATTCTTAGGTGTTGGTGCATTTGTGTTCAACAAGGATACTAATGAAATTCTTGTTATTAAAGAGAAGTATGCACTCAATAAAGCCTGGAAACTTCCAGGTGGCTATGTAGAGCCAGGTATCTTAATCTAAGCAATGGTAAAAATTTTTTTTTTTAGTTTTATCATCATGTATATACATGTATCTATAATTGTTAGGAGAAGATATTGAAGTAGCAGCTAAAAGAGAAGTACTGGAAGAAACAGGAATTCAAGCAGACTTCAAGTGTCTAATATCTTTTAGACACGGACATGATTATTTATTTGGCTGCTCGGATATATACATGATTGCATATTTAACACCTCAGAATTTTGAGATTCAAAAATGTAAAAGGGAAATTTCAGAATGCAAATGGATGAAGGTACAATGAGATTCATAAGATTATTTCCTCATATATTGTGTCCAATCTAAGATATTGTATTTTATGTATATATAATTTTAACAAAGTGTATCACAATTGTTCAATATGTTAAATTGTAATAATTGTATATAACATATGCTGCATATCTGTATCCCAAATTGTATAACTTTTAAATATCAAATTTTTTTTTCAGTTGACTGAATACATGCAACATCCAGAAGTACATGCAAATAATAAAACTCTAGCGGAAAAAACAATAGATTTTTTGCGACATGAAATGGGCATAGTTGCAAATTATGGAATACATCCTATCAGCAAAAAGCAGATATGTGTATACAGTGTAGAAAACACAGATGTTGGAACTACATTTATGGAATAAGTTTCTTTTTATGCAAAAAAGAGAGATATATTGAATTATATAAAATTAAATGTAGATAGAAAACATTTTATAATAATAATATACATAGCATTGTTACTGCCATACGAGCAAATGTACAAAATAATTTAGATACTATAGTTAAATACTGTATATATAATACATATCATTAAATGATGTTATAAAAATCGATGAAATTTTTTAATAAATTATATTAAGAATAATCTTTATGTATACTTATATATCACACACATATCACAACAAGAAAAGAGTCTTGCATTATAGTACACAAACATCCTCTGATTAATTCGCGCTTATTTTTAAAGTGTTGTTAATGAACTACCTATAAAGTCTTATTATACATTACATATTTTGACTACTTTTGTACAAAACAACACTTATATGCCACATTATTATATTACTTTTTATATTACATAATCTAATAAATATATTCGAATATAATATAATCTAATAAAAATATTCGAAATATAATAAATTTTAAATAACAGTCATGGCTATGATGGCATGATTCAAATTGTTTTATACAAAATTATTGATGGATGGTGAGAAGAATTGCATAAATATAATATTTCTGCAAATTATTACCTTTTAAGATAGGTTTTTAGGAATTACAGTATTTAGTGTGAGGATTGCTACTATTGTGGCCGTAATAGGTGGCATATACCAATGATAAAAGAATGGACGCGGAGCTCCTGTCATGGAAAGAACGACCCAACTGGTAAGACGTAATATGCTGCTTAATATAAGCGAACGAGTTCCGTCATCTGTAGGATAGATATGTACAATACCCAATGTACTACACGCAGTTAGTACTATCCAACTTGTTAGAAATACAGGGTCTTCTGAAGTGAGTCTCATGTCGTAGCTGTATGTCAATATGTTCTCATTAATATATATGAGAGATTTGTGTGACTCGAAATCGAGAAATTTATAATACATACCTGAAATTTTTTGCCCAAACTAAGACAGCTGGAATTGCTGGGATTGCAGTAAAAGTCCACAATAGGAACAAGATAAGATGATTATATATTTCTTGACAGGGGCTTTTAGTGTTTTCTTCTCTTATATTCTTGAAACGTTTAAACCAATCGAAATGCTGAAGCGAGGTCATTAATATCTCCTCCAAATAATCTTCATACATCCTTGTTAATTTCAAAAAATATAGAAATACTGAAACGACCATAGCCAGAGCTCCGCATGTTGCTGGAATTAGGGATAATACGAGAATAGTTGTGATAAACGGCAGTTGATTTAGACCATTCAATAACCAATCTGACCATGTTGTTGAGAAAGTTATTGCACGTGCTAAAAATCTACAAAAAAATATATATATGTATAAAATTATTATGTTATCGTTATTAGTTAATTTTGATTTCATAATTTTACGAGAAAATAATTTTATAAATAGAGAATTTCTTACTTGACAGCTATTCCATGTGCGACAGAACCCAGAAATATGACACAAGAGCATACAGCAATGGCAGATATGCTGATAATACATAAAGCAATGCAAGCTTCATAAGTAATATTGAAAACAAAAGATAATATTATAGTAACAATTACTGCCTGTAGCTTGTCTGTACTACGTATCCTTATAGAGATAAACAGTAAAAGTAAGCTGATAATTGTCATGTAAAGCAACGGCCAACGATCCCGTATTCTACAAGAGATCTTATCGATGATTCCTCCAGGTTGAATATTAATCGCGTAACTACATTCTGGATCTAATGTTACTCTTAAATTTGCCGTTTCGTTGCGACGTCCGTAGAGAGTTTGCATTTTTATCGATTTTGGACCATCATCCCTGCATCATAATATTGAATATAGAGTGAGCTATATAACAAAAGTAAATTCACTGCAACAAATATTTGTGATATATACATATTCATGAAAAATCTCGATTGGGTCGATCCTGCACTCCACGATTCGAGCAATTCAACAACAGCATAATGCTTGACACAATCCGTCGATTTCATTTCAATTGTAACTACATCCATAATGTTAGGAAGCGTTACATAATATCTTATATTTCCCTTGACAGTTTCAATCAAGTTAGATCCATAGAAACCGAAAAGATATTTAGGATGAAAGATTTTATTTTTTAAAGATTCAACCCGATTCTTATAATAATAGGAATCAAAGCTGACTGCAAGATGTCTATTCAAATCTTCTGGAGTTATCCTTACGATGATATGCGTCATACCAAGATAACTTATTTCTTTCAAATCTAAATCAACGGCTTTTCTTGGACGATGTAAAGGATCGATTAAAATTCTCGTGTTATTCGTCAAATTCCAACCCCACTCACTAAAATGTATATATTAAATTTTATCAGTAAACAATCATTTCTTTTGTAGCAATAATATACACTTTCGTGCATTACCAAATTCTTTTATCTTGTTTCATGGATTTTTTACACATAAACAGCCAATCCTTGTTTTCCAAGTTTATTACATCAATAGTTAGAGAATCGGATTTGTCAAATAATTCTACTACGAGATATATGGTAGAAAATTTTTTAGATCCATTCTTCTTGTTCCAGACATACTGTCGAGATGGAATGTTTATCCATTCGCTATTGTTTTCAAACTGAACTTTTTCCTTATAATGATACAACTTCTTGCCTGAACTATGCTGAAATATCAATTTTGTATTAAAGAAATGGTGTTATTGCAAAGATTGTAAACGATTATTGCTTACTTGTAAGAAGTGATAAGATAGGGCCTGCATTTTTAAATCAGGACTCGATGTAATTTTAAATGGTTTTTTCACATGATCAACAGCATCAAATAGTGCACGTACGATTACAAGTACCAGTTGCTTACACCATAAAATACTTAAATGATCTGTAGATTTCCAAACAGTTGGTACACTTGTAGAAAGAACATTTATATCTGCTGTATGATCGTAAGTTTGTGCGGCGGTTACGAGTATGTCACGCGGTCCACCTCCGATTGATATTACTTTCACTCCTGCATCCTTAAGTTTGTACAAATGTTTCTCCAATTCCTTATAATAATTGGCGAAGACATTATCGAGAACTAAGGCTGGAGTATGTGGTGTAGCTAAATTTATTATAATACTTGCAAATGAAGCATTCATATTTGGCGCTAATAAGAGAGCTCCTTTCGCTATGACTCCACCCTATAAAATAAACACTAGTTAAAAAAAATTTTAGTTAAATTGCATTTTTGATATTCTTGTGTTTCTTACCATAGAATGACCAATCAGCACAACATTATCCACCTTACCATGATACAGAGCTAATATTGTCTTTATACAATGTGCAACATACGTAGTCTGGTCCATAAGCACACCTTACATTAATGAATTTAAAAAAATAACAATTAATATTATATACAAGATATCAATATAAATGTATATAATATTATTTGTGTTATTTTTACCTCCATACAATGCAGAATAATCCTTGTTGAAAGAAACAGTGAAGAAGTCAAAGCTGAAAGGAGTCTTTTTGCTTTTCCTTATACTTACTGAAGCAATGGAACGTACTGAAAAAAAAAAAGAAAAAAATGTAAACAATACATATATAAAGCACGTCTACTATATAAATATTTGTTCTAGAATTAATTTTCTAAAATGTATAACAGAGTAATACAAACCTTGTTCAGGAGATCCAGCATTGCCCGGTATGAAAAGAACTGGTATTCCAGTAAAGTGTTTTCTCCTCAATTTTTCTGTCACAAAACCTTCTCCATAGGCATATAGTTCATATCGCGGATATTTCTCTTCTATATGCTCGTTTAAAAATATTCTCTGAAATAAAATAAGTTGCTTAAGAATCCATATAAGAAATTTTATATTTATTTTTGTACAAAATATATATATATATATATATATATATATATATATATAATTAATAATTCTTAATAATTCTCTTAACAATTCTTTATTTCCTAAAAATATAGATTTATTCCATTTATTAAAATACATACATATATATATATATATATATATATATATCATTTTATATATATATATATATATATATATATATATATATAATGTATGTATATATGTATTTTAATAAATGGAATAAATCTATATTTATAGTTTAGGAAATAAAGAGAATTATTAAGTCTAGTTACAAAAAAAGATCAAACTTATAATATAATAGATATAAGGTGGATAGAGAGATAAGTGTATCGTACAATCCCTGCTATTGTAACAGGCATTCTGATAAATTGTTTTGTGCCACACATGTGATACACATACCACATATTGCGGATATTCGAACATGTATGTCATCTCGCATGTATTCTCTTCAAAATCGGTGACGTATCTTGCGACTCCGAGAATGTAGAGCACAGAGATCATTGCAAAAAATGGCACTAGCGAACCATATATCATTATCCATTTTATTGAAACCATCTCGAGTGTTTCTAGATCACCTAAAATTTAAAATTGATTATTATCTGTTATTAAATTAATATTAATCTGTTAAAATTGACATTATCTTATATTTATTATCTGTTATTCAAGTGACTCGAATGATATTGATGAATTTTTTTTTGATACTCGGCACACATGTTTCTCGTCGGTTATAATTCAAGTTATATGTGAACTTAATTGAAAATATATGAATTAGATTATTATAAATATTGAGGTAATAAATAATAAGATTACAAGAATAAAACTTGTGTATTAAAATATGAGAGAATAATACATTACATACCAGACAGATCTCTATCGAATTAATGCCAAAGTCGAAATCCCTGAAGGTTACAACACAATCCGGTCAGATGTTGAAAAAAACACAAGTTCGAATGAAACTTTGATTATGCGCAGTATAGCAATATTACACAGCAATATTCCGCAGGTCTGTTCTTTCATGGTTCGTTTTGTGTGTAATTTGGTACGTCTTTACATCGAGCATTGAAAACTAAAGATTGAAGATTAAATTTGGAATTTGACTAATCAGGATCAGAAATTTTAGCTCTTTTTGTTTTGATTAATCAAGTTCTAACCTCTAATTTCTAATCTTCAAATTTGTACTTGACCAATCAGGATAAACAAATATTTTTGTGTTCTGATTGGTTAATCAAACGTCACTCTAAAGATGCCTTTTCATGTTTGACGCTCACTTTTCAGCATCAAATACATTACGTGACTCTAAATAAAGGTGCGGCCTCATTGACGCTAAAAAGTAGCGTCAACCATTGGTTGAACAAAGAGGTAAGTATACTTACCTCTTTGTTCAACCAATGGTTGACGCTACTTTTTAGCGTCAATGAGGCCGCACCTTAAAGATATCAATATGTCATTTTTTGATCATTTTTGACGCTAAAAATGAGCATTGAACGTCAATTAAAAATTTAAGAAATAAATTTTGAAAAGTAACGTCTTTTGTGCAAGAGTAAAATTTCTCTTTTTGGCATCACTGAGTAAAATCGTCTCTTCCGTCTATTTGCCATAGTTCCCATTTCCGGCTGCGGCAGAAAAATGGCGGGTTCAGGATGAAGCCAGCACGTGGAAAGCCGTGTGATGGAGAGGAGGGAAAGAAAGATAGCGGAAAAAGGAAAGTACAGTGTGCTGATCTTAAAAGAGATATCAAAATTAAAAAAATGAAACAAAAAAATTCGGATTCGCAAATTTCGCGAAAGCGAAAGCGAACAAATTCGGAAACAGAGGAGACACCATCTAAGGACTTCGACCTGAAAGAGTTATCGAAGAAACACATTTTACAATGCATTTCTGCGATTTTCCATTTAACTCAGGAACAGTTGAAAGAAAAAAAGGATGTCCTAGCCACGGAGGTGCAGCCGATATTTGTGCAAGTGACTTGTGTCAAGGTTCCACAAGTACCTCGCAGACAAATGAGAATGTAAATAAGTTTATGAAATTGTGTGCTTTCTACGTGAATAATTAACTTGATTTGTTTCTCGATTTTTAGAATAAGAATCTATATACATATATTAGAAAAATCTAATTAATTTAAAACTTTATAAAAATTATTATTTTTTATTTTTATATTGGAGTTAATTTTAATATATTTTTCCCTAATTGGATTTTACATGATTATATTTTATAACTGCCAATGGATCCTTATGAGATTCAACCTGATTATAAACCCAACAATGATAATACTTTATATTCTAATTTATTGTGTTGTATCTTTGATAAAATTCTAATATCTCTGTTCTCTTTTGTTTACAGCTTGCTACCATATTCTATAATAGCACCAGATGATGAAATTGCTTTATTTGTTTGCGATTTGCAAAGAGGAAAAAGAAGGGATTATGAACCGACATTGGAACATTACAGAAATCTATTAGAAGAACATGGATGTACTCGTGTGAATGATATAATACCTATGAATCGTGTGAAAACTGAATTTGATCAATTCGAATTGAGAAAAAAGCTCATAAGCAGTTATGATCATTTTCTTGTCGATGGTCGCATTGCTGGGCATATGTCACATCTGTTAGGAAAGCATTTCATGAAGAGACGAAAATTGCCAACATCTATCAGAATGGACAGCAAAGATTTGAAGCATGAAATCGATTATGCATTGAGAAAAACTTGCATGCATGTTCATTCTAATGGTGATACTCACTTGGTCCAGATAGGAAATACGTCTATGAATAAAAAACAAATCTTGAAAAATATACTAGCCACTTGTAAGAATCTGTCTAAAAATTATCCTGGTGGTTGGGCGAACATACGAGCTCTACGATTGAAAAGTACAACTACTCTAGCATTGCCTTTTTATGTGACATTAAGTATGTTTTAATTGAAGTGAATTATTTTAAGTTACTAGCGGCACTTATAAATGTTAGATCTTTTAAACAAATTTATATATTTCAGAAAGTAAAAATACGATTGATCCACTTACAATTGCGGCATCACCTAAGAGACCAAAAGCTTATCATGATGTGGAGGGAGAATTATCGACGTTCGTGCGTGCCACAGTCACTGTTAAGCCCGATGGCGAAGTCATTCTCAACAAACAAAAAAACTTACAAAACAGGAAGAATGCAAAGAAAGACAAATAAATTAATTTTGTTAAGATAATATATAGAAATTATCTCTCCTTATACTTTAATAATTTAAAATCTAGTAAAAAACAATTACAAAAATTCACTATTTCTAAATTTGTTATATATATAAATTTAGAATACACTCTAAAAATTTCTAATATTAATTTAACATATTAATTTAATTAACATTAAATATATCACGTCTTATATAATTCATATTCGATTATTGCATTTAAGATGTTAATATTAGATAAACATATATACTGTTATTTAACAAATAGCTTGTTTGCTCCTATTATTAATATATTAGAGAGTATTTTGGAAATATTTAAAAGGATCTTTTCCAATATGAGTGATCAGTATAAAATAGTTTGATCCTTCTTGGATATACTTTGATATCCATTAGTCGGCAATGTAGCCAGACTGCTGGCGACACCGTTTTGCATACTTTTATATACGTTTGCATCCATAACTACCTCAATTTCTTGAAAGTTTTCAAGTCTTTGAATGTCTTTGTCTTTTCTTAATCTGGTGTTGGGTAATTTTCGTAATTTTTGAATCTGATGTGGATTGAGATCTAACTCCTTGCAACACAAGTACAACAGAGCTTGATATGTAAGTTCGCTCCGCAACAATTCCACCTCAATGAAATCCGGATCTGCTGTATTGGCCACTCGGATTTTCAATACCAATTCTAAACAGTGTAGAAATCATTATATATACTACATGGCATGTATAGTACATTGTGTGTTAACAATGATTACTTGACAGTCTTACATAATTATAAAAAATTTTGTTCATAAATATCAATTATATTTTACATCTTCAATTAACTAATATCAATATATATATATATAAATAAACACAATAATTAACATTATATTAAATTTTGTGACCATATTTGTTGACTGTCAATATCATTACAAGAGTTATATTAAGAGTGCTTTCCATTTAGTGACACAAGTCGACACAAGTGTCATTCTCTCTTTGTTTATTGTATTCATTGAAAAAAGATAGAATGACGCTTGTGTCGACTTGTGTCGCTAAATGGAAAGCACCCTAAGTTATATTAATTTATATCAAACCATCTTGAGAAGTAGAGATGAATTTGTTTTCGTTATATGCATTATTTCTGGTTTTTGAGAGATTTGTGGCAGTATGCAGAAAATCTGGTTGATTATATGTGGATGTAATTGTATGCAATGATGATTCGTTCATTATTCGTTGATTATCACCACTTATACCCAGAAGATATAAGATTTGTTGATTGCTGCACACAGATGCTGGAGTTTCTCCTATTTCAGATCTTAAATTCTTATCGGCACCATTTTTTAAGAGTAAGGCGGCAACATCCAAGTATCCTTGTTTGCATGCCCAATGTAGAGCAGTCCTTGAAAAATACCAAGATATGAACATGATTATAAAAATTATCTTGATAATATAAAATAAAATTATAAAAGCCTATGTTGCAATAAGATGAAATAAATTTATCCCATTTTGTATTATATCAAAGAGCAACTTTTCAGAATAAGATACAAGATTACTTCTTTTGATTTGCTGATCTTTAGACAAAAATAAATACAAAATAACGTATCAACAGTGACAGAATCGTATTATAAAAAATGTTGATAAATTTATTTTATACATCACATTAGAATACAATTTTTCAAAATAAAAGTGTGAGATTCTGATAAATATTTTCTGATCTTTACGCAAAGATACCAAGTAAATCCAAATGACAGATACTATCCAGTGATAGAATAGTATTATAAAAGCATATCTTGATAAATAATTTATCTTATACATATGCATTAGACTGCAATTTTGAAAAATAAATTCACTCATTTTGATAATGTTTTTTGATCTTTGCGCAAATTTATCAAAGTAAATCCTAAGTGACAAGTACCATCCAGTGACAGATTGTCGTGCGTTAACGTCGACACCTAAATTCACGAGATCTTGCACGACGTCGGTGTCACCGATGCAGACAGCTTCCCTCAGACGCTCTTCGAGAAGAACTCTTTCCATTTTGCGATAAACTACGGTATGTCACATCTTCTTTTTAATATCAAATTCGAAGCGAAGTCACATTTGGATCATCCGTGACAGGTCGAGGTGGTCGGTTGACGATTCACAAGAATGTGACAGTGAACTGGAATCAAGCCTGTTCGTTTGGCACTAGAGTTTCTTTCTTTCCTTCTCCCTCTCCCTACGTCGTCGAATACGTCTGTCTCATTTCAAACGCAGGGAGTTCTGGAAAGTGCAAACAAAACAAACAGATGTCCCGTAAAGATAACAACAAATAAAGAACAACAAAGAGACGCCGCGGCCAATGATATCGTCAAGATGCCGATACGTTCACGATATAAGATTTAAAAAACGCGGAATCTCACTATTTGACAACCAATTAGCACATTTTAAATCTTCAAGAGTCTGAAAAATATCCCCAATGATGCGACAAATTAGTACTATAACTTTTAAAGTAAGTTTTGCAAAAAATCAAACGTTAAATACATTAAAATTTACATATTATTAAATAAATAATATAATATAAATAAATAGTTATAAATACTAACAATAATGTTAATTAAATAAATATAAGTATAAAATATAATAAGTAAACAAAATATAATGAATAAACATATATATAAATAAATGTAATAATAAAGAAGAAGAATAAAATAATGAGATAATAATAGAGGTTCTTCTACATTTGACAGATTTGGTACGTTCGGTACGCAATGTCGGCCCAATACCATAAACGGAACAGCGGTTGGTAGCCGTGGCTGGCTCCTCTTCGGCCCCCTCATCATCATATGTTTTGCGCACACTGTCGCAAGTGTACGTATATACACTTGCGAGAGCTGTTTAAGGCAGTGCCGACTCATCGCCGAAAAAATCTCTACCAAAACACCGTTTTATTCTTATCGGCGGAAAAGGGGGTTAATTTTGCAATTGGGAATTGACGCAGACACACACACGGGGCACCCATCAGCTCGGCAATATGATTATAACGTTGAAAAACTTACAGCAGCAAACGTTTACGATAGAGATCGACTCGTCGCAAACCGTAAGTAAAAATCGGACGAGAGGGAGAGAAAATTGACTTTTTTTTTTAGAGAGAGAGAGAGCGATTGACGGAACGATTAGATGTGTACTTATTATCGTTGCTAGGTCAAAGATTTGAAGGAGAAGATCGAAACGCAAAAAGGCTTTCCTGCCGAGCATCAGAAGTTGATATACGCTGGTAAGCAATGTAACCTTAATTCGTCAAGAACGATGTTGGAAAGAAAGCGCCCGGCGCTTATTCGCGTAAACGCAACACGGACTCTCCGCCTCCTTATTACAGTGTGTTAAGTATTATATACTTTCGCGCGTATGCTTAAATATTTATATATGTGTGTGTCTTTCCCGAGGGGATAAGAATGATGTTGCAAAAACGTTCATAGGTTATGTTATTTTGGTATACGAACGTGGTATATTAACGAGCGCACCAATTTTTTTACCCTCGAGATCGCGATAACGTGCGATAATGTGCTTACAGGGAAGATATTGGCAGATGAGCAACCGTTAACAGAATATAATATCGATGAGAAGAAGTTTATAGTTGTTATGGTAACAAAGCCTAAAGCTGGTGCTACGCCCAAAACAAGCGAAGAACAGCGCGCGGAGAGTACGGATAACAAGGAAGAATCTACCAGGTAATTTCGACATTTTCGCATTTTGTGTTATAACATATTTTATGTATTATTAATCGCTATCTATATTGGAGATGTCATCACGTGGGGATGTAAGCCTAAATTATGACAGAAATGAGAAAAATCGTTTAAAAATTTGAATTTTATACATAAGAGTACAATCTTCTCTACGTTTAAGATTAGAAGGCATACTAATATCTAATATTTTTTAAGATATATCTCATTTTAATCTCTCATTTTTCAGAGAACATGTTAGTCTGTTAGGAAATTGCTTGATGTAATGAGACCCCCTCCTCCCTTTACAGATTAGATAAAAAGCATATAAAATCAGTGTGATTTATATTCTTTTTTTATGTTTGTGATTATAGCTCGGCAACTACGCAACCTAGTTCGAATCCTACTGTTCAAGAGACTTTGCAAGCTGCTAGTAATGTGCAAGAGCAATCCGCAGTACCTACACCAGCGGCTGGTCAAGCAGAAAGTGCCTTGCTAATGGGAGAGGATTATAATACTATGGTAAACAACATCATGGATATGGGGTATGTATAATGAAGAAAGAATTATTAAATGATGATTATTAATTAGTTACATAATACTAGGGTTTTTTTTTTATCAGGTATGAACGCGAACAGGTTGTACAAGCGTTACGCGCGAGTTTTAACAATCCTGATAGAGCCGTCGAGTATCTTCTAACAGGTATACCGGCGCAACTCTTTGAAGATCCACCCGAGGATCCACCAGAAGCTCAGGAACAACTCCAGGATCAGAGTCAAGATCCATTGGCCTTCTTGCGTATGCAACCACAGTTTCAACAAATGCGTCAAGTCATTCAACAGAATCCGCAGCTGCTGAATAATCTTCTTCAGCAAATCGGTTCTACTAATCCCGCCTTATTGCAGCTCATTTCTCAAAATCAGGAAGCGTTCGTACGCATGCTCAATGAACCTGGTTAGTTCCAGCTAATTATCTATGGTTTATTTTGTATTTATAACTGAAAAGAGAATCCAAATTATATTTAATAATATATCAATTTATTGATAAAACTTGGTTTGTCTTTTCTCGTTTAGTGGAGCCTGCTACAGGAGCGGGAGCGCGAGTTTTGCCAACATCTGGAGGAGGCGTAGCGTCTGCAACTGCAGCGGCTGCAGCGGGAGGTGCTGTAAACGGCGGAGCTGGTACGGGTGCAGCTGCAGGCGTAGGATCCGGTACAATCCAAATAACGCCACAAGACAGGGATGCTATCGAAAGGTTGAAGGCATTAGGTTTTCCAGAACACTTAGTTGTACAAGCATACTTCGCCTGTGAAAAGAATGAAAATCTCGCTGCTAATTTCCTACTCTCGCAAAATCTCGACGACTGAATCACTCATTTAATTTCGTGTGACATTTCGATTAAAAAAAAAAAAAACAGAAAATAAAAAGGACTGACAGAAGGTGAATGATAACATCATTATCTCATTTTGGTCTTACAATAATCATCTTTACTTTGTATATAGATATACACGCAAATATCTATGCTATTTTATTCGTTGTGTAGATAAAACCCTTGGTGTGTTTGGTAAGCGACTGAATCTAAGATAAGCGCGTATACCGCAACATTACGTATACCAACTCTCTTGTTTCATATTTTTAAAAATACTTTCATTTAACATATACCACATTTTTATGAGAGAAAGAATTGTTGCTTACAGCAAATGGTGTTATAAAATCCATCCTTATACAGCCTATGAATGCTCTACTATAAGAATCTTATGTTTCTTAAAATATATATGGAGCAATATAATTCTGTTTTTTATATGAGAAAGCCTATTGTGTTGTATGAAATACTCTGCAGAAGAATATCTTGCAGTAGTTATATGTACACATATATATACATATATATTTCCATATATATATATTGTGTATATATATATATATATATATATATATATATATATATATATGTGTGTATGTATTATATATACATATATATATATTGAGGGTTGCAAATATATAAAAATTGAAGAGATATATCCATTCTCACACATGTTATGGATATGTTTTATACATGTCTAAACACATCTATAAATAGATGTAATAAGTACACTTTGTACACTTATTTGGCTTTCTGATATAAAAATTATAGAGTGCATCCATTTATGTGTACTTGCGTATATTCGTATTTATGTATGTATGTACAAAGACGTCTACTTTTAAATGGTAATATTGAAAAATTGATTTAAAAGTTCTCTTGCATGTGTCATAATCTGGTAAACTAAAAATCTGTCACAAAAAAATAATCTGCTTTAGAATATAATTTTCATCTTAATCAATTTTTAGATCTCAAAAATTATAATTTATGATGTGTAAATATCACATTATTAAATTCTAATAATAAAAAGCTTGTTTGCTTACCACACACATATTGATTGAAATTAATAAATTAAATAATACAGCATAAAACACTATATATCTATCGATAGTACTCTCGAAATTATGAACATTTAAATATTAATTGTTATGTATATTATGTTGAAATTCTATTTAAAAAGCGCGCTAAGATGTGGTATAATATTATAGATTGTATTCCAAATATGACATACGTAATTTTACTTTTTTGCAGCATAAAATAGCAAGTGATATTAAGCGGTTTTCTTTACATAATAAAAGACTAATTAATTTTATGCACATTGCATAATAACATTACATACATACGTATGTACGTACTTATGCATGTTACAGAAAATTCCTTGAATTTGTACCATACAGTTACTTATATTAATATCATTAAAACTACAATAAATATTTAAAATAATTTTCATTGCTCTTATATTTGATAAAAAGATAATAGGAAAGCAAAGAGCTATTTGTTGAAGAGCTTTAATAATAATACATAAAATTTTCCAATCTACTATGCTGAATACAATTTTAATCTTTTTTTTTTTACAAATATGAAGAAGTTATTAAGAAAACAATGCTGTTAAAAAAAGAATGCACTCTGTTGTGTGCTCAATATACTTGTAATACATAGCATATAAATAAATAAATTACGATTTTATTTAATATAACTGAATGTAATATTACTGCCTAAAAGTAGTTTTTAAGAAATCATTTTCAAGCAATATAATTCTGATGTACAGATACTTTTTCTCTCTCTTTTTGCTTTTATATATATGTATACATATATGAAATAAATATAAATATTTTATTTCTATTATATTCATCATTTTATAAATAAAGATAAAAACAGTGACTCAAAGAAAATTATATTGCTATCTGTAATATTCTGAGTTAGTACATAATTACACGCATATGTTTATACATATTTATATAAAATATGGAAGAAAGAATATAATACATGTAAATTTATATATAAAAAGATTAGAAAATTTAATATATTTTAAATTTTATTTATAAATTTTAAGTTGAAGTCTCTCTTAGTACTACACCTTTACTCCGAAGATCCTTTGTAGCTTCCTCTATTTGCTGAAAGAGAAAATGATAATAAGTAGATATTAACACTACTAAAATATTAATATATTTTTTTATAGATACAAAACAAGCTAACTTGTTGAAGTTCGATGGCTGCGCTGTCACAGTTGTTGAAAGTGAATACTCTATACAAAACGACGGTAGCCGCGTACAAACCAAAGAGAAATAAGCAAATGATTGGGAGAAAAAGTATAATTTCATGCCATTCCTTGACAAAAGTAGAGTTGCTTGTAATTGTAGCAAACCAGATGCCAAAAATCACGGTTACACACGATAACCACTCCAACAGTTTTGTCATCTGTAATATATATATGCATTCTTTAATATTATATTGTTATTAAAATATGGTGAAATACTTAATGTTAAGGAATATTATATGTAACATTCAAAATTGCATAAATACAGGTTATAAAGAAATAATATGTTACATTATGAAATACGTATATAATATATATGTGTAAAATGTAAAACTTGTTATATTAATTTTATCGAGATTTAAATAAGATGCATAATCAAATAATATAATGTTGATACGTTTCCGCACATACTTTATAAATCGTAACCTCTAAAAGTTAGGACTAGGACTCGTGCGCGCACCATAGAGTTAAAAATAACATAAGAGGGTGTAACTCGTGCGAGAAACGTAAAGCCTATATATTGAAGATTGAAATTGCAAGGAAATCTGTTCTTTTATTTTAATTGATCATACATAGTTACAATATAATTCTATATTTCCAAAAATGTCAAATAAATTATTGATGAATAAAAAAATCATTAATTATATACATTTATTACCATTTATTATTCAGTTTCGCTGATATAAATTTTAAGATATTTTATAAAGAGAAGATATGTAATATCTATCAAGGATATTTAATATCTTGCTATTTTTTCTTATTTATAAATATTTGTTAAACCATAGCTTATCAACTGGCGATATCCAGTTTTGGCAACCTAGCATGTTATTTTGAACCATATATTTCCAGGTCCAAAAATTCTGATTATTTTCTTCCCTCCACTTTTCTCTACCTGCATCTCTATCCAAAATTTTCTGACTGACAGCTTTGGCTTTGAATGGCATAATCTGTGCTATTTTAGACAATATATCTTTTACCTAAAAAAGAATTTCATGTATTAATACATTGTTGTTTATTCATATTTGATTAATTGCTATTAGAATGAGTTTAATAACATACAAATTTTGAAAATTACTATAAAATTAATTAATATATACCATTACAAAATATAAATTATTTTTAAGATTGTTGAAAGATATAAATGTTAAAAAAGACATATTATTGGAAGATACCTCAAAAAATTCGCAATGACCACCAACTTCTAAAATGACACGTCCAGCTTTAATTGGAGTAGCATAGTGATCAATAGAACCTTTACCACTACCCATACGATGTCCTTGTCCCTAAGTTATAATAACAATAATTATTAGATTAGAAAAATAATATATTTCAGTTTAATAATAACAATAATATAATTTATTCTTTAATTATCCAACCTTTTTTGTAACTGGTTGCCATGGTGGATCTACACGCCAAATTGCAAACATCTTGTTTTGATCAAGTTTTCTGCCAAGTTTTAAACGTATCATCTCAAAATGATTATGCTTTAATCTACCTCCCCCTGTTGCCTGTGCAATTTAAGAAAATATCTATAAATGATCTAAGATTCTTTTAACATTATATATCCGGACTTACAATGATACCATATTGCTTGTATAAAAGGAAATTGTGCACTTCTTCTGGACCACGCATGTATCTCAATCGCTTTTGCATTTTAAAAGCACGCATTCCTGGTGGATACTGTGGGACTTTCTCCATTATTTTGAGTCTTCGTCGTTCAGGATATTCAATGTCTAGTAATCATAAGTTTAAATTACAAAATATTCCATATATATAACAAGTAAATTACATATATATATATATATATTTACTGCCAAATTTTACAGGCGGTGGAAAGACTTTTAAACCAGCTGACGGTGTTATCGATATAGGTTGCAAATCTATAAAAAAATAGCATATAATGTTAGAAATAAAACTCAAATTTAAATATGACTATATTAATAAATGTTAATGTAATCTGTTTTTTTTTCTTTTAAAAGTATATATTATATTGAAAACTTACTAGAAAATAAAAATCGCACTATATTTCTGGATGCTTGCATCATTTTTAATTTATGAAAATATCAATTATCTACGGGATACGTTTGACAAAGTTTGCATGTATTTTAATATTTTTTCATTGTCAAATTTTTCATATAAGTTAGGCTGTTATATTTTTCACATAAGTTAGGCTGTTATATTTTGCTAGATTAGCTGACCATCTTCACGAGTGTCCTTAGAAAACAGGAACACTACACGAATCCATCTTTCGGTAACTGCGTGAACATAACAATGACCGCATTCAGCGGACTCAACCGCTAAGTAGCAATCGAATATGATTGGTTTCCACTTTCAGGTCCGACCAATCAGCGTCGAGTTACATCGGAAAATCTAGGAATGTTGCCTAACTGTTGAGTCCGCTGAATGCGGCCAATAGCTGCGTTCAGCAGGATAAGTTGCTTTACAACTGTTGTAAAATTCATGAATCTGTACTTTACCACCGGTTCCGGCATAAGGCCGGGTCTATTATAGATAATTTAAGTCCTTAGTCTTAAGAAATTGACCAATCACAGTCGAGTATGAAGAGAATACTCGACTGTGATTGGTCAATTTCTTAAGGCTTAGGTCTTAAATTGTCTATTGTAGATCCGACCTAAGTTAACAGTTACCTCTATAAGCCAGCCTTAAATCTTCTTTCTGGGTACTTTCTGACAGAAAATGTATAATATGCGTGACATGAACTATACGTTTTCTGTCGCTTCATGCGCATCATGCATGAATCGGAAAGTACTCTCTGTTGGAAGATTTTTATTCCATTAGAAATAATTGACCAATCAGAGAGTTCTTCAATTATCCAATCAGAAAGCGGATATCGCTTATTTAAAAAACAAAGAAGCACTATATCACATATGAATACAAAGTGGACGTTTGCACTTTCTGATAGTAGGTATGTGTACATAATTAGAAAAAATCTTTCCAGTTCTTTTACTTTTCTATATTTCTATAATTATCGAAATAATATTAATGGCATCAGTATGTATTTAAACACATTCAAATATACATTACATCAAACAAGAATTGTTTAAAATAATATATGTATTTTATACAATTTCCCAATCAAATTTTATCATTTATTAATTTTTGTATTGTATATTTTATATAATTAAGATGCTTGTATCATTTTTGAATTTATGTTCTCAATTGCAGATTTTTTTCTAATATATCTCACGTTTATGTATTATATTTATAATTCTAAATATCATACTATTAAAGAGAGAAATTGAATAAATTTTAGGTCTTTAATTATATTAAAGAATTAAAATTCTTACATAATCAATTTTACAGAATTATTACTTTGTATAATATATATATGTATTGAAATTCCACATATTTATATTTTTCTATTAAAATAAAGATATTTCTTTCATGCACAATTATTGATGTTATTCATCTAGGATGAATAAAATTAAAGAAAAAATTCAATTATAAATATGTATTAAATATGAAAAAAATTGTTTTTATACAAGGATGTTTTAAAAATCGCGTATTTTTTTAACCGAATGAATAATATAATATATACACATTGAATAATAATTTATTTTTTTATATACTATATGTCGCTTTTTATATCATAATTACAAAAAAATTAATTACAATGGTTAAACGAAAATTCTATCTTTAATGCTGCAGTTGTGTGCATATATAATTACATATCTTAGATTTATTTTACGTGGTTTGATATTATATACGTCATTTTTATATATTAATATCCATTTTTTTCTTTTTTTATATAAACTCTAGCACAAAAGGAAACACAAATTTCGAAGAAGTAGACCGCCGATTAAACATGTGAATTCGTTTATAACCGATATGAGTGAGATAATACGGTCAGTTTAAGGAAAGAGGGCTTAGTGATACGAGAAGCTCGATATGTTACAATTACAATATTTTTATATATCTTTGATGACGATTTTGATGGTAACAACAGATAAATACTACATATTGTACATTGAGTAGGCGATAGTCGTATCTTATTGTTATAATTAGCGTATCGATGGCGTCGACATTGATGTCAACGATGACGATGACGATGACGATGACAAATCGTGAACAACGTCTTTTCATATTTTTCAGGATCGACACGCGATGGACACGTGGCAATGGCAACAGCAGTAGCAACAGGAGCAACAATCTCAGTAACAATAACAGCAACAGCAACGATGACAATAATATGACAGTAATATAGGTAACAATAGAGTATAATTATAAAAGTCATAATAATAATTTCATTAATGAGAATAGAAGATCGTCCTATAGTTTCCGAATGAGATATTTCAGAGACTTTTGCGATAAATCGCGATAACTTCGAGAAAAAATAACTATAAAAAAAATTTATAAAAATAAATAAACTCTTTAAAAAACAAAATTTAATATCCTTTTCTTCTTAGATATATTTTGACATATTTCTTTAATTTTTTATATTATTAATATACTATATCTCTGACACACTAAGATAGAGAAAATACATTAATTAAAATATTAAATATAATTTCTCAAACAATGATATATATAAATGATTTTTTATAAACAAAAAACGTGCCTTTCACATTTATTTATTTTGAAAAATATTTCCTTTTGAGATTTCTTTGATTCTGAGCACAATTGTAAGAAATGAAGAAAGAAAAAAGAAAAATGACTGTATTTTTAAGATATAATATTTTTAAGATAAATATTTTCGTTCTTGTAGAAATGTCAAATGTTAGCAAAATGTCTCTGAACTTTTGAAACCAAGGAAAATGACGATCTCTTTTCACACAACGATTTGATAAACGGTAACGAACAGCTAGAGGCGAAATCTGTTTGATTAATTATTATTAGAGTGCGAAAATTTCACACAAGTGAATCTTTTTAAATGAGCACTTAATTCTGGCTTAGAACATTTATTAATTAAAGAGCTCCTCTTCAAATCGTCTCATATAAATTCGATACAATTCAAAAGTAGAGCTCAGATCTTACAAAAGCATGGAAAGATTTTTTTATATTATTTTGAAGATAGATTTAAAGCCATTTTAAAGATGAGCTCTTTTGTTAAAATTTTGTTATTGTGCTTGAAAATGTAAAAGAAATCTTGCCTCTGCTTTGCTTCTCGTCTCATTTCAATCGATCAATCGATGAAATGGTTGACAGACTTCTGTACATTAATGTAATCAGTTTCTCCCCAAGATCGCGCGTCCAAGAAGAACTTTTTGCATATATGTACTACACATCGGATATTGTCGTCGTCGTTGATCGTCGATCACCATCGTCATCGTCGGCCATCCGTTCGCTGACGACGTCGCTCGAGCGTCGTCGTCGCGAAGCATACAGTTAGTAACTATTAATTATCGCTTTCGTTTTTTTTTCTCTTCATTTCCGCATTTATCACACTTATTATGTAAATGGGCTGAGGAATGTGTGTGTGTGTGTGTGCGCGGATGCAGAGTCAGTGATGCATTTCCTTTGCGCGATGAATCTATTACACCTCTAATCGATAAGAAAGAGGAAGAGAGGGAGATTCTGTAAAGGACTTTAATCGCAGGGACAAGAATTTTCGTGTAAAATAATCTAATGAATGATGAGAAAAATATACGAACATGGGAGATTACCAGTGATCCCCGAATGATTGAATATTATTTTAGCTAACCGATTTAATATATAATTTCTCGCGCTGTCTAATATATAATTTTCTTTGATAAGGAAAAAAATTACGAATACATAGAGTGGAGAGAAGTTGAATAAAAAAAACGAGATGAAAAAGAAGCGGAAGGAAGACAGAAGAAAGAAGTATAAAATAATACAAGAGAAAGAAAAATGATTTCGAAATCTCTTGTATGACAACAAAAATCCTATTCAGGAATCACTGGCTCACATTGGAAAGATAATTTATATCGCAAATATATTTCCGATGCATTGTTTTGAGACAAGCACAGGTCGATGACTACAAAAGCGCGAATTTTTCATCGAAATGATGTGGAACCAGAAGTGTAGAATGTACACGACATCTCATCTAATACATACGTATGCGTGTATGTGTTTAGGTATTTGTGTCTCGCGATGATATATACTAACATACAAGCCACTGACTCCGATCACTCTCAGTAAGACTAAGTAAACGCTATGGCATCATGATAATCACCGATGGGGTGCTCTTATATCAAACTCGCTAGATAATAGTTACGAACGATTAGCGCGCGTCTATTTTTCGCTTGATATTCGGATATGATCGCAATTATCGTATAGATTCTCACCATTGAGTTCATCGATAAGTTTTCGTTTTTCCATGTTTCATCTCAAGAGAAAGAGAAGATAAAAAGGAATATACAAAGCGTTACATTAGCTTCCGACACCGGAAGACTAGGTATACCTGCATCGCATACTTGGCATTAAATCCGGCTTATTTATCTCGCACAGAATATCGTATAGAATCAGTCAGGATAATTGTGATACAATTTAACAGTTTGTAATAATAAAAGCGATTATAATATCATCGGGAAATGTTCGGCCTCGCATCTAGTATAATCATATCCTGATTGTATCTGTGACTACGATAATTAAACGGTCAAAGTGTCAAATATGAGATACGAGTACAAACTTTAGCGTATACACTCGAGAGCTATATTATGGATAATATCTCTTAAGCAAAACTCTCGAGTGAGTCACTTCCTCAATTTTGCGCTGATCGAAGAGTATAGTATGAAGAATCGCTTTCAAGGCATGAAAACCGATTGCAGAAAACAATATCCGTATATTTCATCGTAAAGTAAGCGATTAAGACCGGGAATTTTATGAATCTATCTTATATAAGGGGCGTTCTTCTTTTATAGTATCAAATAGATGTACGAGATTCGCAAGTAATTGCGGCTAGATGTCGACGAGACGAAATGTTTTTTTCTGCAATCGGTTCAAAAATTATTCAACCCTTAACTAATATGGCGGAATCTTACAGTGTGATATATGAGACTAGATACGTTTACATATTATTATTATTTTTTGAATAATTTCATGAATTTCATTACATCATTATTAAAACGAAAAAATGTTTCATTCGTTGCTCTTGTACGAGACAAAGATCGTCTCCTTACGAATATATCATCATTTTCTGTTTTGCACACAATTATGTAGAAACATCCGGATATACGATTCGCTTAACACCACAGCAGTTAAGGGTCGATCATATGTACATCAAGCTTGACGCATCGTGATCGCGAGAGCATTCGAAAGATACGTATTATCATCAGGCGAAAGGCAACGTACATCGCACTCTTTTTTTTTTCACGTTGATTAATATTTTATATATTACGCGCTATATAAGAGACTAGATTCTCGGCGGGGAGGAGGGGAGAGAGGGAGAGAGTATGCTCCGATTCTTCCTCAATGTTTGCAGAATCGTCTAACACCATATTCGATTGGATCACTATTGTCCCACGTGATTGTGCTGACACACAACTTACAGAGTTACATACATACTTAGACACGTAGTCCTTAAGAATATGTATATAGTGTTATAGATTTTTTTCTGGCTGAGATTTTTGGAGTAGGTCGCTCACTTCTTTGCGTCTAGAATTGCTACCTCGTTTTCATTCTCGATCGCTTTGCGGTGCTCAGTTTTATTTTAATGGAAAACAACGGGATGACACTGTATGAGCTCGTAACTATGTGTATATTTTAAATTGATCGGGAAGAACGGTATATTTTTTTGCTCTCTTTTCTTCTTCGCTGTATACATATAAGTACACGGAAAAAATTTTACAGTATAAATTACATGAAGGATATATTTCCTTTTATAACGTCTATTGTAAAATTGGAACATAAGATGTTTATTATAAAAATTGTAAATTATGCATTTGTTTTATTATTTCTTAACGATTATGCATCAAATATTTGAATAATTATAATACTCTTTAAAATATAATACATATATAATACATACTCTTTAATATATAATACATATATAATATTATGAATAAAAATATAGTGATTTTTCTTATATTCCATAAATTACAAAAATTATATTGTAATTTTTACTATATATTTTCTCCGTGTACAGTTAAAAGCACGTACAGATTAAGCGAACATACTTTGCTTATTATTTATCGTTCAATGAAGAACTCTTGTTTAGAAAGTATCTTTCGATTCTTTACAGTTATATTCAATAGCTGCACATCTTGTTTCAAAAAATGTATACGAACAAAGTGAATAAGAAAATAAATGATTAAAGTATAAATTTTCTATATGGAATATAGGATATGTTTTTGTTTTACGTTTTCATACTTTAAAATGAATGCTTCTACTTTCGCGAGGAATATATTTGGTTATTATAAAAATCAATCTATTTCCATTATATGGATCGATTACTAAGATATAGACTGATTATTAAGAAGAGAATAGAATCTGCGAATTATTAATCAATTATATTATAAATCAATTCTACGTTATTATCTCAAAAATATCAAATTAATATTTTCTCTACTATTTCTCACGTGCACATATACACATACACGATACGTTTGTGTATGTTTGTCCTTTACTAGCCATATAAGCCATTTATAGACAATAATGTTCACTTAGTTTATACACACTTTCAACACGCATTCTTTGTATCTAGGTACAAAATGCTCGGACACATGATAGAAATATGTGTTCCTCTTTATACGATGATACATACATTTCTCGAAATAGTATTCAGGTATGAAGTATAGTCATTAAAAATTGCGAAACATATTTCTGATATTTAGCTACTTTTGACTTTTTTAGCTGAAAGTGTTAAACATTGTAACGTGCAGGCTAATGCGGTTGTAAATAAAAAATCTAAACTGAATAGATATGTGTCAAAAGGAAGTAGGCTATCTCTTTCAGAATATCTCGGCCGATTTCAATATTCCCGATAATACATATTTTTACGATAAATATACAATTATATACACTCGTGATATGGCAATATACATGGTACGTGTTATATCTCGTAGCAGATATAGAATACCTAGATACAAATGTTTAAAGCAAGAATAATGAGAATACACCGTATCTCAATACTGTACCTAAATACGTGTCGATACGCATACGTGTTATATTTAGGTACTATCTAGACATTTATAGACGTTTTTCACGATATACTGATCTCGCTAACACACGCATTTTCACATGATGAAGGTGATATTTTCGGCGTGCTTTTAAAAAGTGCTGATTGCGACACGAGTACGCGATGTTTACTTAAAAAAGATCGTCCCTCCCCAAGGGAGGATAATTCAAAAGCGAGAGAGCAGCGTGTAATATATATACGCTTCGTCACTTTGTCGACGAGATACTTCTTCATTCGATATTTCCGACGTGCGCGTCTCTCGATGCGTGGAACGCGATTCTCTATTAGCTATATAAATGTAACTTTAAATCTGTAAGTCCATAATTAACATGCGCTTTATCGCGTTTATATATATATATATAATATATATATGTATATATGTACACAGTCTTACAAAGCAAAATTTACAAACATTATGACGTATGGTCGATCGAATAAATATGCGTCCTCCGATGCGGCCGGGTCGGGTTGCAAGTCTCGCACGTTTTGCTTCGTCGTATTTTGATCGCGCGTCTCGTATACACCTGACAAAGACCGATTGGCAGTCTGCGAACCGGTGAAAAATTCACCGGTTTGACGGCGAATCGCGCGCATTAAGCGAATATGTATTTGATGCAGATCGAATATCCGGAAAGGGCGAGGAAGAGACGCGCCGTCATACGCATCGTCATCGTACAAAACTCTCCTTTCTTTGTACATGAAACGCGACATTTTTGATATCAGCAATGGAAAGAGATTCGCGAGGTGATGCCCTTTCGCATTTTTTATCGTTAGATACGGCATAGAAAGCCATTGCGCCGCGATCAAAATACAAAGCATCTCGCAAGTGATGCTCGTCTCTTGCAACCCTCACGGGAATGAGGGGGAGGAGGAACCGTGATAGCGCAGGGGAAGAGCTTTTGAGCGAGAGATCGAGATGGCACGGAGGGGGAGGGGGCGAGGGGCGAGGATATGCGACGATCCTGCACGAAACGAAGGAAAGCTCGCAGCGAGGAACGGAACGTCGCGCGAGACGTTTTCGTCGTCATCGAGCGAGCGATCTACCTACCCCACTTGGCCATCGACAGTCAGTTTTTTTTTAAAGCCTCTTGCGTGTATATACGAACAGTGCTTCGATTATTTATTACGTCGACAAGTTTTCGCGACGCACGAATAATATCTTCCCGTATGAATTGAAAATGATAAAAAATGAGAAAATAAAGGAAAACATCATGATAGATTAAATCTATTGAATATTGTCGATATAACGGATGAAGTTATTTAGAGAGCTATTAAAGAGAAAATTTTGCAGATAGCAAAAATAATCAATAAAAATGAACGAAAAAGATATACTTATTTGGTTGATATAATCATTTGGGATAATGATATACATATATGTATATATACTTTGTAAAAATGGTAAAAAAATATAGTGAATATATGCATCTCTTCGCGTGGGATATATAATATAAAGTATCGATGTAACGCATAGATTTTTCTTATCGCGCATTACATTTTACGTATCATTATTTACGTATTGACGTGAATATATTATCGGTGCAAATTATCATCATACTTCAGGAACTTTCACCCATTGCGCGCCCGAAAACTGTTAGCGATCGTAATAAATTGCCGAGAGACTGTATGAATTGTGTATGAAGGAGTTAATCTCTCTCTTAATTCCGTTAATATGAGAGTGTACTATGTATTTATGCATGTTTGCGCGTTACTCTTGATGTGCTGCTAGGAAGCTGACTAGATTATAGTCTAAAATACGAAATATCCGGGGAAGTCACCGTCGTCGTGTATAGCGGAATCTCATTTCTGTGAGAGCGAGTTGTCACGACAGAGAATTCTCCGAGAGAATTTTCAAGAGGCGAACATAAAAAGAAAACAGTTCGACACGCTCGCCCGCATCTACTGACGAGGATCCCGGTGTTCCGTATCGACATTGACTACTGCTCGACCTTCCAAGAGGTCGAACGGCCCTACCTAGGCATTCGACTCCTTCAGATTGTCAAAATATTGCATGATCTGGTTGTAGTCCATACCTAGATTAAGATCGTCGAGCGGCACTGACTCTTCCTGTTCTTGGAAAGACGACGAAGCGCAGGAGCTGGAGGAGGATGAGGATGACGAGGACGAGGAGGAGGCGGACGGCGACGAGGACGGCGGGGACGTGGTGGTGGACGAGGCTGTGCCGCCGACAGGAGTAGACGCGTTGACGGTGGAAGCGACAGCTGACGTGGAGAAGGACGAGTACATCGGATTACCGACTATGGTCGCCCTCTTGATCTCCCGGGACCTCCCGGCGTCTTTCGCGAGGTCGCGTTTGTTGTTATCGTCATGATTCACCAGCTCTACAAATTCCTCGTCATCGCCGCCGTTCTGCTGTTTGTTCGCATTTTCCATCACTCTGGCTTTCGCGTGCGGTTTGACCATGTGATGGCTCGACTGTTGCGGTGGTTTGCCGCTGTGTCGATGGTTATTCCCATGATGGCCACCACCGCCGCTGCCGCCGCTGGACGTCCTGTGGCGATGTTTTCGCGGTGGTTCCGGCAGCCGCACGTTAACGCCCGTGTTTCTATGCGGCGGTACCGGTGGTTTATAATCCTCGTTGTTGCCATTGTTCCCATTGTTCGTGCCGATCGTCGTCGTTGCCGTTGTCGTGGTCGTAACCGATGTCGAGATCGCGACCGGCACCCCATGCGGCGGCAAGGGCGGAGGGATATCGTCGTTGCTGCAAAGAAATTCCCAAGGACGGTTAAATTTCTATAAGGACATCATTATTTCATCTCAAATCAATTTTATCATTTTTCTTTTCGCATAAATACCACTTTCTTTCTTTTGCTTTTGAAAAGATACCTCATCTTTATAAACTATTTATGAAGAATCCTCCGTCGTGTAAAGAAGAAGAGTAACATTTAATCATAATTACTCATTTCGCGTGATGGCCATTGACGGAGCTATCATCGACGACGTCGTTGTCGTCGCCGTCGTAGTCGCATTGGTGGGTGCTATCATCGCGGACGGCTTGATCGCGGATTTCGCCGCGAAACTGTTCCGCGCTACTCTGTCCCTCTTGGAATAAGTTGTGGTGTCGATAGCGCTAGTACCGCTGCTAGATGTTATGCGTTGGTTGGCGGACGGTAGCTCGATGTGATTCGGATTGTCGAAGCACGTCCCCAGTTCGTTCTCGGGTTCACCTTCGCCAGCCAGCGGATTACTTGTTACGCGCACCTGCAATCATAAACCGAGTTTCCAATCAAACGAGATTCAACAAAATCTCTCGTTTATTTTGTTTAAACGCTTGCTGGATTGTTGCTGGATTATCGGGGCGAAGGGAGATGAACAAAGGTATTTACAGCATCGAATCCTATTGGAAATTCGTTGAATCACCGATTAATCCTGGATATGTATATTCCCTGAACTGTCAATTTAGACTATCCATGCTACGTTTATCGAAATTTCATTCGTGTTATCGTTTAATCATCAGAAATCCTAAGTAACTCTATGTTACGGATAATTATGTTTGAATGAAGTTTGAATTAATATAATATTACATGATATTGACTATGCGTATATCATTTAGCAATAATTGGGCAATATCATCATAATTAATCATACATTAAATTTTCAAAAGTAATGACTTTATCAGGATATCTGATTTTTGTAAAAAATACTCCCTGAAAATTCTCTGATCTTTCAGATTTTTTTATTTAAAATTTTTGTCTGAAGAATTTTTAGATGCAATTTTCGAAAATAAGTTTTTTTTTATTCCGTGCGTTCTCTAATTTTTCTTTTATGTGGAGGAAAAATGAAAAGCTACTTAAGTTTCAAGAGATTCGAAAATATATTTAATAAATTCAATAGCTTTAAGATAAACATTTTTCACCCACATTTTTCATTTTTTCATTACTAAAAATTATGTACAATAAAAATATATATTGCATCCTTGGTTCTGTTAAGACATTGAATATATAAACACACACAGACAGACAGATACATATTTATATATTATATTTTAAGTACATAATACACAACTTAGCCAATTAATTCATCACCGATTGCTTGGATTCCAATGTAAGAAGAGAATTATCAAAGAGATCGTTTTCTAAAAAATTCCCCGGGTTCTAATAAAATCTCATGAGAGTTTCCTGATCTTTCTATCTAAAAAAATTCCCGTGAAAATTCTAGCTTCTTCATATTTCTGCAGGGAGTAGACATCCCGCTATCGCAAGTCATACACGTACCTGTTGCGGACCGCAGGCGGCTCGCTCGAGGGTAGCTCTACCCAGCCATACCCAGTCGTGTGCGTTGGTGGTGGATTCGCGAGGTGGACGTTGGTGGTGGATTCGTCTGCCGGACGCCAGCTGGTTCGCGGCGGCGCGTGCTCCAGCGAGGACCGGTACGGCCGCGCCGGTCAGGAGCCCCGGCGAGTCCGGTGGTTGAGGCTTGAACTTGCTGGCGTACACCACGCAGGAGACGACAAAGACAACGATCGCGAAGCAGAACGCCGCGAGCAGCACGTACATCCCGATCTCGAGCGGACTCATGCGCGCCCCGACGCCGTGATGACGCACGCCGACGCCGCCCATACCCCCTGAAGACATGCCATTAGCTATAGCCGTGCGATGCTGCCGCGCCTGCACCAGAGGCTCGTGCTTGTGCCCGTCTTTCTCGTCTTTCAGCGGTAACCCTTTGCACAGAAAAAAACAAAGAGAGAGAAAGAGAGAGAGGACAGAGTGAGACGACAGGGGGTTTGTGCCGAGTTGGAGAGAGCCACCGCGAGAGAATCTTCATCCCTTAATCCCCTTTAAGCTGAACAGACGGCTGGCCAGACATGCTATCGGGCATGCGAGGATCGAGGAAGGGACACTGGATCATGCATTTATACTTTCAACGCGGCAATAATACGTACAATCACTTCGTACTATCTTATTGAATGCGTAATATCGTCTATATTGAGATTTTGATACTACTTTGAGATAAAAAGAGAAGGAAAGTCATGTGTGTAGAAACGTTTCAAGTAATTGTTAAGCTCTTTTTTCAATTTTGTCATTGTTCATAATTCGCGTATAATAGTAGATGTTTCAAGTTGATTGATGATGAGGTATTCCAACGATTTGTAATAAGCGCGTTGCATCACTGACTACGTTTACGCAATACCCTTAATTGAAAATTAAATGGCACATAAGAACCACAGCGCGATAGTTGTAGCGCAGAGAAGAAACACTTCTTTCTTTTTTAATATTAATTTATTATAAAACTCATATTAAAAAACTCAATAATAAAAGGCGAACATTTAGGATCATCGGTCTAGTAGTAAGCGCGTTGCTAACAATCCATCAAATATACTATAATTGTGCTGTGCAAAGTCGCAGCAGATCTGACAAATCGAGTAAAAATAAATATCGAGAGAGATGTTACACTTGAATAGGCTTTTTTTTTGTTCAAATTAATAGTTAGAAGCATGACTCACCAGACTCCGCGTTTTTTTACAATTGCCGTTGTGTCCCATGTCAGTTTGAGATTCGATGATGAAATGTATAAATATATCCTTGTTATGACGTAAATATAGACTCAACCGAGGATATACTCAGTTGATTCAATGATAACAAATATATAAATATATGAATATATAAACGAGCGCTTCATATTTTCGATAAATTATCGATGATCGATCGCAATCGTTGAATCATGCATTTGATAATCGATAATTTATCGAAAATATGAAGCGTTCGTTCATATTTTTATATATTTGTTATCATTAAGTCAACTGAGTCTTTGGTTGAATCTATGTTTATGTCCTAACAAGGATATATTTATACATTTCATTATCGAATCTCAAATTGATATGAGACACTCAACGGCATATTGTAAAAAAGCGTAGAGTCTAGTGAATCATGCTTCTATCTATTAATTTAAAAAAAAAACCTATTCGTGTAATATCTCTCGGTATTTATTTTTACTCGATTTGTCAGACCTGCTGCGACTTTGCACAGCACAATTACAGTGTATTTGATGTTAGAAGCAGCGCTATTAGATCTCCGTGTGATGTAATTTAAATATAATAGCGTCACCTGCGCGTCGAGGAACAAATTTGTATAATATAACGCGTCTTAATTTGTAGTATATATTATTAGCACCGCGCTGAAAAAGGATTAAAAGATGATTCGAAACGTTCGCCTTTTATTATTGTAATATGAATTTTGTAATAAACTAATATTAAAAAAGAAAGAAGTGTTGTTTCTTCTCTGCGCTCCAACTACCGTGCTATGGCTCTTATGTGTCAACTTTCGATTTAATTTTAAATTTTCTGAGCCAAATCCCTAATTATTACCCTTAATTAAGTAACTTATAACTTTAATAACACCCATGGTTTTAAAACTAATGGCTAATTACAGTTAATCTATTTTTAAAAGAATAGCTGTGATTGATCAGTTTTAGAACAGTTTAGAATGTTATTAAAACTCGATAAAAGTAACGTATAAAAGTGATCACAAATTATTTTTCGAGGCAGACGCATTTGATATTCAACATACAAAAGGGAAGGAAACTATCAGTTACGGGGAGCTGGAGGGAAACCGCGGGGGGAGATTACACATCAATAGACAGACGAACTTTTTGTAAGCCAAAGAAAGTTTTCGCTGTAGGAAATGCATGCTGTGCGCTACGTGGCGGTTATAAAGCAGAGAACGGAGGAAAAAGCGAAGAAAATGCGAAAGAAAGAAGAAAGGAAGATAGAGAGAAAGAGAGAAAGCGAGAGAAAGCGGCAAAGGGGAACAGGATCTATTTACCGATGAGAATGTCATGTAGATCCGGTGTCATTTCGCCCCGGTTGGTTTTACGTTCTCTGTGATGATGGGAGCCGACGGTGCCGCCGCCGTCATTTTGCACAAATTCCGGCCGATTGGGCACCTCGCTCGAGGCGAAATCCACCTCGACATTGGCCGACGCGCTCGCCAACGCGGCGACCGTCGTCCTCTGAGAGCCCTTGCCCGACCGTCTGCCGGATAATCGGCAGGAATCGGCCAGCTGAAGACTGACGCGCAGCAGGTCACCGCGACCCTCACCAACGGCGATGACCCGGGGATGATGCGAAGCGACCATCGGCGCGAACGCCACGACTTCCGGATCCGTGCTCTCGACCTGCAAATTGTAATCGCTCACGGCGATCTCCCTTAGGGGCGTACGGGTACCGTCCGAGAACTCCACGTCGATGTCTAGCAATCCCTCCTGTTGATGCGATAGTGCGATAATTGAGTCAAGCTTATATACAGTTTGCTTATGTTTGCTTTGTGCAATCACAGTTTCGATCACAGAAACCTGAGGAAGTTGGGATCTAATTTCTCTAGAATATCAACATTTGATAGAATAACACAATTTTACATTATTTTTTAATTTTAATGTATATGTGTATATTTCTTTGATTAATTTAGACTTATTTAATTAGATTTGAATGATCTAAAAAACATCGAAATATTGAACGCTACAAGTTTATTTTTGTATTCTAAAAGATTGCCTCTCTAAAGTTATTTTTCTCCTCAAGATATATTTGAAAAATAACATGCTTATTTCAATTAATTCAATAATTTTACCTGATACTGCGCAGTCAATCTCCTTGTAACCGAGGTCTCCGCGACATATCCGTTCTCGATCGCGGTATCGGGACTGATGCTGAGCTGAAGCCCAGACACGACTCGGACGGACAGTCGCATCACGGACACGCGATCGTTGCCGACCCTGATCTCCTTCGCGCCGATGACTCTACCGGTGATCGGCGAGAGTACCTGCACCTCCGTGCGTCCCACCCCGCGGCCCTGGACCAATTTATTTTGAAGAAGCGTCGCTATCCTAGGATCGGAGACGCGCAACATGCCGGCCACGAGGTCGGTGACGCGCAGCCAGGTGCGTCGATTGACAAAGTACGAGACCCTGCCCGAGTCATGATCGGTCGCCAGGAACCGGGCGTGAACTTCGACCGGACTCTGCTGGAACCGAAGTCGACAATTGGCCGGGGATAGATTCCGATCGATGGAATTGATCGTGTCCCACCCGTGCTCGTTCCCATTGCCACGGAATCGTTCCTCGTGCTCATCGTCCTCCTCGAGGAGCGGCTCGTCCGGGTCGTCCATGTCCATCGAGGTGTCCTCGATCGATTCTTCGATCTCGACGGCGCTTCTCTTCTTCGCTCGCGCGGTGACCACCGGCGACTCCGAGGTCCGTTCCTCGATCTTCGTCGCGTTCACCAAGCTACGTTTGCTCTTGGCGCTGGTCGCGTGCTCCTCCGGCACCTTCCAGCCCTTTATCTGGCTGAGTCGAGTGTCGCCAACGGTCACCTCCAGCGGAAACTCGGGCATCCACACGGTGAACCTCGCTAAACCGGTGTACGTGCCGTACTTGACGAGGACCGATGCGTTGCTGGAACCCCGAATCTCCGAACCGTCCACGTACACGCTGCTACAAGAGGACGATACCTACGAATTTCGAACGATCGGGTGTTAAGTGGAGTTTGATTCTGGACTACAGTTTGTAATACAACGTCTAACGACACTTGGAGTTTCGGAAGCGCCACTTGAATTGGCGATTATACGGAGTATCAACAGTTTGGAACTTTCTCGAGGATATTATACGATATATTTTCGAGGGAACTTAAAATATTACATTATAAAACTTTGAAGAGAGATATTACGTTATATATATAAATTCTCTTGTTTCCAAGATGCACTCTTCATGGTCTCTTAAATAAATCGCTGCTAAACTTTTGAAATCTCGGAGATGGCGAATCAATACTTAAATAAATTCTACATACGTTATAATATTTTTGTTCTAAAATAAACATTTATAAAAAAACATTGCTTACAGAATAATCATGTTAAATAATTATTTTCTGTAACGTATATGTGTCTGAAAAATATGTATATATTTATATTATATACACACCTAAAAATTATGATGAATTATGATAAATATATCTCAAAAATATACATATAAAATATCTAAAAATTATATCATGCAAATAATAGGATTGAAAAACTTGAATGAAGAGTTTGAAAATACTATTAACGTTCATATAATACGGTGATTTTTCCCTTCGAAAAGCTTCCCTTCAAATCAAGGAAATCTCGATAAGTGCTGAAGATGAATTAAAAAGCAATTACCTTGAGAACGCTTTCGTCCTCGGAATGACAGGACGACTGCAATGTGACGTCGGCCACTGTGCCAGCTTGACTAACGATGAAAACCTTCATCCCCTGCGACACCTGACGCCCCGTCAGCACTGCCGTATTCATCACCTCCCAGTTCTGAAACAAAACACAAAATATTTTCTCGAGGAAAAGAAAGTCATAGCTCGAATGCTCCAATTTTTAATGCTACGTGATCGAAAAATTTGCGTATATTTCAATATACACATTTCTATAGCCTTCATATGTGATAGAGCCATTATATACATTATTCATAACTGTTATTTATTCTATTCCCCTTTCACTTGACATGATAAAAAGCGCGGTAAGAGCGTTATTAAAAAATATGTATCGCCCAAAATATAGAAAAAAAATTCATAAAGCATAGAAAAATGTTTGCACAAAAGGATATTCTTTGAAAGAAATATTGTATATCTCTCTTTCTCAAATTTACAAATTTATGCATAAAACTTATTTTCAATAAATTATTTAAAGACAGATAAAATAATGGAAGCATATTATATAGAGGATCATTAACAAAATATATAAATTTGAAAAAACAGTACAGTTGATTTCTGTAAATGTTCAATATCTTTTCTTTAATTCCAAATTGATTAGAATTGTCATCTTATTTTATTCAATGAAAAACATTATATATAGAAGAAATTTAAATATTTTATCATTTTTTAAAATTTCTTTCGAGATGAAAAGAATACGATTTCTTGACCTCTTGTGAAAACTGGAACTGCAAGAAGTTCATAAGACCATAATTCAAAATCCTTCTACGTAGACCGATGAGAACTATCCTTTCGAATGATACATGTATTTTCCACGATAAAAGTTTTTTAAAAGAAAAAAGGAGCTTGCCTTTTCATAACAACCGATTTGTTTACTAACGTTTTAGCTGAAATATCCTCTCAAAGTGTTCAAAAGGATTTCCGTGAATGCGATAACTAATAATATCTACCTAAACGCGTCTGACTGTACACAGTTGTTTTACTACTGCTGAAGACTCGCTCGCAATACACGTTACATACACGTAGAAATTACTTGCTACGTTTGCGTCCGCGTATACACGCGTGTACTTTCTACTAGTTCGTCAACGAGAGGACTCCCGCAAAGGGAGTTGGTTGACGAGGATCGGTCGGTCGGTCCAGTAAGCCATTTCCAAGTTGGCTCCCGTCCGTGCAGACTCTGCAAGCTAGGGCCTTTGGAAGAGGAACATCAAACGGCTCCGATATTGCAGCGAGGGAATTTAAATCTCTGACGCCGCGCGCGTGATACTTCCCCTTGGTGTCCGATGTATGCGCCAGCCAACTCTATTTACTATATCGTCGACAGTCGGAGAGACCGCGTTCTCTCAACAATGGTAGAAGCGGCGGGCGCGGCTCACCTTCGCGCGCGAGACTCATGGTTCCTTTTTCCCATCCTTTCATGAAATATTTTCCCCAGTGGGATCGCTATTCGCACTCGCGAATATTTACGAGGCCGTCTCCGCGCGAGACGTAACGAGATGTAACAAGATGTAACGCCGTTATCTTGTATCCCATCCTACAAAATGCGACGCGAATTGACTCCTTGAAAGGAATAATCGGTTACGATTGTACGCATATTGATCACTGACTTAGGTTTTGTCGCGATAGAAAAAAAAAAATCTTCGATCCTTTGATACGTAAAAAGCAATCGTCTACTGAATATCTTTAGTAAAATCCCCTTCAGGTAATTTTTAAAAAAAGATCGTAACCTCCCGACAGTACTTTATTAAAATTTATTGAAATGTCATTTTTCTGCTGTTTAAATTTTTATTCTCTGACTTTTTAAATTTCTCTGTTCAAAATCGCGTTTTTTCTATCGTTATTATGCGCATCAATTTGTTATTATTCGTTTTCGCTACGTTAAAAATAAGTCAGCATTGTGACTTCAATTTTATTTGTTTTGTGCAAGTTCTGGATATAACTTTGTTGTGAATAATGAATTTTTATTTCTGCTGACATATTTTTGAAGTGATCACATAACCAATTTTTAATCATCATTTTTCACATCGTGACATTTGTATTTCTATATTTTCATTTCGTGGCCATTTCTACACATTTTATATTATACCATTGAAGAGAGTCCAAACAAAGATTCTAAAACGTTTTCTTTTGTATTTTTGCGTTTTATTTTGTATGATTCACAACTTCATTAATCAATGTATTATTTCTATGATCTTTAATGTATTAATTATTGTCGTGATATATTTTAATTTTTAATTAATGTTGTACGGATATCCATTGCTCCACGATCTTTTCTGTGTTCAAAAATTAATGATGATTAAGTCAAATTATAGAATTGACCCCAATGAAGCAATTTGAGATCGTAAGTTACTATATAATTCATAAGTTTATACCACTTACACTTACTTGAAGGGATGATATAGATAGAGATAGAGAGATAGAGAGGAGGGAGGAGGGGAGAAGGGATGATAATGCTTGCACTTAAGCCTTGAGCACTTCGAATATGGCCCTGGCTATATTAGTTATAGCTATTAGACTATAATAAAGTAAGATAGCAAGATAATATTATACGATAGTAATCTGTTATCAGTTGTGCAAATAAAATATAATTAAGATTTGTCTTATACTTTCGTGTTGACAAATGTGACAAATAAATTCTATAAATCTGCGAATAAATCTTATAAAAGCGTATAATGTACGTACGTAAAGGTATTCGCGTTTTTCGCAGACTCAATTATATTCTAAATGCGTTTATAGATAGCTGATAATACGACTGCGACTTGACTCGCAAAGAGCTTACGATTATAAACTTTATATAGAGCTCAATTGCATTATTCGGATAATAATCTATTCTGAATTTGCCGTCTGCTTCTTTCGGAATCAAGTCGCGGAAATAATAGATCTTATTGTATCAAGATTAATTTCATTCTTTGCATCTGTATTATCAAGAGACAATTATATGCTTCCAAAATATTTTGTATGTTCATTCTTGTGGAAAAATCTTTCACATTTTTGTTTTTCACACTCATTCGCATTTCAATAGATTAACTCGAGACTGATAAAATGCAACGCGAGTGTACGCACAAATTTTGATATATAAATTGACACGCACATGCATATAACAGAAATTATTTTTAAAATTATTTTTTTATATAAAATGAACTCCTGCACACGTCAAATTATATTTTCCGTATAAGATGAACATTATCAGCATGGAATGTAAATATTTTTAAACGAAAGGAAAGTGGGACGGGGGGAAGGGAAAGGAGCAAGGATCTGCGAGCATAAAATATGCACAATACATAGTCCATTACGTTGATAAATTTCAACGGAGTAAACAAGCGCGTGCGTGTCGGAGGTCGTTAATTGATAAATTAGATAATTAATTCACATAATTTACATATCCTTTTGAAGACGTTTGCGCGCGCGAACGCACGCTCGCGGAAAGTTGTCGGAAACTGGGCGCGCGCGTGTGCTTCTTGATTATCCTTACTCTAATTGCTACTCCTTCCGCGCGCTAGAGACTGCGAGTAAAGTTTTTAATTAAAAGAGAACTCGGCACGACCTCTTTCCTTCGACGTTCTCGACCTATGTGTTCCGAGTTACCTATCGACATTGCGATACTGGAATTTTATCATCAAACTAACTCATCGACAGCGTTATCGAACTCAACACCGATGTGATAAAAATCTTTGCAAAGTTGTAAATTAATAATCCTGTAATATTATATCCACAGGATGTCGTAGAATCCCATCAAATATCTTTATATTCATAATGCTTTGGCTAATGAGGACGCTATTTCCTTGGAGAAAATATCGATAAAGATTGCTTATCTCTCTTTGTCGTGAATTTTTCCTAGCAAGTATCTTTAAAAATATCTTTCAATTAAAAAATAATTAAGTACCTTTAAATTAAAATTACATCGAAATATAATCTTAAAGTTAAAAGATAGGATTTAAAAGGAAAAAGTATTTTTACATTATTAAAAAAATTTGTATGAAGAGATGAGTTTTCTAAGTTGATTATTTTATACGCACATATATATACTAATTTTCTAGTTATATTATATGATCAATTATTAAATTATGATTAAATGAATCAATGTGTTGATGTATTTTTCAATTAATTCTTTTAACGTTGTTTCGCGTCTAATCGTCAATGCGACTCCATATAAGCGGACTTTCATACACAGAGCTATGTACTATGCACCTGCTGCATCATGTTACCGGAAATTGCGAGCATGTTACGGATAATATGAAACCATCCGATTTAATTCGCATTCCTAGGATTATGTCCCTTTCATGTTGTTGTAGATTGTTTGAAAAGTGCTTTATCAAAACAATGTCTGACTCTTGTGTGTAAATACATTTTGTTTTATCGTTTTTTTTTTGTAAATAAAACTCAATCGTTAATCTTAATCGAATTTACTGCCAAATTCGAAGAAGATCGAACGATACAATTCTTTTTTTTTTAAATAAAATGTTGTAAAAAATATATATTTTTTAAACTTTTATGCGCAATTTCGCGTTATATCAATCGTTCATTTTTCAAGAGTCTTTCATATATGATTGATTTGACAATTCGATCACATTCATACGCACATTCTGTGTTTTTATTATACGCGGTTATAAAAATATAAAAATTTCGAGCGCTAGAAAGCTCGCGCAAAAAAAATTTACATTGATATCGAAAAAAATGTAAAGTTGAATTTATGTCCCTCAGCTGAAATTTTCGATGTAGGAAACAAATTATGTAGTTTTATTCAGAAAAATCCTCGTTCAAAAATTGCGCAAAAATAAAATAAATCGAACTAATTCAATCAAGAGGATTAAGCTATAATTATATTACAGTTACGTCGAAATAGATCCTCTTTGCGACTCTACAATTTTGATTCGGAAATTTTGATTGCTCTCTTCCCTCGAGAATTAATATTTTAAATGTAAATTAATGTGTCCCTCGTGTAAGAATAAAAAAATAAAAAAAAGTAAAATATAAGAAAAATATAATAAAAATCACATCGACGCCACTCGACGTCGCGCAATCGAAAATTTCATTACAATCCGTTGTTACGGCAGCTGCCGTTACAACCATCGTTGCCGTTATCGAAAAAGGAGTATGCAGCATCGGCGATCGATCCCGTGGAATTTTGCCATGGCTAGAAATATTGCCGTTTATGGTGAACGTGCGGACGCGGAAAAGCCGAGGGGAGGAAGACATCGGAGAAAAAGAGAGAGAAAGAGAGAGAGAAAGAAAGAGCGAGGAGAAAAGGGGAAAAGCATTATCCTTTGTCGGTCCTTTCTGCACCGGGTGTACTTTTTCCTTTTTCTCATCATCTTCCTTTCTTCCCCCCTTCTCTATCTATCTCTCTCTCTCTTCCGATACTCGCGAGGATCGTAGATTGGCCGACCGAGTGGAAACAGATTCTCGCGCGACGGCGTGATCGATATACGAACGTGTATTGATCGGTCTGCCCGTCGCTCGAGTTTAGCTCTTTTCCGAGGGATTTTCACGAGGACGAGGAGCGTCGCGATGAAAATAACCGTAACCGACGAAAATGGCCAAAATTTGATCAAAATCTTAAAAACCCACAGACTTTATCCTATGACGTTTTCAAGTTCCCGATCTGCCACTGCAGTCGTCATGTAGATTATAATGTCAGAAATGCCGTCATTTGAATCTTCCCTCTTTATTCTATTGTATATCGAAATAATGCAAGAATTTTTTTCCATCATTTACGATGGATGGAGAAGATTGACAAAAGACCCGCCAAGATTTCCCTTTTTCGTTTCTGCGTTCGATAAATCGATTGGCGCGATGAAAAAATCTATTTTTTATCTCTAAACTTTAATCGCAAAAATAATCTTTCAATTTAAATTATTTTCAAGTATGAGATATTCAAATCAAGTGTAAATTCTTGCTAAAAGCAAATCGATCGACAAGTTAGTTTATATTTTTAAATCTACTGTTATATTCATGTATAGAAAGATAATTGTACACTCCCCCACGTATACAATAATATTTTAAATTAGGATTATAAAATTTTACATTTTTTAAATTAAATAAAATTCCATATTTTTTAAATAAAATTCAAATCAATCATAAAAACTGGTATTGTCCGGAAAAAACTGCAAAAACTGATCTGATATATTAAAAATATTAAAATAAAAAATTTTTCTATCAATATTCGTCAATTAAGAGAGTGTTATTTAAAATATGTCCAAAATAAAATCCAAAATAATAGATTAAGAATTGACTTAACAAATAAATTAGCTTTTTGTTACAAGATATTGAATGCAGATCTATATCAATAAAAATTTTTGATTCTGTTATTATTACATTTTTCTCTCATTAATCTAAAAATATAAAAAAAAATTCAATATAATGTAATATAAAACTTTTAGTAATATTTATATCTCCCAAGCTTTTATTTTAAAAATGTATTTTACATATTAATTTGAATTTAAAAAAATTTTTATTATTATATTGATCTCGTTTTTTATATTGTAGTGAGTAGTATAATTTATTAATTAAAGCAAAAAAATATTTTTGTGCATAAAATTATATAAATAGATTTTAGTATTACATATTAGTTATTTTTATAATTTTTAATTAGTTTAGCTATTGAATAAAATCTGGGACAGTAAAACTCTGGAATTTATGATTTTTTCCCACTTACTCCAGTTTCTAGTTCAACTCTGTGCTAGATACAAGAGAGATACCGGTTCTAAGAATTTTTAAAACCCGCCTACCTGGTCTTCTAAACTTTTAACTTAGATAAAAGTAAAAGAAACAGGAGTAATTCTTCCCGAAACAAAGTGTGCTCGCGTAACTATTATTTCGTAAAATTAACATTTACTTCACTGGAAGTGTCATGCGTTACTTACCTTAGAGATCGGAAGCACCGCCTGTATATCATCCTTCTGTATTTCCAGCCGCACCTGCAGCTTTCTCTTCTCGACATGATGATGGTGATGGTGCTGCAGCTGATGCATTCGTTGCTGCAACTGATCGACGCCCGTCAACTGCGAGTCCTTCTCCTCCTCGTCCTGGAGCTCATAACGCACGCTCCATACAATTTTACCGCCGTCCCAACTTCCGCCTATTCCTTCCTCGCTGGCCTCTAGCAACATCGTCATTATTTCTTCCGCGGATCTGAAACATGACAATAGATTCTTTGAAGAAACGTCCGGGTAATAAATAAAAAGAAATGAATGTAAAGTTTACTTTTCGAAAGAAAAACTGAGAGAGAAGAGGAACGGAAAAACGTTTCCGTAAAAATTGGATAACCCGATTTCAAAATGGAAGATCAGAAATAACAATATATGTAATAGGAATTTGTAATTTTCTAATAATGACAAACTTTCGTAAAATATACGAAATGTTACAAAGTGATATCTCCGAATCGTTACAAAAAAATGTTTTGGAGAAAATTTATGGGATTTAAAAAAAAATTGACATATGTAATCTTGGATTTTAACTAAAATCATTTTTAAAGGTCGTGGAAACATAGTTTTCAAACCCCTCTTTTTAAAAGCAGCCATCGTATATTTTTTATATAAATTTTATATAAATTTTATGTAAATTTATATATACTTTATATACATTTTATATAAATTTTTATATAAATCGATTTCTTGTAATATTTAGCATAAAAGATAGAACTAAAAATTAAACAATTTACGAGAAATTTTATATAAATTATGAAATATCTCGTAAATTTATTTCTCGATGATCTTAGCTCAATACTTTTATACACAAAATAATAAGAGGATATAATCTGTGCAAAGAAAATACATATTTGTTTCTTTAAAATTAATTCCGCAAAAAATCGCGTAATAAATAAAAATTAATAGAAAAAAATTACAAGATAATTATATAAAAATTATATAATATAAGAGGGAATATATAAATTTTTTACTACTCGAAAAAAAGAATGAGAGAGAGGAGAATTTCTCCATGAAAGAAATTTCCCACAAAAATTCGATGTTTTAAAAGCGAAGATGAGAGCAACTGTATGTAGAAATCCATAATTTTGTAACACGACAAAGTTTTCGTAAAGTATATACATATGTAGATCTCAGAGATTCCTCCAAAGTTTGAGATGTCGAGGATAATCTAGGGAAGTTGTGTATCACCGGCAAAAGAGATCCGTTTGCAGCGGTTTGTATATATACGGGTTTCCGTCACGGATACGAACAAATGAGTTCGTTCATTCGCTCGTGCTCGCGCGAATGTAAATATACTCTTCGCAATTGATGCTATTTCCTACTAAGGGAGTTTGCGAGAACGAGCAGGATAGAATTAAAAAGAACGAAAACTCGCCCGTTGTTATCCGGCTGTTGAATGGTAAATAGAAAATTGTTGCTCTCGCGCGACGAGCTTCCTATTTCCCTCAATACGTATTAAAAGAGAAAGAGATGGCAGAGAGAGAGAGAGAGAGAGAGGAAGAGAGATAAAGAGGACGTTTGTCCAAAATACCTTTATGGCTTATATGCAATTCTCATTCATATTTTACAACGAGCAGCGGGCAACAACATAAAATTACCGTGAAATAAGCAATTTCCACGAAAATTAAACCATAATTATTAGCATTCATAGCTATGCAAATTTAATTATACTGATTAAGATCTATAAATTTATTAGACTTATTTAAAAACGTAGGTAAACCAAAATAAAACATTACTTGGTGCGCGATGTTAAATAAACATCTGCATCTGTATCTATGTTAAAAAAATATTTTTAATTTTATGTAAACAATATTTATGTAATTGCACACTTTTTAAAATAGCGAGAGCGCGCGTTTCTCATCCGGAAGTTAAACGTCAAGTTCTCAATCGCTCACTTACACGAAATTATCGAGATTCTTATCGGAGGTACACAACGACGTTACATCTCCGAGATAATTATTCCGCAGCTTCGAGGTATACCTGCCTAAGGGCAGCAGCATCACACGCGTCGCATTCGCGTCTGATCTCGATGCGAGAGAGCCGTCGTGCCTGCACAGAATCTCGATAAGCGAAATCCCCCCTCGCCCCCACCCCCTCCGGGACGCGAAGTCACCCCTTCCCAACCCTTATCGCGGCCGTCGATCTACGGTTGCGTGCGTGACGGCCGACGTTATCCTCGTATCCTCCCCTCCCCCCCTCCCCCCACCGGATCGACGATCCGGAGCGGCGTAAATCGTCGATTTCGCGGAAGTCGAGTCGAGGCGGAATCAAAGCGGACCATCGGCGGGTTAAGGGTGATAACGAGAGAATATCGCTTCTTCTTCCTCCACCGACTCGGCACAGCAGACGGCGCTCCCCTATCTTTTTCTTCCTTATCGCTCGTGATACGACGGTATATAAGGCGATCCGTGCGGCCGCTGTCACAATTTGTCTTTAGCGTGACTCGATCATGCGTCGCGACGCGCTACTCTTTCTCGCGGGTACGTTGCTCACTTTATTCGGCACGCCCGACGTCCGGGCGTATCCCACGGAGAGTCAGGAGGATGCATTAACGACAACGCCGATCATTGTCAACTTAGACGTGGATTTGTGTCACTTCAAGATATGCAAAATGCAAAACGAACCTCAGGCCAAGTCTGACAGTTCGGCGTCCAGCGAGGAGAGGAATCAAGTTGACGAACACACGAGCAAAGACACGCATGAAGATGATGGTGTGATTGTCGAGGCAGAGCAGGAGGAGGATTTTCAGCGTGTGAAACGTGCGTTGAAGAAGAAGGATAACAAGGATGACAAGGATGACGACAGTAGTAGTAGTAGTAGTAGTTCTTCTAGCGATGATGACGACGATGACGATGACAATGATAATAATGATGATAATAATCATCAAAAAAGCTCGAAGCGTAACAAGAAACGAGGAAAGGACGATGACAACGATAATTGTGATGATGACGATGACGATGACGATAACAATGACGACGATGACGACTCATCGTCCTCCTCATCGTCTTCGGAGGAAGATAAAAAACGAAACAAGAGAGACATCAAGGACGAAAGTGTATCGTCGTCATCATCGTCCGAAGAAGTGAAGAAGGAGAGATTTATTCGAGGTGTACCGAACACGCACTTGTCCGAGGAGAAAAATAACCCGACGAATGGACATATCGGTGAGGTCAAGGTTGGTTCGGAAAGCAAATCGTCATCCAAAGAGGAGGACAAACCGACAACCCCGAAATTGATCCGAATCCCTTTATACCGCTTTACGCCGCTAAAAACGCGAGTTGTCAGAACGTTCCAGGATACTTCAGACAAGAGTAAATCATCGTCCGAAGAAATCCACACTCCGAAGAATCGATTTACTCGAGCGGTCGAAGATACTTCGGAAGAAAGTAAATCGTCCTCCGAGAAAGAAAGGGGTGAACCAAAGACTCGGCTTGTCCGGTCAACCGAAGATTCCACGAGTAAATTGTCATCTGAAAAAAGTGATAAAGTCTTTTCCCTTATTCCCCCTCACATCGAGGATGTTAGTCGATCGCACAGTATCGTAAAGCAAACTGACAAGCCGCACAATCGAGTGACTCGATCCAAGGATGGTAAGAAGAAGAGGGAACAAAAGAAGAAGACGAAACGCCATTGTACGCCCAAGGCGACTACTATTAAGGCAGATACTCCAGGTGAAACGGTGCTACCAGAGAATCATCTTCCGGTTTGATATATGTGTAGCATTAATCTCTAAAGTATATTTTCTTTACGTCACAAAAGTGTGATATACACAAAGAATTTACGTTATATAAATGTTAATGCAATTTGAATACCTTATTTGTACGTTTAATTCAACGTTCTTCAAATCATAGTAAATATATACTCGAACATAAAGTTTATTTGTTTTTTATTAACCATCCAAGTTTAATGAAAGTCAAGATTAAAAGCGAAGATTTAGAATCTTTTATACACGAATAAATCTGATATTAAAATAATTATTTCTAAAAATTGACGAATCAATTCGATATAATAAGTCATAAATATTAAATTTTATTAAATAAGATGTTTTAATATTTGTAGTTTTGTGTTAAAATAAAATATTATAATGAAATATTATATGAAAGGCGTAAAACTTTCGTTAAACTAATACGGATAAATTTAAAAAGATTTTCGTGGAGATTGTGAACATGCTTTTTATTAACTGTCCAAATTTAATGAAGATTTAAAATTTTTTATGAATAAATCTCTAATTATTTCTGAAAATCAACAGATCAATAATTATTCGAAGAATGAATCATAAATATTAATTTTTACTAAGTAAAACGTTTTAATATGCTTGTATTCAAATAAAATATTACAATGAAATATTATGCAGAAGGCGTAAAATTTCGTTAAGCCAGTATGCATATGTTAGTGAACTTGGAAAGATTTTCGCTGAGATTGTGAACATGAGAACAGTTAATGCGATGAGCAATTTAAATCTCTCGCTTCTCTTCGTTCGTTAAATTGAAAACGTTGCGAATTAAGTTCTGCCACAAAGTGAGACGTAAGACGAATTTCTTGGCAAATGTACGTTGAAAAACGAGAAAATTTAATTTAAATTTTATTTCAATATTGCAATCAATTTTTTGTCTTTATGTTTATATTATTGACAATTATTTGAAGTTAAAATCAACTCTCTCTTTTAGATATTTTTTTAATCTCTTAATTTTAAAAAAAAATACATTTAAATAAATTTTTTATATTACGTTGAAATGCTCCAAAAAAGAAAAATTGATTAAAAAATTAATTTCCCAAGAAAAATTTTTTAATTATAATTTATAAAAGTGAAAATACCATCGATAATTTTTAATAAAAATCGACATTCATGAGCGTAAAAATTGATGCGAGTATTTAAAAAACATGAGATTTACTTACGTGCTTAATAATACACGCGAAGTTTCTTTGCGCCGAGCTGTAAATGTGGCGGCCGTACATTTCGCGTTTACATCGCTCTGGACGATCCAATCCGGGCTACTGGACGAAGCATCCACGATTTTCACACCAGATTTTACTCTCACTCTGAAACACAAATTCATAATTGTAGTATGAGTTCAACTGCACGTTTTGCCGTGATTTGCATGAATAGAAAGAAAGGGATGGGATAACGATGCGAATGAGAAATGTTCATGTGTAAATGTCTCGTAAAAAAGTATAATTAATCCATTTCTTTCCATCAAAATGAATACACATACTCTTATTCGTTAATTTGAGAAAAAAAGTGTCCCAACGACTCGTTAATTAATAATCTGTACGTATAATTGGCCATTACGTAAGAATATGATATCTAGATTTATTCGTTATCGAATCGTATAATTTGGATTCTTCAGAGAGCAATTAAAATCATTTCTTGAATATACCGTTCGAGATTTACATCAGACGATACATTGAAGCTTGTTATCAAATAATCAATATATTCATTTAATTTCTCGGAAAACTGAATTATAAAATTTCATCAAAAATAGAAACGCGTTTTATACTAATCTCATCATTATCATCATTTCAAGGATAATAACGTGACGTAAAAATTTTTTCATACCTGTACAATATAACCTGTACAATATAATTAACTTGCACTCAATAAACTAGTACGTAAGCTTTTAAATATTCTGAAATTATATCCGTTTAAGAACCGATGTAAGAAGTCTCGTGCGTTGCAAGTGATAGATTATCAGGAACAATCGTAAGGGAAAAAAGCAATAAAAATAAAATAAAATAAAATAAAAAAACAGAAAGATGTACGCTCGAGATATTATACAAGTCACGTACAAAGTTTTAAAACTGTTTCTTTTTAACGAAGACTTATATGGGTACTCCTCGTGCGCTACTTCCATTACTCATATCACGTCATATCGATCGCGACTCGCGCGCGTTTCTTTCATCTACCGTATTATTAGCTACGTCCTCTTGTTATTAAAAATGAATGAACGTATAGTCCTTCAACGAGGCCCGTTGTTCCCCTTTCCTATCCATGTAGTTCTAACAATATCCTCTCAAGTACGTTTGAGCATGTAGTCCTTGACTTTACCCATACAAAAGTCAAAACAATTAGTCGCACTTTTTGCGGATGTACAAGTCGACAACTAATATTTATACAATTTTCTAGATGCAAGCAAAGTGGGTAGAAGCATTTCTCTTTTCAAGTGTACAATAATAAAACAGTTTGTTGCTTCTCATCGCGAAAGGATTGTTTACGAGAAATTTTGTGAAAAAAAGGAAATCAATAACGCTTATTTCTCTTCATCAAACACAGAAGGGGATTACTGATCACTTTGAACCGTAATTTCTTGATCGCAACTTATTTCTTGGTCGCTTATACGTTTGACAAGCTTTATTGATATCAATGATAAAAATAGCGAGAGGGAGAAGAGATCTTTCGATTCGAAAGCAATCCTCGTTTTTATTTATACCGTTACTTACACTTGTACCGCATTAATGCGACACATAAATGGAGAGAAGAAAATAGATGAAGTGAAGTGAGTACGAATAACTCGCGATAAAGTCGACCTTTTTCCTCTATTCTGGAGAGTCTATGTTCCATTATGTCTGTTCTCGATCTTACCAGTTATCTTTGGCAAAGTTGTACGTATTGGTTTCCCGTTTGCTCGTCGGACCCTTTGAAGACCCTTCACGTATGGCATCTTCATGCTTCGACCATCGGTTCTCGGTTGTCGTCGCAATAACACCACGCTACCACTTGTCAACGCAATGTCGCGCGCATTCCAATCGCTCAAGAGCCGAATTATAATCAAAGAGACGTCAATACACTTTGCATTTTATCGCGTTTTATGATCCTTTCTCGACCATCTTTCATCAAACATTTAGGATCTAGTCTTTCGTAGACTGAAGCAGCAAAGAAAAAAGAGAAAATATTAATAACGTTGATGTAACAAGAAGAGAGTAATTCATTTTGACTATCAGATTAAATTCTAATAAAATCAATAATTATTTTTAGAATAATTATAATGTTTGATAGAAGAGAAGAGAGCGTTTATTAATTTTCTAAAAAAGAGACGAAGGCCATATTTATCTATTTTATACCTATTTTAGAAAGGTAGACAAATAAGAAAATATCTTTGAATTCGGAGAAAATTCCAAAGTATACTCAATAAAATCTACTTGGGGACTCACGTTATAGGAATATTTCCGTATAAAGAAAAATCATCCTTAAATTGGCCAAAGGAGCAACGATATGATGAAAGGAAAATAACGTATGTGGAACGCTCGGGCATAATCATAAAACGGTACGTACATGACGGATAGCTGCGCGTGACATTCCTTTCGATCTCGAGATTCTCGCGTAGATTTCTGAAAAATTTACAGCCATGCTACGAGGAGAGTCACGAACGACTACGCACGTATTCCGACGGAAATTTTGCGACATTGGCGTCGTTTGTCTTCGTCGAGAGTATCGCGCGGACGAATAAGACGGTCTCTCGCGCGACTTCGTCGGGAGCGTCACGTTTCCCTCATCATCGGCTCGCTCGCGCGAACCAGAAGCTGCGTTCTACCTCGTCCCCGAACCGCTTGCACACTCACGCTCCAGTTACGTGATCAAGTCGCGCAAGGTCGGTGTAATAGGGGGAGAGAAAAGGGGGAATCGTGGCGGAAGAAACGCGTCTATCTGACGCCGCCGACGCACAGATTATTCATCGCGATGCCGCGCGTTCGCGTTGGCATTTGCGGCAACACAAATCAGACGTTGTCGTTGCCGCGATAGAGCAAAGCCGATAATCCGACCTCCCCTTTGGGTCAGATTATCCGAGCAATACATGATTATCGTTTAAATGCTTTGCTTTTATTTTCGCACTTTCATTTTTTTGCACAGCTCCTTCGATATTGACGCGATCGCTCCGGTTTCATCGAGAAACGTAATTATTCCGTGGCATAATTCTCGCTGACATAATAAGAAATTATGCGTGTTATCTGGAGTTAGAATTACGTGATTTTTAAGAATATATGCAAGCTGGAAAAAATATATACATACGGAATCGAAAGAGAGTGTCGTGCATTACGATGCGAGAGCCGCTATCATTTATTCACGTCATTGACGGTTCGATGCGCGCGTCCTTAAGCTTCTGCTCGCGACCTGTATCCTTTCGGCCTTGAGGTCATCCTTAATTCAACGAGGATTTTGGAGTAGCGGGCGAGGGCGAGTGCGCTATAAGCGGATCTCGCGGCAAGCGGAAAAGTGCACCGAGAGCGGGTAAAAAGAAACTCGGGACGTATATATTTCCCGAGACAGGATATTGCCTCTTCAAGTCACTTGAGCAGGTTTGCCCCGAGAAGAAGCGGCCGGCTAATTCGTATTTAAGGACGCTCCACCGTCATCGGACGTCGTCCCTAATAATAACTCGATTTGCCTCGAAAACGAAGATAAGAACGGTGTGTCGAAGCGCCCTTCGCTCTTATCGCCTCGAGAGAGAGAGAGAGAGAGAGCGCGAGTACCTTTTTCCCTCCGCTTATGCGCGTCATCGTAATCCCCGCATCATATGCGAGGGATCGCAGGAGGAATTCAAAGCGCGGAAACGACATTTTCCGAGAGATGACGGCATAAAATATTCTCAAGGCGAAATGTCGCTTCGAGGCGAAGTCTGATTTGTCCGGGTCGGCGAGTATCCTAAGCTGGAGGGATTTCCAGCGTCACGTATTTCGGACGGAAGCCGGTCAAGTACAAAGGATCGTCGAAAACGAGTGCTCATTTATCGGCGAAGGAAATACCCTCTCGCTATTATCACGTTATTATTACGTACAAACACCCTCTGCGCCTTTTATTCCACGCTTTCAAGCAAAGTTTCAAGATTAATCGGCCGCGAACTGTCAAGTTATCTAGGATCTTTGCCTCGCTTCAAAATTCCGCCGGCGTCAGATGTTGTACAACATATGGCGGTTTGCACTGCGGCATACTAGGACCAACACATACAGTGTGTTAACTTTATTCTCGGCAATCGTACATAGCGGCGAGGATATATGTGTACTGTATATCTAAGAAGAGAGAACTCCGATTGTTCTCTGGGTCGCGAGCAATTTAAGTGTACAAAAACAAGCGTAATTACCGTCCCTCTCGCGCGGCAATTCGCTTTCTCGCTTTCGACAATTCATTTACATATCTCCGATCTTAATCGCGTCGCGAACTTCGGATCCGGAACTTTAATTAAATATATTTAAGCCGAGAGTAAATTAAACTCGGGGGAAAAGCGCGCATGACAAAAACCCAAAGAAAAACATCAATGCATTGTGCGACATCGCGAGTCAGATAACAAAGCGCTGCACGAAAATTTATGTAACGAGAGTAATGAAAACAGCATTCAACCCCTTTACGTAATTCTTACACATATTTTTTTTATTACGAATTATAAACGAAATATATTGATGATAGTGCTGTTCGTGTTGCGGTCTTTATAAAGTTTCTTATTAAACCTTCATCATTTATCTCTAAATTATCCTTCATTATTTATCCACATTCTTGCGCGATTTAATCAAGTTTGTATTTATATTCAGGTGTTTATTAAGCACAAAATTTGCATGGCGCGCCGAGACATTTTCGATTATCGCCTGCCGATGATAAATGATCATCTATGGAGTAAGAAGATGAAAACTAGCGGAGAAAGATAACGCGAAATGGGTGATGGATATCGGTCATCGTTAAACGGCGCTCGGAATGTCGGACGGGCGAGCCAATTACAAGTTCCAGATCAAGTTATTTCCGCGAGCCTATCTCGCATTTACATACAAATCATCCATGTGCGAAGCGACGAGGAATGTTATCCGGAGAAGCGACCTCGAATCTGTACACGTATGCATGCTCTCTCACGTTGACAAATGACCAAATGTCGCTCCAAATGTAGTTACCCGTTTATTTAATGATCGTCGTCGTCGGCTCCCCCCTCAGTCCCTTCTTCCTTCGTGTTTTCGTGGGCAATCGATATCGGTGACGGCGTATGCATAAAATCACTCGCAAATTGGCAACATCTGTACGTATCACGCGCGACAAAAACTTTTAGAAATTTTCAGAATTTACGGGGTATCTATATTCGAATCATGTAAGAAAATTTTCTGCAAATTTCCTGATTCTTCAGATATTTTTGTTCGAACTTCCAGATGAAGAGAATATTTTAAAGAATTCTTTTTTTATGCAATTTTTCGAAGTAAATTTTTTTACTGTATGCGTTTTCGAATATTTTTCATTCACACGAAGGAAAAACACAAGTCTTCGAAGTTTCAAGTGCTAGACATATAAATGTACTGAAGAAAAGCTAAACAACTTTCGTCAAGTCAACATTTTTCACTTGCATAACCTTTTCATTTTTTATCGCTAAAAATTACAATAAAAAATATATACTGCCTTTTATTCAATATTTTATTAAGACACTGAATATATAAAGAATAGATATATATTTATAGTACGTATTAACAACTAAATATATATTTATAGTATGCATTAAAAATGAAATTCACTTGATTGCCAATTATTTACAATATAAGAGCAAAATTAATGTAAAATAAAAAATGTAACAAATTTCCCAAGTTCTAATAAATTTACGAGAATTCTCTAATTTTTCCAGATTTTTTCCATGTTTCCTCAAAAAGTAGATATCCTGAATTTAAGATCGATTCTTTCTGATTATAAATATCGATCACGTATCCCCCAATGTTTGACGCGAAATATTGATACAATAAAAATATAAATATGATTATATAATTCTGTCGTAGTCATGAAAAAGAACTCAGAATACTTTTTCTCATCGGCATAAAAAAAAGTTGTATCCGTAATTTTCACGTCTCGGTAGGTACCTGCAATTGCAAGAAAATGCGCGATAACCGGAAACGATGCAATAGAAGGAGGAGACTCATGGCCGGAACAGTGCGGCTTACAAGAGGCGGGCACGTAGAAAATCTACAGTTTAACGTGGCTGGCTAAGAGCCTTAGATTAAGGTTGCGAGACATAAAAAGCGGCATAAAGCCCGACCCTCGACACGGACAGGGGCTACGATTAGCCCTTAACAAGCTCCTTAACGCGTGAAGAAATTTTCGCTCGCCTTGCCTCGAACCCCGTTTTTTTTCCCCGGGACTTTTATACGAGGTAGTTCGCGTTTAAAGTATTTACGAGAGATTCGAACGAGCGTAGCCTTTCCAAAATTAAAATTACATTTGTTAAATAAAAAAGGATAGTGGAAAAAAAGAATACATTATATCGATACATTATATTATAATTCTTGATTTTTTTTCTTATTAGAGTAATATAAAAATGTTTTCAATTGATAGTTGTACTAATAAAAATCTCTCATTTATTTTTAGAAAAGTTTTTGGAATTATATGTTATTGATTTGATACAATATTTTATCGTTATTATTACAAAATATTGTATAAAAGAGAGCGTGTGAAAATTGAAAGATAATAAGCTTTCTTACTTTTGCCATGTAAAATATTTGTAAAAGATATTTGCATAAAATGTTCCTAGCTAAAATAATTTATGTAATCGAAAACGCGAAAACGAAATTTCACATTTTTTTCGAAATGACAAGAACTGTTAGCGTTATACGGACTAAAAATAGGTACAAAGATAGAACTTATCTACATAACTTTCAGCTTTTATAAAAATGTACGACCGTATCGTTCTAATTTGCGTAAAACTGTAGAATGTCAAGGCTGTGTTCGGCCACGCGTAGTAAATTCCTGCGTATATAAATAAGCTACGCATTTCTGTTTTGAAACCGCTTCTGAATACAGAAATTGCGAAGATGATCTCGATAACCTGCGACCTCTGTTCGATGAGTCCAACTATCGATACCGTTTATCTCTCGCTTTATCTCATCGTTCGAACGGGTCATACTGGATTTGGATGCAAAATAATAAAATAAAATTACGAAAAATAATATCTTATAAAGCGCAAAATTGTGCAAAAAAATATTTGTACAATATTTGTAAAAAGCGTTATATAAAAGTTTAATTGTCGATTTGATTTTTAAAAAATTTATACAGCGAATATAATCTAACATTAGATATCTACGTTTCGAACATGATCTCGTCCAAAAAGCGAGTTAAATAATATATACACCATATTTAATACTCATGCTGTTATGTAGGAACTTTTAAAACTCGTAGTTGCATTTGCGAGGCTATAAATTTTAAACAAGCTACACTTCTATCTTGAAAAATTTATATATTTCAATCTGACGATATATTTTAAATTCACCAAAGGATGAGAGGAGGAGAAATAAAAAAAATGCATTCAATTAATTGTTCGAAATAACGAATTAAAATTCTCCTCGAAACTTTTATCTTTGAGAGAATGGCTGAAGGAGCTTCTCGCGATATCCGTAACATGCATATCAAACAGCCGTCAGTTTAATTAATACAGTTAATTATGTAAGTTGTGCTGCGACTGTACGAAGCCGATGCGGGGAGCCTTTTATTATTCACCGATTTTGCGCGCTTCTTATAGCTCGCTATAAGTTCATCGCATGTATACGTCATTATTCCGCGGAATATCTAGCTTGGAAAGTGCAAACGCAGCGTTATCGAACGCGAGAAACATCTCCGACGAGCACAGGCCGCATTCTTAAAGAGCCAACGACACGTTTCTCACGCGGATTGGCTGCTAGTCCACGCTCGAGTGTATCTCTCCCTCTGCTTCGCATTCCGTGTCGCGGAACTTTCAAGTGCTTACTAACAACAGGCGAGCTTGTAACTTTGCCCGCCAGCTTACTTGACAATTCATCCAATTAGGAGATTTTAGCTCACCCGAGGGGACATTTCCGACCCACTTTCTCTCACCGAGAGAGAAGGGGGCTTAAAACCTCCTCCCGAAATACATGCGGTTGAAAAAAAGTTGACGCACAAAGCGGATCTCAACATGCGGAAACGACATTGCGGTTCTTGCATATAATTGTCTATTCGCCCGGAAGCGGTTAAAGTAGACGTCGTATTTTCGCTCGCTGATTGTAATAATTCGCGAATTTGTCTGAAACGAGTCTCTCTATTTTTAATTTGTTTTTAATTGACAAACCACCACAAGCGGTTATGCTTTTCAGCTTTTCTAAAAGGAGAAAATTACATGGAATATTGGTGGAAACGTAAGATTACGTCAACTCAATATTTCTAAAACTCTAACACTAAACCGACAGGTGTACACAAACTTTTTTTTGAACACCATGTACATCCTCTTCTCAGACTGACACATGTAAAATTCGCACAGTTACTTACCTGAGGATAACAGCGACGATTAACGGTCGATCCTGCCGGGAATCCGTTACTTTGGCAGGATGCAGGAACGCCGGAACGTGCAGCCTGGATCTCGGATAGAGCGGTCCATGGGGTACCAGAAGCGTAAGCAAGTCATCCGCTCTGAGCTCCTTATAATCCGCTTTGTTCGGCGCCAGCGGTATCTGACCAAGAGGGGTGACGGGTTGAATCTGCACCCTGGGTCTGCAGAATCCCGAACCGTCGACGGAGCCACCGCCGTCCCCACCGAGACCACCGCCGCCTTCCTCCGTACGCGGTTCCAGGACGGAGTAAGCGACCTGGATCAATCGCGGCAGACTCTTGGCGACCTTGACACGACCAGAGGCATCGGGCGGTGGCAAGGGCGCCCACCAATCGGCCGGAATGGTGATTTGCGCGAGGCACACGCCGTTTTCACCGTCGGGGCTGCAGGCGGCCGTGAGGGCGGAAGATGAAGATGAAGATGATGAAGAAGAAGAAGAGGACGAAGAGGAGGAGGAGAAGGAGGAAGAATAGCGTCCATTGATGCTCCTGCTCGCGGCGTTGCTTCGCGATGGACTGGCCAGACTGGCGTGCAGCACCACGCAGACCCGCTGATGACGCGCCATCAACAGCTGACGTCTACCGCCGGTCTCGCTGCCGGCGTGGAAGAGCACCCTGAGCACGGGCGAGTCGCGCGGCACGCTGTTGCCCACCAGGTGGGCCGACATGTCCAGGTGACGTGCGCCGAGCTCCTGGGCGTCCAGGATCGTCGCGGCCGTGAGATTGCGCCGCGTTTCCGGTGCCGGTAACGCGTCCAGCGGGTCGGGGACTATGTAACGCGCCGGCACGGTCTGCTTGGTGCTGAAGGGCCCGTACGTGGCCCGCACCGACACCGGCTCGCTCGTCTGGAAGACGGTGAATTTGTCGATCGAGAGGACGGAGCCCGGCGGTGGCGACGGTACCGCGTTCGCCGGACTGTTATTGTTGTTGTTGTTGTTGTTGCTGTTGCTCGACGTGCTCGTCGACAGCGCCGGGACGGAGTCCGATGTGCCGCGGGCCGGATAATATTGTCGCTGCGTATGCTTGAGGAAGAATCCGCCATCCTTGTTCTCGAAGTGAACCTCCACTGACGCCGCCACGTCTGAAAATTGGAGCAACGCTCGGTCAGATGGAAGTTTCGACTTGGTGCTTATTTTAGAATTACGTGATTTATAGTTGGTTATGTTGACGCATGAGCATCTCGATGCTGACAAATCGGACGCGTTTGATATGAAGTGAGTCTTCTCGGTAATTCACAACAAATCGATGTAATTTTCAATCACATTCATATATATTATAAATATGTATATAATAAAAATATGTAATAAAATTTTTATTTGCGAAAATATTATTATATAAATATAGTATATTTTATTAATTAAAATATCCAGGGAAGATGGAAAGAATGAGAGAGAGGGAGAGAGAGATTTAAAGTCACCTTAATTGTATTAGTTTAAATCCCTGCTCTTTAGCTAAACCAAGCTTAATTTAATGCTTATATATTATATTTCTCACCATACAACGTATAATATAATACATAGCGGTTCTCTCGATGCCAAACAATAAAGATAATTTGAGATCAGTGTTGAATAAAATAGATTTGTAACCCAATCGGATGAAAACGTGAAGCGTCTAAAATATGTGTGCAAAATATTTTCAAAAAATATACATATCTCCGACTTTTTAAAAGTATATCTTATAGGAATTTTATCTTTTATTTTAACTTGAAGCGTTTGAATTCACAAAGATCAAAATTGTACGCCCGTAATGGGGATTATCGGGAAATGGAAGAGGGACGAGTAAAAAATATAATTTAATTAAATGCCCCATGATACACGAGAAACGCTTTAATATCGACAAATATCTTTTCGACGCAATTTTACAAAATATTCCTGGCATTTTGCATAATACCTTTCAGACGCGCAAACAATTTCTGAGTATCCGTTATCTCGCGTCCCTTATTTTCACCGCCCACTAATTTTAATTCCGCGAATGTCTCACATCCCGTATTAGTGTCGGATCTGCATCACGCCTCGACGACTTGCGACGCGCGCGACTTCCTCGGCGATAAATCATCTTGGCGCGCAACGCCAAGTCGACAATTTTTCCTATCGCGTCGATGGTACACGACGCGACGAAGGATGGAGTCGCCGAGAAAGTTGGCGCGCGCTTACGCGCATCCGAAAGTTGGTCCAGGTGAGCGGACAAGTTGTAAATCGGTGCGGCAGGGGGAGAAGAGGGGAGGAGGGGGAAGAGAGGAGGATGGCGGCTGCGCTCCATCCGAACATAAATTTCCGGAGCAAATCCCGGAGTAAGCGCCAGCTGCCCGCACCGACCTCGCGTAAAATGGGGGAAATCCTTGGAAAAGCGAGAAGAAAGATGGAGAGAATGAGAAAGAAAGAGAGAGAGAGAGAGAGAGAAAAAAGCAAAGAGGGAAGCGAGCCCCTCGATTCGACCCTCATCGCTTATCTCCCGCCTCTTGGCACCCCCATGGACCAGCCCTCTCGCTTCTTCCGCGTGCTAACTTAGCCTCTATTTCAGCTTCTGTTTTTCTGATACGATAACAGGCGATTACAACGAAATGATTTAGTGGGCTCTTCCAACGGAACTTATTGCCGCTACATTGTTCAGCCAGCCGAATACACAGCCAGGTGGATAGAAATAATAATATTACGATGATATTCCAGATGGAAAATGTTATTTGGCAATTTTAATCACTCTGGATGAGCGTGTGTATTTTTTTCAACGCGACGATATTTTTTTATGAATATTTTAATATTCTTTTTTATATTTTCGTTAAATATTTCAAAACGAGCCCGTGTTCGATGCGATATTTTACAGCTTTGCCGTTTGCCACGTATCATCGTATCGAACCATGAAAATTAAATATTTTTATGATTCGCAGTTGATTGGCGTATTTGATGGGATCCTCGCAATTCCCACTTTTGCGGATCATCCGCCCTATAATTCCGTATTCTTCGAGCACGCGCATCAAAGCGGGATGAAAAAAAGAACGACGGGAAAGAGAGAGAGAGAGATGCGGTCGTAAAAGTTGTTTTATTGGCGTTTATTCAACTACGTTGACAGATACGGTCGAGCGGTAATTTGCACGGCTCTGTACACGTGTGCGACGTTTCCTCGGATGATGCCGCGAAAATGGATCTCTCTATCGATCCGCGAGCGATCGAATGTGACGGCCGGGCATCGTCATCGTCCGGTGGTCGCTTTGTTAGTACGTAGGTACGTCGAACCACTGATACATCTTCGGTTGGCTCTCGTCCAGCTCGTACTCCAAACACCGTCTAGGAATGCTGCCAAGAGATCGTTAGCACGTCATTTGTTAAAGCTTCTGATGCTCGCGGCTTTCGAAATAAACCCGCGGCTTCTTCGAATCGTACCCGGCTACGATGTATGAAATGTTCTTACGTTCTTTTAAAAAAATTGCCTCGATGTACGATGTGTCGCGAAGGAATGATGTGTAAATACTTAGTCGAATTACAGAGGTAAATTCGAGTGAAAAAAGAACGTCATAGGATATAATTTTCAAGGCATGTCAAAATTTGATTAGAAAAAGAGTATTTATAGAAAACGATTTGAAAAAAATTGCTTAAAAAAACGTCACATTTTCGACAATAATACAAATGTACGAAAAACGTGTCGCGCAGATAATATTGTCATGCATAAATAGATCGCGTGATGCGTGGAAAATTGAAACAGGTGTATGTATTAAAATAGGAGAGAGGATCGATAAATTCTCTCGAGTGTCTGACCCATTTGAAAGTCGAACGCCGACTCTTTACTCGCATAGCTTTAATACGCTTACGACTCACAGTGAATGCCGTTTGCAGCCAACGATGGGGTAGTCTTCGCGGAAGCACTTCGTGTCTAACACGTTGAAGTAGAGGAAGCCGACCTTCGCGCTAACGAGTTCCTCCGAGCTATGGAGACAGTCGTAGAACCTCTCGTCGCACGAACAGTGTAGCCTGATTTTACACATTTTACACGACACTTTATCAGATTACACGCTGTAAAAAGCGACCTCGTGTATAGCGCGCGCACTTCATTTCAATTTCAAATTATTTTCACAGCACAACTATCGTGGAAATGCGGTGACGTTTGTGAGAGATCTTTCGGGCTAACGAGTGAATGAAATAACAAAAGTATGTTGCAGCAAATAACCGAAGGATGGACCGAGCAAAGTCTACCTTAATTCACGAAATCGGGTATCTAAGATGTAACTTACAAATTACGTAGCTTAGAGAGAGTCTGTAAATCTAGCATCTTAATTTGGATCCTCGAACACTAATAAAGATTTATATGTCTCAGATACGTAATATTTCCCCCGTGCGTTAAGACATATTTCTTTATCCTTTCCCATTTCGTTTTTTCTATAAGATATCTTTAATCACAATAATTTATATTAAATTGTATTTTTTTCAGCGCATGAATCACATGTGATATTTTGATCTTTTCTATAAAATTATATTCCACGTTAAAATATTTCAATATATCGAATGTGATTGCTTCAGATTCTCCAAACTTTACGATATGTACCTTTAATATTAGATTTGAAAAACTATTATTTTTTCCCATTTTAATATATACATCACACAAGAAAAAATTACACTCCTTTATAATTAATATACTAAGTTTGCGATAATGCACGACGTCATATATCAACATCAAACGTCAGCCGTAACTATGGCAAGACACGCACGAAACTTGGTAAACTGCACCAGTTGCGTGAAACTCGCTCAACAGACTCAGTTATTGCAAACTAGTTCATTGACTTTCTTTTTATAATTGCTAACGAATCTCTCTGCATGTTTCGAAATTCATATGACATGTAAAACGAAAAATAATCGTGCATTTTGTTCATAAGTAAAATAGGAACCGAAATATTTTTTATTTTTCCGTTTTTTTAGCTGCTTCAATATTCAACAAGTCCATGTATGTCGTATTCAAATATTCGAATATGTTTCCATTATTTTTACTAAAGAATAAATAAGTATCTCTGCTGCATTAAAATACATTGAATCTTTAATAAAATTAATTTTTATCGAGAAACGATATAAAAATAAGCCAGTTTACTAAATATTCGGAGATATATTATTAAACTTATTTATTCTTTCGAAGTGAATATTTAATTTAGATAAAGATAGAATAAAATTTTTTATTAAAAATCATTTAACGTGGAATATTTTAAAAATTAATCCGGGTTATATCATTTTCTCTGATAAGAAAATTTATTAAATGATTGATTAAAAGATTTATCTATTTATGTTGTCCCAATTCAAAAGGTTCACCTTGTATAGAAAGCGTCATTGGTCAGACCGTGTTTAGTCTGCATCGACTCGATTATATCTTTGCATTTGTCGTGTTCACGGCAGCATGCATCAGTCATGGCGAATACTCCGAGATCGTCCGAGCTGTTTGCAATATTGCCGCTGCCGCACCATTTTGTTCCTGATGGAATATTCAAAATGAATAATGAAGCTTGTCATCACTTGGTTAATTAAGTTGGATGAAACATTTTCTTCGATAGCGATTTTATCCGACTTCACTTTGTAGAATAGCCATTTTTTTCACAATTACGATAATAATTATGGCCCTTCATTTGGACTTTATTGAATTATGACATCAAAAGAGAAAAATTACACAAATCTCTTTTTATGTTATGTATGTCGAGGTAAAATTGAACTTTTTGAATACCATTTGCATGGAAAAGTAAATTTAAAAAATATACCGATAACTTTGAACTTATCTTATATTTTTTCAATAAAAGTGAGCCTTTTGTTGTATAAAAGTTGATTCAATTTTGACAATTTATGAAAAGAATAGACATTGTTTCGGCCTTTCAAATCTATTTTATTAAATACAAATATGATATTGTATTTTATCTTAAACATATAATGTAGGAATAATTATCACGTAAATTTCTTTTCTGATGTCGTAATTGAAATATTGATTGCAAGAATCAGAAATATAAGTAGTATGTCAGATATAAGTTATATATATTATAAGTTATATATATATATATATATATATATATATATATTATTATAAGTTATATATTATAATAATATTTTTCTTTCTTTAAAAAAATATATGTAGTACATTATAATGACTATTCGCATAAGAATATATCATTTTAATAAATCCTACCTGGAAATATGAGGGCTGGTTGCAAAGTTTCGCCGAGATCATTGTTAAAGATCTCGCTGTCGTTTGGAAATGCAACGTGCCATGCGGGGGCGTTTCGGGTCAACGAGAGTAACGAAAGCACGGAAAGCAACGCGGTGGTTAAAGTCATCGTGACGGAATTCTACTATCGTTTAAACGAAGGTAGAAGAAGAAGCCCCCTTATATATGCATATAAAGAGGACCACTGTCCATGCGCTCCATTTCGTTTCTAAGCCATCTAATCGCGCGAATTACGCCCGGCGTACCAAAGAGGCGACTAATGCGTTGGATAACGTTTGCGTTTCCTGTGATGGAATTAATCTGCGTCGAGATAACGCCGCTCAGGGGGTTTTCGAAATGAGAATTATCAAGGGTCCCCCTTGATTATCGTAACAGATGCGACGTGACACGATATCGAACAGAAGACATCCTCAAGTAAATGACTCATATTTCCGGACTAATTTAGCCTTAAATGAAAAACTGAACCGAGTTTTTCCGACAAGGATAAATTAATGATGGCGAATGTTTTATGATGTCTCTCTTCAAATCCTGTAAAAAAATTCCCTGATCTTTCAGATACTTTTGTTCAAAGTTTCAAATAAAGAGAATTTCTTAAAGATCTTTTATTGAAATTTTTTAAAAAAAGTAAGTTTCTTTTATTGTAATTTTTAACATTTTTCATTCAAAAAAATACAAAACCAAGTTTCAAGTGCTAAATTTTCAAATGTACTAAAAAAAGAATTGAAGAGCTTTCGTAAGCTCAATTTTTTACTTGCAAAACATTTTCATTTTTTATCACTAAAAGTTAAAATAAAGAATATATACTATACATTCAACATTTTGTTAAGACATTGAATATATAAACAGATACAAATAATATATCTTTATAATATATTTTAAACAAGTAATTCATATCTTGACTGTTTACAAGAGCAAAATCAAAGAAATAATTTTTTAAAAATCTCCAGAATTCTAATAAAGTTCTACGAGAATTTTCGAGATTTTTGAGAAAAGAAATCCAGGTATTAAATATTTTTCCAGGAAATAGACATATTATATTAAAAGAAAAAAGATAGCACATGTATTATCAAACTATGAGAGGGAGAAATTAGATATTAATTAGATATTAATAAGTTATCTTTATAATATTCGAGAGAGATACGAAAACTGACAGATGAAAAATTAAAGGGGATGATCTAGTCATCCGAAACGAATATCAATCTGGGATTTATTCACCGCTGATAGAAGAACCGACCACAAGCCTGTGAATGACCGCGAACAGGAATTTCCAGCGAATTTTCTGTGAAAACTCTGAATTTCATAGGATTGCGCATCAGCAAGAAAATTTTAAAAATTTATTTCTGTCACGAACGAGAAACGTTCTTTTTCCATGATGCACGAATAATAGACACTTTCGAAACGGCTCCAACTTTCAGAGCGAAACGCGATATCGAGCATCGATTTGAATGGACGCTGTCATTTGAAAGCTCGTCGGTCTGTCCTCTGTCTTTAAAATCCGTGACTTTGATTCTTTTCCCATGATTGAAACGCGAGAAGGCAATCTTCAGTCAAATGCCTCTTAAAATAAATGTGGCACATTCAATAATGCGCTCGCTTCAATGTTGCTGTTTGTTCCTTGTAACAGGAGATTGTGATAGTCGGTACCAAAGTAGATTCATCCCATCGAGGAGAGAAGGGCGCGGGTGGTCGGACTCCGAACCCTGGAGCAGGCCCGGCATACGTCAATATTGTGCAACCGTGATACCAATATTAACCTGCCCAATAGTCGATTACCGAGTTGTTGTCGATGCAATGTAGTCGGCGAATCGACAAAACGCGTGAAATTGGCAGTTACGGAAAATAACGAACACTCACGTGTACTCAAAAAATATCGATCACTTCGGCTAGATGAATAGAGATAGATTTTACACGTGCACTTCTTTCTCGCGGAGTATTTATGTCATTGTCGTGTACGTGAAATGAAATAAATAAGCGTAATTGGATTCTAAAAATTGCGAAAGTTAAAAAATATCGCTTGGATTCTTCAAGAGATAGTATCAGAAAAATCTACTTATCTGTTTACAATCACAGAGTATCAGTAGGGCAAATTTTAATTATTATTCCACATGTCGCAATAAATTATAACCGTTCAATTGTAACCATATATGATTATAAATCGAAAGCAATTACATAATACTATGATATTGAATAATTATGTAATAAAACGGAACACACAATAGACTGCAAGTAAATTTGCACATGTAATCATTGCAGATCTCTGTATGAGGAATGGACCGAAATTTATTCTTCGTCGATATGCAATTGCACTCACGCGATTGCATTCACGTATGTATTCACTAGAACAAAGATTTCATGATTATTCGGAGGCTATAAAACATACCGTTTCATAAAGCTTCGAAAATCTTTTTCCTCTCTTTGTGACATAAATATTTCATAAATCTATAAATCTATAAATGTCAAGATTTCTCTCATAGCGGGAGCCAAAAGTCGCTTTAAAAAAAACCTTTCGCCGGAAATGCACTTTGTATCGGTTATGTGCAAACGCACTCCGAGATGTCGTCGAGATTCGGGCAGAGAAAGTGGCGAATATTTCGCGGCCCGACCAGACCCTGCTGACGACGAGCACAGTCTGCCAACCAGAGTCCAACAGCCGTTACACGTTCGGTCGATATCGGCGGGCCGATTCCAGATACCCGGAAGATTGTTTCCAGGCGACCCGCCTCCACCTCCGCTCGCATTCTCTTCAGGAACTCTTTTAGCGGGTCGGGCGGCGGCGTCTGGTCGCCTTCTGGCTCGTCGAGCCGCGAGCAGCTCCCCTTCGATGAACTCTCGAGATCCGAAGCCGTCTTCTCCATCACTTCCGCTTCCCCCGCGATCCCCTTCTCGGCCGAGGCAAACGCATCGTCGACCATCCTCCGTGCATCGACGTCGCGTGCCGAGAGACCCTCCTGAGTATCGTCATAATGCTCGGTGTGATCGATGATCGAAGAAACGGTATTGCTCTCCAAGCTTGTCTCAATCGTCGACTAAGCAAACATTCAGCCACTTGTTTTACTCGCGATTAGAATTTCATGTATTGTGTAATATAGTAAAGTAGAATGTCCACTCAAATCTTATAACAAACATTCTCTCATCTTTCAGGTATTGTGTAATATAATAGAGTGTCTACTCAAGTCTTGTAAAAAACATTCTCTCATGTTTCAGGTATTTTTTGAAATTTCCAGGTAAAGGAAATTTTTGAAAATATTTTTGTAAAACATCAAACACAAAATTCACAACTTGACTTAGGTGGATTACTTGTAAGAGTTTAATATAAAAGCAAATTTATCAAAGAGGGAATTTAAGAAAAAAATGTTTAATAAAATTCCATAAAAATTCTGATTTTTCCAGGTATAAAAGAAAGAAATCTTTGAGGATCTCAAGTCCTTCGTGTTTTTCTAGAGAATAATTACTCTGAGTAAAGTCACTAAAATCTCTCTTTCCTTTTATAATCATTCAATAAGTAAATAGCTGAATGAAATAAATAAATAATTTCCAGCAAAATAAAGGTCCGGAAAAATCCGATATCTTTTTTCAATACATTCTAATATTTTTGTTCGAAATATGAGAGCGCTATGTTTTTTACACGATTGACGGAGAGAAAAGCGACCCCAAAATCAGAGTTCACTTTTCAGACATCGACGCGAGTGGGATATTTTGTAAAAATTTACGACGCAATCGCGCCGATCGCAAAATTCGATGTGACCGATCGTTTTCCAGGCATTCTATTCGTGTCTCGATCGAGCGTACCTCGCTACTCCCACCTTGGGAAATGTGACGATGAATCGATTCGATCTCAATTTCGGTTTTATCGCCGGCGACAGACTGTCTCGCCGACACTGTGTCGACGTCGGAGTGCTTCGGGTCATCTCCGTGATCCTTCAAGATCTCGGGGCTTTCCGTAGCTCGCTTTTCACAAGGCGCTCCTCCGCAAACATCCTCATCGGTGTCGCTCGCCTCCTCCTGACACGTGTTTGATTGAATACGAGCGTTCGATAAAATCGAGAAAAGCGTCGTCTTCACGACGTAGAGATTATCTATTCCGATTTAATGTAATCTCGATAACACGACTGAGAGCGAAATTCAAGTATCTCGCGGGTCTCGACCGAAATTTAATATTCAATTTAACCTACTTTTCTACACATCTTGTACGCGGTTAATTTCCTCCTTTATATTATCACCAAGTAACATTCGCGATGCGCTTGATTCAAAAAATTTTAGTCACTACGATGCAAAGTTAACCGAAATTTAGTACATATTTTCTGTAATCTACACGAACCGGTTAATTTTCGCCGGCTACGAAATATGAAAACCGAGTAGTCCGAAGCGCAAATGCACATATAAAATATGCAGCACTGCTTGTAACGAGAAGTAGTTAGCAGTGGATGTAACGTGGATAGTGTATGACGAAAGCAGCTTATTCCGCGCATACGCAAGCTTATTGGCGAAATTTTGCTCGGGAAATTTATTCAATTTTATTCCTCGTTATTGCATGTTTGTAATTTTCCAATTGTAACTTTTGCGTACGTCGTTTCAACATTCTCATTTATCTATTTTGATAGAACGCTATTATATCAGCGTTCATTTGACGTTTGAGCGTCGAAATGGACGCTGATTGATATGCTATATTAGCTTTAATTAATTATCTAAACATCATTAAATTATGTTATAATTATTAATAAAGGGGCAAAGTTGTTTCGTAATAATTAAAACTCGCAACTTTCCTTTTTAAACGCGCACCCAACGTAGAAATGCGCTTTGCAATTATTAAATCGTTATAAAATATGCAAATGTTGTATATATAAACCGCCCCATTGTATTGTTCTCTTTAGAAAGGTTATATAACTTTATTACAATTATAGCCTCGAAAATTACAATGCGTCTCGCTCGGTTAAAACACGCTCTGCTTACGCATAAAACGGCTCTACCGTATTTAAGTTATAAATAAATGTCAAATTTGCTCGCCACCCTTTGTATCATAAGTCAAAAGTCTATTCATTCATTCAACGAATATGTATGTATTCTAATTATCCCGAAAGTAGCTTCGTATGCGATGCTGTATGCATATTAAACGACAATCATCCCCTAATT